AGACACCATGATCGCGACTGAAAAAACGTATCGCTTAAAGGTAAAGCACCTCACAACGTGAATCTACCTGTCCTATTCATAACTGCCTTTACGTTTAACGGAATTAACCGGTTAATTTGGGAGTCAAAACCATTAAGTAAACGGTTACCTTTATCGTTTTGGTTAAATAAAAACCGGTTAATTTTATAACCGTATTTGAAGGAGCTATAGATTTACCGGTAAATAATCGAAATTAACCGCTCTTTTTAAACCGGTTCCGAGCCCTGTTTAAATCCACCGGTGTCACGCTAAATCAAATACTTTCACGATGCCTAACGTCAATAAGAACACAAGAAGGAATCGTTTCCATACAATGCAATCCCGGACAATAAACTAGTGAGTGATCTACTGAGCCCTTTGTATCACAGACTTCGCACATTAACGAAAGATCTTAAATTAGACCACTATAAAATACGGTTAGTGCAGAAAATAAAACCAAACGACCACAATTGACTTCGTATTTTTGTGGAAACAATGTTGGAGCGCTTCTGGAGTTTCAACAATATTCTCTTTTCCAACAAAGCTCATTTTCACATACACTACCGTCCAAAAGTTTGGAAGCAGTCAGGTAAATCAAATAAAAGACAACAAAGCCGTGAATTATATTTTTTATTGATTTTATATTGAAAATTAAAAAAAAGTAATTTAGACAAAGTAATCATTTTTCATGATAATTATAAATTATTTAAAATTTTTGTCCACCTTTTTTCGCATATTTTAGGCACTCTATTAATTAATTTCTCAAAATATTCTTTATCTAACTTGTTACATTCGCTCTCCCATAGTGCCACAAATGTTCTGAAATTGTTGTAGATCGATTTTCCACCCTTCTATCTAGTTCATCCCAAGCAAGTTCAATGGGAGAAAGGTTAGGTGATTGAGATGGCTATTGCATAATTTTTAAAATCTTGTCATATTTTTTCTTCAAAAAGTTCTGACACAGTTTTGACGAATGCTTAGGATCATTATCCTGTGGTGAATCCAGGACCAATGAGATTCAGTCCACTGGGTATGCCGGAATTTTTAAGAATTTTTAAATAGGCTTCCTTGTTTAGTTCTCCGGTTATCCTCGATTTTCGGGTTTAATGTAGCCAAAACACCCCCAAACCATGACACTACCATTACCATGTTTGATAGTAGGCACTGTAAATGATTCTGAAGCCCCCTCTTCCTCTGACTGGCGTACAAACACACGTCTATTGGACCTGAAAATCTGAAACTTTGATTCGTCCCTCCAAAGGACATTTTCCCATTGATCTATTGTCAAGTTTTTATGCGGCTTTGCCCATTCTGGTCTATTTTTCTTATGTCCCATTATTGTTATTTTTGGTATTTTAACAGAAACACATCCTCTTAGTCGGGACTAAGAGGAGATAGTAGATGTCTTTTAACCGTTGTTATTGTAATGGTTGTTGCTCTCGTAATATGCATATATTATTTGTGATGCAATTAAGCGTCGATTTCGTTTAGAGAGAGCTCTCGTGAAGTTATCCACTTGATTTGTTGTTGATTCGGGCTCTCCAGATCTTTTTCTATCTTTATTATTCCCAGTTTCTTGTTTTCTAACAACCGTGTAGTGACACCTTTACATGAAATTCCGAGTCTTTCTGCGATTTGACGTTCACTGTATCCTTCCTCACGTGCGACTATAGTCGGTCCAAATAAGTTAAAACTAGTAAAACAGTTCAAATTAAACCACACCATTACATAAAAGAAAGCACCCGACAGATAAGGTCAAAAAGCATGCGGAAGTGTCGTGGAACACTCGGTTGGAACGAAGTTCCTTTCGTAGTATATAATTATTGACAAACATTTTTTTTTATAGGATGAGGGTGACAAACGAGCACACAGTCCACCTGATGGTAAGTGGTTCTTGTGGGCCCATAGACATCTACATTTATCCTCGTTTGCGAATCAAAATGTAGATGAATTGTCACCCGTGAGGACTTAGATGGAATGCCTCTTTTCCAGTAAAAAGCGTCTCCGGTTCTCTACACTTAACATACGAAACACAGCAGTGCTAAGCTGCTAATTGACGCTGGTATTTTGTGAGTGCGTGGTCCATCCCCGGTCGTGGCGACCCGTTTGTGCTACAACTATACTACTGATATAGCTGCAGCATGGCTCTACACATAAAGAGCTCCATTCTATGTCCGGCATTCACTCCTCAAATTATATCTTTGTCATGTCTATCATCGCTGCTAAACACATCCTAAATACACAAACTCATCTACGTGCTCAACCAACCCTTGTTTTACTTTTATTTCATAGATCATTTTAGTTTCTTGTATTTCAAAGCCATCATATTTGTCTCTACTTGCGTTCACTTTCATTACCCTATTCCTTTAAAGATATATTCATTAAAGTAACTGTGATTTGTAACTTGCTTGCCGATGATACAAATATGATTTGATCGTCGGCGTACAAGGAACATTTGACAGCTTACTCAGCCATTTTAAACTACATTTTTAGACCTTTAATCTCTCTAAATTCTCGCTAAATCCTCTTTGCATATACCAAATGTTTTCGTCAGTTTTTCTTTCATAAATCTTTCAATCAACCAACAACTTAGCATACAGTTTTTTGACAATGCTAAGCAGGCTGATTCAACAATTAGCTGTTGTTACAGTAATTAATAGAATCAGGTGTTACTTTGCGGAAATCCATTATATTAAAGTTGGTAAAAATTACCTTACATACATCCGCTCGACAAAATAAAATGATGTGTCTTACCTAGTTTGAAGAGCAGCTCCCGCCCTCCTTCAATTGCGTGCACTATCATCGTCACCACTAATCCCAGCACCACTACACTAGGAAAGACACAACACTGACGACAATAGAGAAGAAACTTAGCAGGTCAGCCACCGCAGAGTCTACATCACCTGAAGATGCCTCGTGTAAAGGTGAAACACGTGTCGTATTGTCGTCGGTGGTGTGTCTTTCCTAGTGTAGTGGTGCTGGGATTAGTGGTGACGGGCATAGTGCACGCAATTAAGGGAGGGCGGGAGGTGCTCTTCAAACTAGGTAAGACACATCATTTTATTTTATCGAGCGGATGTACGCAAGGTAATTTTTACCAACTTAATTATGTTGTTACAGTCCTGTTGTGACCCTTTTACCCTATATAGTGAAACGGTTTATACGTATTACGATTTTGCACCAGCCTCCCGGTACTCGCTTAAGTTCCCAACATGAAAAGGAGAGGTAGGATCTCTCCTTTTCCAGCCTTCAGAATTTCTAATGATACTTTATCATGCCCAGCTAGCTGCCTTACATGTTTTCATGCTTTTCATTGCTTTCATTATTTCATCTACAATTATCTCATTACCTTCATCATTTTCACACTTAAACAAGCTTTCAAAGTGTTCGATCTGTTTAAACTTGAAAACTCGTCATTCAAAATACCGCCATTCTCGTCTCGCACATTCTAGGCTGCATTGACTGCCCTCTGGGTGTTTTAATGAGTTACCGACCATTTTGACGTTTGCATAGAATTTATTAGATAGTCCTCTATTATTATTTTTCTTCTTTCTTGTTTTTTTTTCCTTTTAACTACTTCTTTTACTTTCTTATACAGGTTGGCCAAAAAGTCGTAGATCAAACGAAATAGGGAGATACAAGAGGTCATTTCCAACAAAAAATCTTTCTACAGCGTGGCCATAATTCAATTACCCTAAAAGTTATTAATAGTTTTGTTTTCTTTAAATAAAATACCGAGTTCTTGTACAATTAGACTAATTAAAAAAAAGTGATATAAAACAATAAACACTGTGCTACTAGATAACGTATCAGCACTACAAAAGTACTATTGCGGCCCTGGGTACCAAATTTCAAGAGTAGTAAATTTTTTTCCAAAAATTATGAAGCGTTACTAAAAAGAATCTCATTTTAAATGCATACTGTGAAAAAAATGTACTACGGATAAGTGACCCTGTAACAGAAAAACTTGCTGATTTAATGCCTATTAAAATGAGGTGTAAAACATCACGTCATGCTGTTAGTTTTTTGTGCGTTGGAATGCTAGAACTTTCTATGTGATTGTCACATTTAGAATTTGTGAAAAGGACAGAAACTCTTCACTAATTTTATCTAAATCTTAACTTTGTCGAAAAATACCAGAATGCCCGTCTTAGTTCCAAAAATACCAGAATGCCCGTATTATTTTTTTATTGTTTTATATCACTTTTTTAATTAGTCTAATTGTAAAAGAACTCTGTATTTTATTTAAAGAAAGCAAAAATATTCATAACTTTTAGGGCAATTGAATTATGGTCATGCTGTAGAAATATTTTTTGTTGGAAATGACCTCCTGTATTTCCCAATTTCGTTTGATCCACGACTTTTTGGCCAACCTGTATAGACGTCTAAAAATTGCCTTTATTCAATCTTATCATCCATACAACCAAACTTACCAAATTTAATTGACATCTGGCCATGCTCTCTTCTTTGCTTCAGTCAGATATTGACGATAGCAGGAGATTTGCTCCTACCCTATTAGAAATCGGAACTAATTAAAAACGTATTAGCCCCGTGTAGACATTGAAATGTATATACTTTTAACTGATTTGAGGTTACGGGGCTTTTTTCTGCATAGGATTTCACCTGGGTAGATGCCCGATTTATGGACTTCAATCTATTTTGCCATCAAGCAACAGTGACTTCTCCGTTGTGTTCCGGTTGGAAACCTTTCCTTCATGGACAGTCAGCACTTACAGACTGTGTGACGTTTTATTTTAGTCTACAGAGATGGTAACATAATTGATTGCTCTTAATATATTAGTTAAATATTAAATATTCAACTAATACATTAAGAGCATCTGCAGCTAACTACAAACTGCAGTATCATAGCACATAAAGTACCCATTACACAACCAGTTGCACTATTATTTCGTTTTACTTTAATATTTAAGTTTGCAAAGTTGACACATCAGAATAATTTGTTTTATGACTTATGTTTACAGGCAAAATTAGTCAAGTCGTGGAAAGCGCAGGCTTTGTTCAAAAAATTTGACCTACGTGCTAACCATAAGGTGTATAGCAAAGGTAAAACATGTGCGCAGACAAAAGTACTCATCATTGGAGCCGGACCATGTGGTCTCAGAGCGGCGATTGAGTGTCAGCTTCTAGGTGCTAAAGTGGTAAGTTTTAAGTTTTTAAATACTATTATAATCTTTATGGTTTATTTTAAATTATAATATGTCGCAGTTCACAGTCCGATGATTTTTGAACGAACGGAACCTTTTAATTAAACTTCTACATTAAACTAAATATCGTGACTTATGTCCAAATACCCCTAATGGCCAAAACTCAAACGCTTCGCAATTTTAAGATGCCGTAAGTCTCGTGCTGTCTCTATCACTTTAAGTTAGTGACTGTGACACCACGAGAATTAACGACATCTTAAAATCGAGTAAGAGTTTGAGTTTTGACCATTAGCCGAATTATAATGACGGCTTTGGCATTTAAAAAAAAGCACTAAGAGAACGTGTAAAATCATTTTTTAAAGCTCTGTTCCCTTTTATTGCTTACTTTGTTAGTTGTTTATAGTTACCACACACGTACATTATTACATACGTTGGACTCATACATCATGATATTTCCCCGCTGCCGCAGCGGTAGTAGTATCGCGATACACATTAAATGTAACAAATTGGTTGGCCTCACACTCGCACGGCCTAGAACTTAACTGGTAATAGATCCATAGCAAATAACCCGCCTTGTGCCCGCCCGACTTTCGATTATTTTCCGCTAAGTTTGCGAGTATTGCTCGCTGTCTCCATAGCAATTCTTCTACCGTTGCGGGCGCAGGTTTGCGTCGCTCCATGACATATTATATATATTTGGAGGCTCCGTGGCGCAGTGGCTTAGCAGTGAGTTGTTGCGCTGGGGGCCGCGGGTTCTAATCCCGCATGGAACAAGTATGGCCTACAAATAATTGTTCCGGGTCTGGATGTTTGTCCTTGTGCAATTTATGTTTGTAAATTGCCTCCACGATACAGGAGAAAATCCTAGTGTGGTGGTAACGTTTATCAAAAACTAAATAAAAAATTGATCCCGCCAAAAAAAGGCCAACTGTCAGAGATGGACGGAGATTAGAGAGCATAAAATAATTTAAATACTGGACGTAAGAAAAGCAAAAGTGAAAGTGAATTACACGCTTTCATGGATAGAATGCGTAACATGTTCGCTAATTTCGTTTTGAAACAAACAAATTAATAATATTATAATTTTATATAAATTAGGTATATGAAGCCCAAAATAAAATAAAATTTATATTTTATATTTTGAAATTGAATATTGTTCTTTCTTCAATTTTGGAAACAAGTAATAGTCGCTTGGGGCCAGGTCTGAGCTGTAGGGTGGGTGGCGCAGTTGTTCGAAACCGCACCGGTGAATGGCAGCCGTCGCAACATGGCTTGTGTGCACGGACGCATTGTCGCGCAAAAGAAGCACGCCTTTTGTAAGCTTTCCTCGTCCTGTTTCTTTAATAGCTTCTTTTAATTGATCTAGTAAAGAAGCGTAGTATTCTCCCATTATGGAAACACCACGTTCCTTATAATCAATCAAAAGGATACCTTCTGTATCCCAAAAGATCGTCGCCATGATCTTTCCGGCCGATTAAGACACCTTATACTTCTTAGGAGTGGTGTGCTTTCATTATGCTACTGCATCGACTCTTGCTTCGACTCAGGTTCATAATGGTGAACCCTCTCCACAGCGGTCCAAAAACTCGCGACAACTTTCGACGCGCTCGTGTTTTTGATACGCAGAAAGCATCGGCCAAGGTATTGATGTAGGATGTTTAAAATGGTTGTTTCTGATTCTCCAACTAATGCTCCAAGCTGTTTTTTCTTTAGCCGGGCATCTTCCGATACATGTTTTTCCACATTTTCGATTATTTCTGGCGTGGTAGCCTCAATCGGCCGTCCAGCCGTTTTGTTACGTAGACATCCACTAAGAAAGAATTTCCGAAAATTCTGCCTCTGAGAGGGTGAAATTACCGTTTGTATGGAACTTATTATGTTTCGGAGCGCTTAACTAAAAACTTACTGAAAGTACTGTTAATAAAAACATGCGTGAGTGTCGTGGAACACTCGGTTGGAACGAAGTTCCTTTCATGGTATATTATTATTGATAAACGTATTATATTATTGATTAACAAATATAAATAAATTAATTATTAGCGTCTATTAAAATGAAGCGTCATTTAAAATAAAATACACTATGACAGAAGGGGTAGTGATCAAAAAAATCATACACTTTTTGTCGCCTAGCTCCCATCCGCAGAACCCGTACCGTCCTATAATCGTTCCAAAATAAATAAATCCTATATTCGTTCCAAAATAAATAAATACATGTATTTTTAGATTTTTTAGAACCACCCCTTAATTTATTTATACTTCTTCTAAACCACGCAACCACGCAACGGGTTTTGACAGTTTTCACTGCGATTTTGAGATTTTTTAATGAAGGTTGAAGAAAAGTAGTGAAAATGTAAAGTTTTCTAAGTCGCCAAAATTGATTTTCAGGCGCTTACACTGCTTATTTTGGCTAAATCTTAAGAGATAATTCATAATAATGTACTAAAGAATTGTAGTTCTTTATGAAACCTAGAAAAAAGTCCGCGATGACATATTATTTTGTCTATCTATTAAGGTTGACTCACTATAACTATTTTTATCTTTAAAATATTTCACACGTGGTAGAGCCATGCTGCAGCTATATTAGTAGTAGTATAGTTCTAGCACGAATGGGTCGGCTTGACCGGGGAAGGACCACGCTCTCACAGAATACCAGCGTAAAATAGCAGCCTAACACCGCTGTGTTTCGTATGGTGAGTTTAGAGAACCGTAGACCCTTTTTATTGGAAAAGAGGCATTCCATCTTAGTCCTCACGGGTGACAACGCATCCACATTTTGATTCGCAGACGAGTATAGATGTAGTTGTCTATGGGCCACAGCTACCACTTACCATCAGGCGGACTGTGTGCTCGTTTGTCACCCTATCCTATAAAAAAAATTAAAATATTAGTTTACTTGCGAACCTATTTTTTCTAATTCAATATTATTTTTTATCCTGATAAATGTGTTAGTTACCTTGGTTACATTTAATATAAATAAGAATTATCCATTACAATATAGTATTTAAATGAAAGCAGGGGGATATCATAGATCCAAAATTACGCGCTACTAATAAATAAAACAGTTGGCCGCCGCGCCGCGCAGACCAAACGGTGTGTTGCATCTCAAAAATGACTGAATAAATATGGCTATCTGATATAACAGTAAAATATAATAACAATTAGTTTCAGGTATATAAATTACACCCAAACTTTGAAGTTCGATAAAAGAGTGGAATAAGTTGCCAGCATCTGTGTTTCCATCCGATTACAATGTGGGTGTCTAATAAAGCAAGAGTCAATAGGCTTTTGTTAAGTCAGTGCGCTTCATCATCTTAGGCTACATTACCACTTAACATCAGGTGGGATTGTAGTTAAGCGCTGGCTTAGTATAGTAAAAAAAATTCAACGTAATTAGATTGCTCATTATGGTAATTCAACTTAAGATATTTTCTTTAAGGAAATATACAAGTTTTATACATTTTCGGAATGCTAAGGATCTTGTTTACAAGTACGTTATGTTTTATGAGAAATATTTCTTTTTATTTAATTAGGTGTCATAAGGAAAATTTTCCGTCTTTTTGATTTTTAAATTGAGGTTTTCTTGTTGCCGATTTCGAGTAAATGATATTTTTAGATTCGTTAATTATTCTCTAGTACAAGGAAATAAAAAAAAAGACCTGTGTCACTACCGTGCCATTTCGAACTACATAGAAGCAAAAATGTCGACCAAGCGAAAAAAATAAATCAAATAAATAAAGCTAAAACAAGAAAAAAAAATATTATGTTGTAATTTTGTAAAGCTGCCAGGTTTGACTATACGTGACAGATTTATCTTCCAAGGCACTTATTGCCAACGTGATCTAGATCAGGAATAGGTTGGCACTGTTATACTCAGAATCACCAAACGGTATTCAGTTGAAAATTAAACCGGTTTACGCACCAGCTTTGGTACAATGAGGATGCGGAGGAGATGTATAGGGACATCTCTTCATCTTCATAATGGTCATCAATGTCAAAGCCAATCCGCAAAAGTCCCCTAATGGACATAGGCCTCCTGTCGTAGGTAGGATTTTCCTTAGCCCGGTAGCGCCACGCTATGCAGGTGGATTAACGATCGCAGCACCAGATGTTTTGCATCTTTGACACTGTTTCCTTTCGCTTCTTTTGATATTTTTTACGTAAACGGGAGGTTTAAGTCGCAAACTATCGTTAGCCGTAATATATATTCTCTGCCGCCATTATATGAAAAGCGATTTTGTTAATCAATCAACCAATGTCGCCATTTAATTAAATATCCTTTAGCTGCCTCCATAAATCATCGGGCTGCGACATCATACACTTTGTTAGTTGGGGGTAAATTCTTGGTATTGAATAGGTAACCTAACCTATGAAATAATTAGGTATTTTTAACTTCTCGTAAGTTTTTTTTGTCTCATAATGTTTAGAACTTTATTAAGTATACACTTAGCGTTAATTTTTTTATCTTTTATCTTTTGGTAATTTCGTAGGTGGTGATTGAAAAGCGTGATCGGATTTCACGCAACAACGTCTTACACTTGTGGCCCTTTGTCATCCAGGACCTACGCGCGCTCGGCGCAAAAAAGTTTTTTGGAAAGTTTTGTGCTGGCTCCATAGACCACATTAGTATACGACAGTTGCAGTGTATTTTGATGAAGGTAACAACTGTTAAGCGTAATTTGTTTAAATCTGACAAGAAAATCGGAGTCTTGGATAATTGGTTAGTTTTTAACTAAAATTGAATACTGCGTGTATTGCGTTTCGGGTGTGGTCTGTTACATTGACTCCCAAGATGCTGCGCTTCATCTCTCGCTGGCAAATTACAAACGTGAAATTTTTTTGTTCTGTCAAGAGCTAGTTTTATTTTAGCATGCAAGTTTCCTTTAAAAAATATTCTTATTTTTAAACGCTCGGAGTGAAAATTGTTTGAGCTGTGTTGTTAACAGTAACACATTTGCCAGTATTAAACTAAATTATGGGAATACGTATAACAAAACACATCTCTTTTATTAAAACAGATGTGTTTTAAGTGTGCTAAACATCATCCTGTTGTTATACCTACCTATTTCAACAATAACATTTTTCTTATCATAATCAGATTCCCCTCTCCTTGCATTGAGGTCAGGCTCATTGTATTGGAGATCGTAGTACCGGTAAACGTCTAACGGAAGCGAGATGGTCATACTGTGACCGTCGGAAACAAGTACACTTTTAATACATTTGACACACACTAGATGACATTTGTATTATAATAGTTTATTCAAATAACATAATATGAATTCCTTTTACCTCTTATATTTTGAAAGGTTATCGATTAAAATAAATGCTATAGCCTTTTTTATAATTTAACAAACATGTATGTTAAAGCAAAGTTGTGCAAGCACAATAAGTAAGATAAGCACAACGGTATTTTTACCCAAACTAGAAAGGATATCAAAATTTTTTTAAAACTAATATAAACGTTAAATCCTTTGTAGTCTGAGAGCTGGTGACGAATTTGGGAAGGTCCTTTTGGCAGGTTGCAATTGTGAAAAAATATAATTTCGTCAATTGGCGAATCCAGTCCGGCGAGTCTGGCAGAGCGTTTGGGGTTATTTCGTTACTACGCAGCTTAAAAAATTCGCAAAACAATATCCAAAAAATATTTTTTATATCAGTGCTGTAATAATTTGTATAATAACTATTAATTTTAACTTCGTAAGGCTTGGGCTTCATAAAAAATATGTTTTAATAATTACCGCCCATGTTCTTAAAAAAGGACAATATGTATAAAGTGCTTATCGCCCAGAGGTGAAGGTGGAAAAAATAGCAAGGTGCACGTTTTCTACAGCCGTTATTTTTTTCACGATGATTTGGTACAGATATAGATGACTTTTGAACTACTTAAAAGTAGTTTTATTATGTTCTTTTTATAGGACATTGGGAAGTACTTGAAATAAGAGATATTTTTCACACTAGGCCGATAGCCATAAAATAAGTTAAATGAAAGATATTATAGAACATACTTTTATTATAAATTACAAAGAAAAGACCTCTGGGCGGTAAGCACTTTATACATATTGTCCTTTTTTAATAACATAGGGCAGTAATTATTAAAACATATTTTTTGTCAAGCCCAAGCCTTTCGAGATGAAAATTTATAACTATTGTTCAAATTATTACAGTGCTCATCTAAAACTATTCAAATTATATACACAAATATTTACATGGTCATATATGGGCACACACACATGCTAAACCCCAAAACAATAATTTAATTTTAAAATCTTTAAAAAAGTTATAAACACCAGATAATTTTTCACGATGCTACGATTGCTCTCACACAAAATACTCTGTTATGAACGCAGAGAACCGGAACTATACAGGAAACACGCGCTTTCTCAATAATAAAACACAGCGCGAAGAGCTTTGCGCCCGCATCAGCTGCCGGCATGCCTCGATAAGCTATCTTTCTCGTACTTATGGCTGCGCATTAGACATTTTTGTCGTATTAATTTGTAAACTTTACTCACGTCTGGGAATTGTTTGAAACCGCTAAATTTGTCTGGCGTTATGTCGGTATTATAAAAATTACTCAATAAATACGTGATTAAAATTTGAGATTGCCAAAAGTATATTTTTTGGAAATTTTAATAAAATATTTTTGGAGAAGTCTAGTAATACTTTATAACCGACAAAAACGTATGGCATTATTTTTTTAATTATATAAACACTAAATTAAAAGATAAAAATGAAATCAAGTTGCCAAAAAAACATTTTTTTGGATACTTAATTTTTGCAAGTGCTGCGCAGTAACGAAATAACCGCAAACGCTCTGCCAGACTCGCGGGACTGTTTTCGCAAATTGACGAAATTATATTTTTTCACAATTGCAACCTGCCAAAAGGACCTTCCCAAAATTCGTCGCCAGCTCTCAGACTACGGGAGTTTGACGCATTTGATTCCGAAATAAATATCTTTATTAACCTAGGTTCCTAATTGCTATTTTTCAAATTGCAAAGGGCAAAAGATAAAATGATAACTGTCCAAAAATTTAACTCTTTATTCACTTTGGATTCAATTGTTCTTAAATCTAAGTCTTTGATAAGATTTTAATGTGCCCTAAATATTTATTGCCTACCAGGTGCTTTGTAAAATTAATAAAATTATTATGTCACAATACTCAATTAAGGCAATATAATGCCGATTATTTGAATTATTGAAACGCTATACTCATTTAACAGTGTTTATGGACAATTATTTTTAATAGTTTTGGGGAACAATGTTTGTAGTTATTTAGTCCAAAATTGGTCTCGGATGACCTTAGAATTTTGTGTCATCATTAAACACTATACAATTATCATTAGTCTTCTTGTCTTCAAATTAAATCACAATAATGTATTAAGGCAAGTAATTCTAAAGTCAATTTCAATCTATCAAGGCAATTTATCAAAATATTATGATTTTAAAAGCTTTATAAATGCTCACTTTAGCGGGAATTCCCTTATAAATTGAAAAGTTTTTCGGAATAATTCAAATACGAGGAATAAAAACGAACCATTCTTTAGATGCTTCTGTCATAACAGTGGCCTTTATAATAATTTTTTTTATAAGATAAGGGTGACAAACGAGCACACAGTCCACCTGATGGTAAGTGGTTGCTGCGGCCCATAGACATCTACATGAATCCTCTATTACAAATCAAAATGCAGATGCGTTGTCACCCGTGAGGACTAAGATGGAATGCCTCATTTCCAATAAAAAGGGCCTCCGGCCACCTGCACTCACCAAGCGAAACGCAGAGGTAAACCTCTACTTCTCGCTGGTATTCTGTGAGTTCGTGGTACCACCCCGGTTCGAGCCGGCCCATCCGTGCGACAGCAAAAGCCGCCACGTGGCTCTACCACTGTTAAATGTTAATTAAATATTTCGCTCAAGTTCTGATACGCAGTCTGGTTTCTTTCTATTGTCTGGGTGTACCAAGGTTGCGCATCATTAGAACGATTTTTTAGTTGATCAGAAGAACTAAGACGTCAACTTTTAGTTCCAGCTTATTCGAAGTATGTCCGTTAACTCTAAAATAGTAGGTAGGCAGTACGGTTTACTAAGTTTCATTACATTATCTATCGATAAAAAGAAATCTTAACTCGCTGACGTCTATTATTTTTGTTATTTATTTTATGTTCATTTTTGACAACAACAGCTCTCTTATTTAACCAATCTTGTTTTAAACCAACAGGTTGCTTTGCTACTGGGCGTCGAGTTACACGAAGGTGTCAGCTTCGAAGAGCTTTTGGAGCCGACCATTACCGAGAACTCGGAAAGTAAGCTAACTAAAGAAGTACTATTCAATTGCTGAAGATAAGGAGATATTTTTAAATATTAAAATATATATATACTCGAAAAACATTAGCCTCCTTCCGGGGCAGTCGGATAAAAAATCTAACCATAGAGATCCGAAGCAAGTATTTTTGTGGGTGTGTGTTTACGTTTATTTATTCAAATGTTTTAAGACGCATTTAAAGTTGATAGAGATTAAGAAAAAGGTCACAGGTTTAATTGATTGTTGTCGATGAATTAACTCAGTTCGCTGGTCTAATGAATATCTTGGAATCTCAAGGCAGGCGCTTACTCCTTTAGTGATTACGGCGCGCTTACGTGCAACTATTTAAAACTTGGCTTGTTTAGGAGAGGGGGAGAGTACCCACTGTAATTAAGAACCACCTCCTTTTTTGCATCGGCTTAAAATAAAAAAGAATAAACCAAGAAGAAGCTACTCAAATGAACTCATCATATAAAACTTCAGCCTTATAACATTGTCAACGTAACGTTTTCCTTTTGTAATTAAAATTAAAATCATTACGTTGAGTAGCTACTCAGAAACCGGGAAAGGATTGCTCTAGAAATTGTTACAAAGCTGCTGAAAACAAAGAAGTTTTGACATATCAGAAGAAGAGATTGGTGAAAATGGTACCCATATTTGTTAACAAAAAATGTTACTCCAAACGGTCTTGTAGAAAAAATAAAATATTAGGCAATATCAGGTGTAGAACCTATTATTGGAAGAAGAGATAATTTTTTTAGGGATTCGCAATAAATATTATATTTTTTTGCGAAACTTTTGTGTTAATATTAAAAAAATAGAATCTTATTCAAGATAACCAATACGTCACTGAAAGAAAAACAGAAAAAAGTAATTATTAGTACTTCCGCCATTTAGAAGGTTACAAGTTAGCACAAAAACAAAAAATAATGTCAAAAAAGTTCAGGGCCTGATCGACTATATACATTATACAGTTGATACCTAACCATGTTTTTGGAAACCACGCCACGACAAAATTTTTCTTTTCAAGCTCACTATGGCAGCCAATCTGTGTGTTAACTCAACATAGTGCATTCACACTAAGTCTTATCAATGAAATCGATATATGGTCACCCGAGGCAAGTGCGACAGTGGGGCAAGTGCAACAAATGCAAATTATGTGGCATAAACACGTTTGGTTAAATTCAATCTATTGAACAACACAGGAACTTTTACGCTATTTACTATACCGACAGTTAAGTACATAACTCAACTATTTTATCGTCAGACGTATTTCTTTTAAACTACTCAGAAACCTTGCCCCATGTGGCGAAAAACTCATTGTTACACCAAATTGGACATTCAAATCGTTTATAGATCTCAAAATATTTTGACATTAGTATCATCTTTTCAGTTTTGTCGAAAACCACAGATAATAAAGTAACTACAAAAAGAAGCATACTGTCACACTTGCCTCATTGATGGGGCAAGTGTGACAGTCTTCCACGTCGGTTTCATTACGTTTCAATAGAGAATCGCAAATGAGTACACGATTCATTAGGTTTCTTTCAGTGAGCTCGTGTGGTACCCAAATATCGAGCTTTTTTTGTATGGCCAGACTTTTTCAAATGGGTCAAAACTGTTTTGCTGTCAATCCTCAATTCCTCGGCTATGTCGTAACTACTAATATGCCGATCTTGCTCCACTTTTTCAGAAATGGCATCGCCTTTATCCATATGAGGGCGATTAGAGCAAGCTGCACCTTTGACATCAAAATTCTTCGACTGAAAACGCTTCAACCAATTTTTTGCTACTCTTACTTACACTACATTAGGTCCATAAACGTCACAATTTTTCGCGGCTAGAGTCCCATTTTTCCCTTTTTTGTAATAAAACTTCAGAATATACAGAATTTCTTCGCTAGATTCACTCATTTTGTGGACAGAAACACAATTGAAAAATGGCGGGAGTGTATTTTACGTTTTATTTTTCTTTGTGTCCTATATATATTGATATTAAAACCAGCCGGATACAAACGGTACAACTAAAGAGTACTTCTTCAATTTTATACAAATAAAATACGAATAAACTTTTTCCCCGACCTATTATTATAGTAATATGTTGTTTTCAATATAGCAAAATTGGTGGAAGGAAAAGTATCCACTTTTCTGTGTCACTTAACACAAACTTTGCTGTATCATTTAACACAAACAAATGTGTATCTTTTCTTTCTAAAATACTATCAAGCCAAAGCCAAAAGGAAACATCAAAGATGTTAGAAAAAAAACGTCAAGTGCGTGTCGAGCCACTCTCAGTGTAGAGGTAGGTGTTAAGGCCTATTTCGATTTTGTTGGATTCTCCTTTGGTCAGTTCTAACAAACAATACGATAAAACACATCTGAAAAAATGGTATAATTTTTGGCATCCATACCAATTATTATTTATGTCACTCTAAATACTTGTTGATCTGCTCTTGCTCAGACTTTTTAAAGGTTTAGGCTTTGCCACCCTTACCCAAATATGATTACACTTGGCGCACCTCATTAGTAATAGAAACTCCCTAACCGGGTTCCGAATGAGAATCTACCTTTAAAGAAGGTATCTAAAATATTAGTTACCCTACTTGGACTAATAACAGCGCACAGGGCCCGAACCCTATCAAAAATAAATATTCGAAATATAAGAATTTCAATCGATAAAATTTCTAGTAAAGTCCCCGATTTGATAAAAACATCTCGCGTTGATTCTAATCAGCCACTTAGTTTTATATATATAGATAGATACGAGGAGAGGTCAAAAAGTTCGCGGAATGGCGGGGTTGGCGAGGTTGATTTTACTTCTCCAGGCGCTACTTCTTAGGCGCTAGTTGATTGACTCATTGTTAGTATATATACCAAGTTTCAGCCTAATCGGATCATTAGCTTTTGAGTTATCAACGAGTAAACAAGTCAATCGGGAAGAAACTAGGCACTATGAAGAAAGTTGAATATCGCGCAGTCAATAAGTTTCTCACCACAAGGAAAGACACTTCAAACCATTTTTCAAGAGATGTCAGCTGTTTATGGGGACTTCGCTCCTGAGAAAACCATGTTTTATAAATGGCATGCCCTTTTAAAACAAGGGAGCGACTCCATTGAACGTTTTCCCCGAACTAGACGGCCGATTGAGACTACCACGCCAGAAATAATCGAGAAAGTTGAAAAACTTGTATCGGAAGATGCCCGATTAAAGGAAAAACAGCCTGCAGCATTAGTTGTAGTATCAGAAATAACCATTCCAAACATCCTATATTAACACCTTGGCCGAGAATGCTTTCTAAGTATCAAAAACACGAGCGCGTCGAAAGTTGTCGCGAGTTTTTGTACCGCTGTGGACAGCAAAGGGGGAAAGCTATGGCCCGAATTGTAACTGGCGATGAAACTAGGGTTCACCATTATGAACCTGAGTCAAAGCAAGAATCGATGCAGTAGCATAAAAAAGGCACACCCCCTCCTAAGAAGTATAAGGTGTCTCAATCGGCCGGAAAGATCATGGCGACGATCTTTGGGATACAGAAGGTATCCTTTTGATTGATTATAAGGAACGTGGTGTTTCCATAATGGGAGAATACTACGCTTCTTTACTAGATCAATTAAAAGAAGCTACGAGGGTGGATTGAAAAGTACTCGGCCTAACCAAGAAAATAAACACATTATATTTTTATTTTTCTACATAATCACCATCAAGTTCAATACACTTTTGCCACCTCCCCTTCCAAGCATTTAGACCGTTGAAAAAAAATGATTCTTCCTTAGAGTCAAAATATGCGTCTACAGCTGCTTTGACCTCGTCGTTTATCGAAAATCTTTGACCTCCCAAGTGTTATTTTAGGTTAGGGAACAGAAAGAAGTCTGATGGTGCCAGATCAGGTGAATACGGCGGATGCGGTAACAGTTCAAAGCCACAGTTGTGAATTTCAGCCATTGACTGTACTGACGTGTGAACACGGGCGTTATCTTGATGAAACAGGACTTTTCTTCTGAGCATTCCTCGACGTTTTTCTTTTATTTCCTCTCGTAAACGACGTAGTAAGGTGCAGTAGTAATCAGAGTTTATATTCTGACCCCTTTCAAGATAATCAATCATAATCACACCTTTCGAGTCCCAGAATACTGAAGCCATCACCTTATTTGCCGACAAAATCGACTTAGCCTTTTTAGGCGGTGGTGAACCAGGTCTTCTCCACTGTTTTGATTGTTGTTTTGTTTCCGGTGTACAGTAATGAACCCATGTTTCGTCCATAGTAACAAAACGATTCAAAAAATCATCTGCATCGGCTTCAAATAACTCCAAACAGTCGCGTGAAATAGTCAATCGCGTCCTTTTTTGTTCAACTGAAAGCAGTCGCGGAACCCACCTCGCAGACACCTTGTGGAAACCCAACTCGTTGACAATGATGTTTTGAGTTCGTTCATAAGAGATGCCTATAATCTCGGCTATCTCTCTAATTTTTAATCTGCGGTCTCCCATTATTAAAACAAGTACTTTTTTAATATTTTCGTCAGTAGTTGACGTCGAAGGCCTTCCAGAGCGGGGTTCATCTTTCACACTATCTCTACCACGCTTAAATTCTGCTATCCATTTTTTGAAGGATGAATATTACAGAGCACAATCGCCTAATGTACTGACCATGTCATCATGGATGGCTTTTGATGATAGCCCCTTCTTATGGAGGTACTTAATGACGGCACGCTGCTCGATTTGCTCCATTCGCGGAAATTATGTCCGATTACTTTGTTAATAAATTTATAAAATCACAACTAATTATCGCATACGTTTCGAACTTCACACAATGAACTAGTCTGAACTGAACTAAATAATGTGGGTAGATTTGATTTTTAGAATTGAATGGATCTGTGTTAGGCCGATTACTTTTCAATCCACCCTCGTATTAAAAAAACAGGACGAGGAAAGCTTACAAAAGGCGTGCTTCTTTTGCGCGCCAATGCGCCCGTGCACACAAGCCATGTTGCGACGGCTGCCATTCACCGGTGCGGATTCGAACAACTGCGCCACCCACCCTACAGCTCAGACCTGGCCCCAAGCGACTATTACTTGTTTCCAAAAATGAAGAAAGAACTGTGTGGGCAAAATTTGGCGACGGTTTGAAGTGAGGTCGGCAATTTCGGTCTATTTTGATGCCTAAGACGCCCATTACACGCCTAGGCAAGCGTCAATCAGTTCGATCAATCATGATTAACATTTGTATTATAGAATAATTTCGACATTACACGCTCATGCTGACTGATGTCAGTCAAACCCAAATTTTCGGAGTGAAAGGACGTACCTATAAACTAAGTTCATTTTCGATTCACCATTTTATTATAATTTTATATATTGAAAAAAAAAAGAAAAAAACGAATAGGAAAAATTGTAATATTTAATATCGTTTTACCCATTTTAATTTAACGCGCGCCAATGTTCGACCTCTTGGAGTGCATAATCGATACGCGGCTTTATTTGAAACGTATTTATGGACGAAAAATAAGCTTAACATTTACATTTATTCGTACAGGGTGGATGCCCCTATTTTTATTGATTTTAGTGTCAATTTCAATTTCCTTTTGTATATCTAATGCCAGCATAGCATAGGGCTATGCCTTTTGAGTTTTTGGTAGGTACCTATTGTAGGTAAATTTTAGGGGCACTGAAATAAATTCATAACAACTTTTAATTTTAAATCATGCATGTCACAAGTATGGAATATGTATTACGACAACAATTATTTTATTTTAATTTTTTACTTCTTACCTTACTGTGGTTTAGCTTTAAGCAGTAAAATTTTTCTTTTAACACTAAACAATTAATTAAAACAATATTATATTAAAAATTATGTATTACAGTACACCGATTTCTTATAATTTAACCATCCAAGTTTTTGAATCTTTAACATCATTTCAGCCCTTTTACAAGTCGACTACAGAACATCATCCTCCATAGACTGCCGCAAAGCATGGTCCTGAACCACTTTCCTTGTTATGACTTTTTCATTTATGTTCTTAAGTTATAATAAAATTAGTATTACTAAGTTGTAGTTAATTACATTTATTGTTTGTTTTTGTCTTTCTCAAAAAATAATTAAATATTGTATGGTGTTCTTAACATATACCAAATGTCTGAAAAGCAAGTACGTATCATTTGTTAAACTTTTAAATCAAACACCAATTTTAAAATATAGACGAATTGATCATAACTTACTTAACTATTAAATAAGTTATGTTTTTTTTTTATATAGGATAGGGTGACAAACGAGCACACAGTCCACCTGATGGTAAGTGGCTACTATGACCCATAGACATCTACATCTATCCTCAATATAGACTCAAGATGCAGATGCGTTGTCACCCGTGAGGACTAAGATGGAATGCCTCTTTGCCAGTAAAAGGGGTCAGCTTTAAGCTGCTATTCTACGTTGGTTTTCTGTGTGAGTTCAAATTAATGGTATTTATTCTAGTTTATGACAGCCCTGATTTATATTACGTGGTTAAAATAAGGTACTTCTTATTATTTACGTCAAACCAAATAACAGTCGGGCGACTGACAATATGCACTCCATAAATTTCGTATATCTAATTACAGCCCCATTAATTTCCACTAAAAGAAAATGTCTATAGTCACATTCATACAAATCAAAAAGCCTAAAGATGAGCTAATGTAAAATATGCTTATGTCATAAAATTATTACGTAATAATTCTATGGCTTATGTTTTGATATTTAATTTAACACTGTTAGGCTTAAAACTGTGAGGTAATATTTGAAATATACTTTCCTCTAATTACGAAGAATTTTTAGCCGACCATATTTGTAGTTAAGACTACTAGAAATCTTATTTACGAAGTAAAAAGGCGGAAAGGCTGGAATTAGGGGCGTGGCTGGTATTAGGGGCATCCAACCTACCCGGGGTTTTTCGTATCCCACAACTCGGGGAGAGACTGAAAATTTAAAATAAAATATTTTTCTGGCTGAAACACATTTGGTGGGAGTGGCGACGGGCTGCGCGAGCGCGTAGAAGCAGCCTCTTCAATATATTCTGCGTCCGCCTCCATTGCTGTCTAAGCGTTGACTGACGCGTGATTGACGAAATGCCATTACACGTTCAATCAAAATTCGTGACTAATAGTTGATTGACGTAAAAATCAAAATATCCAGATATTTGTCAATCAATTTTATGCAACCGTCAATCACCGAATTACACGATAGGTTATTCGTCAATCACAACCGTGATTGTTGTAAAACTGACAGCAAAACCTACCGTGTAATGGGCGTCTAAGACAAATCTTTTTTTAGACGGTATTAATAAGTTATTTGACAGATCTAATAAATGTATTAGACGGCCATTACACGGTAGGTTTTGCTGTCAGTTTTACAACAATCACGGTTGTGATTGACGAATAACCTATCGTGTAATGTAGTGATTGACGGTTGGATAAAATTGATTGACAAATATCTGGATATTTAGATTTTTACGTCAATCAACTATTCAGTCACGAATTTTGATTGAACGTGTAATGTCATTTCATCAATCACGCGTCAGTCAACGCTCAGACAGCAATGGAGGCGGACGCAGAATATATTAAAGAGGCTGCTTCTACGCGCTTGCGCAACCCGTCGCCACTCCCACCAAATGTGTTTCAGCCAGAAAAAGATTTTATTTTAAATTTTCAGTCTCTCCCCAAGTTGTGGGACACGAAAAACCCCGGGTAGGTTGGATGCCCCTAATACCAGCCACACCCCTAATTCTTTCAGCTTTCCAGCCTTTCAGCCTTTTTACTTCGTAAATAAGATTTCTAGTAGTCTTAACTACAAATATGGTCGGCTAAAAATTCTTCGTAATTAGAGGAAAGTATATTTCAAATATTACCTCACAGTTTTAAACCTAACAGTGTTAAATTAAAAATCAAAACATAAGCATATTTTACATTAGCTCATCTTTAGGCTTTTTGATTTGTATGAATGTGACTATAGACATAGTAATTCAGCTATTTTTGTTTAAATTTATAAGTTTTTTATTTTCTTTTAGTGGAAATTAATGGGGCTGTAATTAGATATACGAAATTTATGGAGTGCATAATATCAGTCTCCCGACTGTTATTTTGTTTGACGTAAATAATAAGAAGTACCTTATTTCAACTACGTAATATAAATCAGGGCTGTCATAACCTGGAATAAATACCATTAATTTGAACATAACTTATTTTATAGTTAAGTAAGTTATGATCAATTCGTCTATATTTTAAAATTGGTGTTTGATTTAAAAGTTTTACGTACTTGCTTTTCAGACATTTGGTATATGTTAAGAACACCATACAATATTTAATTATTTTTTGAGAAAGACAAAAACAAACAATAAATGTAATTAACTACAACTTAGTAATACTAATTTTATTATAACTTAAGAACATAAATGAAAAAGTCATAACAAGGAAAGTGGTTCAGGACCATGCTTTGCGGCAGTCTATGGAGGATGATGTTCTGTAGTCGACTTGTAAAAGGGCTGAAATGATGTTAAAGATTCAAAAACTTGGATGGTTAAATTATAAGAAATCGGTGTACTATAATACATAATTTTTATTATAATATTGTTTAAATAATTGTTTAGTGTTAAAAGATAAAATGTAACTGCTTAAAGCTAAACCACAGTAAGGTAAGATGTAAAACATTAAAATAAAATAATTGTTGTCGTCTATCTTAATACATATTCCATACTTGTGACATGCATGATTTAAAATTAAAAGTTGTTATGAATTTATTTCAGTGTCCCTAAAATTTACCTACAATAGGTACCTACCAAAAACTCAAAAGGCATAGCCCTTTGCTATGCTGGCATTAGGTACACAAAATGAAATTGAAATTGACACTAAAAGGCTGGTAATAGGGGCATCCACCTTATACGAATAAATGTAAAAGTTAATCTTATTTTTCGTCCATAAATGCGTTTCAAATAAAGCCGCCTATCAATTATGCACTCCAAGAGGTCGAACATTGGCGCACGTTAAATTAAAATGGGTAAAATGTTATTAAATATTACAATTTTTCCTATTAGTTTTTTTTTCTTTTTCTTTTCAAGATATAAAATTATAATTAAATAGTGAATCGAAAATGAACTTAGTTTATAGGTACGTCCTTTCCCTCCAAAAATTTAGGTTTGACTGACGATCAGTCAGCATGAGCGTGTAATGTCCAAATTATTCCATAATTCAAACCTCAGTCATGATTGATCGAACTGATTGACGCTTGCCTAGGCGTGTAATGGGCGTCTTAGGGTTAAGGGACAATACATTGAAAAAGGAAAAATTGTTTAATGTTTCATTTCATTATCCTTCCCTGTCATTCCGCGAACTTTTTGACCTCCCCTCGTACTACTAACAAGCATACTTTTCACATTTCCAAAAACAGCTGTTTAGTTGGTGGAGGGGCAGGACGCGTGATTGTAAATAAAAATACCACTTTAAAGCTAAATATTTTGCAAACGGACCCCTGAATCGAAAAAATGGTGTTCCATACCATTGTGTGCATTGATAAAACTTACACACAGTTGTTAGGAACTGTGTAAGTTATCAATGCATACCTATACGTGATTTCTAATACAAGAATAATAAAGAAAATAATAATAGTATTACAGTGTTATTGTTAAAAGCGCTTTTTGCTAGAAAATCTATTTTGTGTAATTTGTTTTACTCACAATATTTATTATTTTCCCATCTATTATTCTTCACTGGATATCATTTTTCTTAATGTTAATTTAAATTATCCATGCCGTACAACTTTCTTGTCTTCTTGTTGTAAAATGTCTAGGACTAGGTTGGAGGGCGCGCGTATCTCCTAGTGAACATCCAGTCACACAGTACGAGTTTGATGTGTTAGTGGGCGCAGATGGAAAGCGAAATACACTGCACGGCTTCAAGCGGAAAGAATTTCGAGGAAAGCTTGCAATGGCTATTACGGCTAACTTCATCAACAGGCACACAGAACAGGAAGCTTCGGTAAGTTTTTATTGGTGACCTTTTTGTGCCTGTCCTTTACCCTATCCTTTGGCTACCTAATCTGCTATTCGTAAGTTAAACTTACTAGATCAATTCCCAGAAGTCATCAGATGGAACCTAAAATTTAAAAAAAAAACATCTTTACCATTTGATATCTATTTTTAAAAAAAGAACATATGTAACACATAATTATTTTTGTGAGAAAAACACCCATGGCGGGATTACATTAAACTTGAAGAAACTGAGAATATATAGAGTTAAAAGGTAGCAAGTTCGACAAGTTTTTAATTCACTGAATTGATACTACGCATCCGGTCTTCGGTGCCGCGGACCGGTTTTGGTTCGTCTCATCATGATCTTATTGCTTTATTATCTCTACATCCTGCATTAGGAGTCGCTCGCCGCTAACTTTTACGGAGCCTAGCGACGATTTCAGCAGTTCATTGGCGATCGAACGCCCTTTCCTATGTAGTAGGGCAAATCTGTTTAGATGGTTGTGTGGTCCATATACGGCGCGATAAATGTTACATGAATTCCTCTATCGACTCCATTTTTTAAATCCCGGGATATACCACTCCGGTGCCGCATACGTAATACGCGAGCGGATGTAGGTCTGGTGGATTATTTTAGTTTTGTTCCTCTTGGTAATTCGTATGTCAGGACAGGTCTAAGCATCGCTCGCGCTGCCTGCGCTGCCTGCGCCTGTCGGATTGTCTGGTCCATCTAATGGGCCATGTGGAGCGAACAGTTAACCTGACACCCAAAGTAGCCGTCGTCTTGTACTCTACATCCCGGCCTGGGAGTTCTAAGTGGTGGTGGTGGCGGCGGCTTGAGCTTCTTGAGTTAGCTTACGGACACTCTTTAGTGATCCTGCCAAGGTAGCAAGTCCATCAGACGCTGCATCATGTTAGTAGCAATGTGGGCTCTTCGTGATGACATAAAATACGCATTATCCTCATTCCTCAGTATATAGTGCAAGGGTTGCTTCTTACCGTAGTTGTGTAAACCGCTTAAAATATCAGTAAGCAGCAGCTGCCTTTGTGTACAACTTCTTCGATAGGCCTAGACGCTTAGTCTACTCCTTCAAAGATGACGTAGAAGGACAGGCCCTCAATAAGAAAAGCTGCCGTCCACACGGTAGCTGGGGAGATGGCGATATATGCGGTAAGTTTGTACGTTAGTCTGTTGTGCCACACTCTGTCGAACGCCTTCTCCATTTCTAAGAAGACGCCCAATGAAATGCGGTAGTTGTTGGACTCAGCCGCAAGAAGGTGCAACAAACTGGTTTGCTGTATGGTGGAGTGTCTGGTGCGAAGTCTATGCTACTCCGCGCGCAGTTGAACACTCGGGCTGATTCTTCACAGCAGCAGTGGTTTTAGCAATTTTGCGTTGGGTGCAGCAGTAATGTTACGGAGCAGTAATTCGAAGCGTGCAAGCGGCACGTACTTCCCTGGTTTAGACATTACGATTATCTTTCCGATCTTCAATTAGCATGGAAAATATTCAGTTCTGAGCACCCCTTTAAAGAGCTGTGTGATGCTTACTAAGGCTCACTTTGGCAGCCTTCTCAGTGCAGTACTGGTATTTCCATCATGATCGAGTGCTTTGCGCGGTTGAAGTCGTGCAATAACGCGATAATTTGGACTTAGGCGATGAGAGTAGTGTTCGTACGCACTCAACTTTTGTGGTGTTCTTTGGCCGTATTGGTACTTTGTTGGTGGTAAATCCATGATTTCAACTCTGTTTCGGGTAAAGATGAAAATTAATAGATCAATTTAAACTGTATATTTTGCTATTTAGTAATATCTGTCACGAAAAGTTAATAAAGGTTGCCTGTATTTTATGACATTCGTCCCGTTTACTTGGATTTGGTCTACTTTTCAAGGCGTCGACGCTCAAAGGCCGTCCGGAAGGGTTCACAAAAAGTATCTAAAGGATACTAGACTTGCTACGAATATTCGGCTATTGTTCGCTAATCGACCGATTCGGCTACTTTCATCCTATTCGGTCGAATACCGAATGTCTAGGTACTATTCGGCCCAATATCGAATACTTAGTAAGATGTTTTGTCAGATAAATGGTGATGAAACGATTAAAATGGTTAATCAATAAATTTTAGCAATAATAAGGAAGAAAATGAATTTCTTTAAAATGTAGTATTTATTTTAATCTACAATAAATATTTAGGCCTTCTTTTTTGTACGTGTAGAAATCCAGCTAAAACTTCATGGTGTGTTGTGCATTTAGACATTACAAACAGACAATTAAATTTTATTTATTTGTATAGATAATAAACTGCTAAAAGTAGCTAGGCTTAGCTAGGTAATTTACATTTTAGTTTAATTTAATGCGAAAAAGGTGAGCGTTCCTTACTATTTTTGTTTACAAATTACCTCAAAAAAACCTGTTTCAGTTTTTTTCCATCGCCTCGTACAACAGCCACAGAATGATATGGGGTAGCCGATTCTCTGACACCGCCACTTAATGGCGTGTACCACATATTTTATACCGTTTTTCTGAAGTTTTAAAATAAATTGATTCCCCACATTTCAGGCCCGTGGCGGGAGAATTTTAGAGTAGGTTGTCCTTAGAAGATAGTCATATTCTGTTACGGACTTTTTTTTTAGAATTTTTCAAGACAAACAATTCATCCATACATTATATTCGTGCAACTTAACCTATTGAGGCAGCGCACGCCACGAATGCTCTGCAGGCACAGCTTTTTCCGACTTAATTGATGAATATCATTAAAACTTTAAGCCAAACATATATTTATCTATACAGCCTATGTCCATCATGGCGAAACAATTTTTCAAATAGGTGCAGTGGTTCCAGAGAAATCCTCCACATATACACGATCTTACAAAATTTGCACTCTCTCTTTATAATATTAGTATAAATTGAAGCCTTAGAAAATATTAGACATAATCTGCCGAACCCTACTTGTGTACCTCAACACGCACTTTACAAATTATTTTCTTTATTTATATTTTCCATACAAGTCATAATCTTTATACAATTATTTTTTAAATAACACCATTTTTTTTAATTTTATTATTATTTTATCAGGTTCCAGAAATTAGCGGAGTTGCTTTCATATTCAACCAAAAATTCTTCAAGGAATTATATGAAGTGACTGGAATTGATCTTGAAAATATAGTCTACTACAAGGACGATACTCATTACTTCGTGATGACGGCTAAGAAACACAGTCTTTTGGATAAAGGAGTGTTGTTGAATGTAAGTTTCCTAAGACGATTTTTTTTATGTATTCTTAATATATTTTTACTGTTTGTTTTCTTTTGTATAACCAGTAATGTAACTTTGAGGTCATGTAAAGTTCACCAAACTAGGCAGTCTTATTCGTTCCTTTAGGGCTCAGACAGCGTGTTGGTGGAAGTCGCCACTTCGGTGGAAGGGGAAATGTAGCGATTTCCAGCGATTAAACCACCAATGTGATAACAGGCTATTCCAGTACACTGTTAGTGTCTGTATTTACTGTGTATTGATAACTAGCCTATATACTGAGTTTATACTAAACACATTTTTATGCTGTAAGCGGGGTGAAAAAAACACTCTAGCTACGCCGTTTGTGCCAAATTTAGCCCCCTCTTCACATTTGTTTCACACACTTTATATTATCTGATATCTTTCTTTCATATTAGTTAGTATCAATCTATACAAAAATATTAGTAAAATTATTTCTGTACACTTGAATACTAGTTCTGATTATAAAAAAATTTATGGTCGCGTTTTCTGAAGTATAATTATTTCTATACGCTTCAATACTAATTCTAATAACACATTTAACGAGAACCACGAGGCTTTTGTATATAATCATTCATCATTCGTTTGCTTAATATTCACGACAAACTCAAAAATTTAATCAATAACGGTTGAATTTCGACCACTGGGACTTTCTACACCACTGGGACTCTATACACTTAGTATAGTACATTAATACTTTTTAATATCTGTTTTTTTTTATTTTGTTTGGATTGGAGGTGATTCGAGGTGACGGAGCGCTACGAGTCGAGTATTCATTTACCAGGGGGATTTTGCATTAACGCTTAATACGTTAAGAAGTGAGATAGAGGTAGAGTCTTAGTCGCCGCCGGCAGGTTAGCTGAGCCCTTATCCTTAAGAATTTTGAGGTAGCCTGCAGGTTATAGAGGGATGTTTATAGCATTTATTCAAATATCCACTGCTGACCATAGGCCTCCTCTTAGATAGCCTCATAGAGGGGACATTCGCCATAGTTCTCAATCTGGCAGGCGGTTTGACTAATATCATTGAGTTTTAATGTACTACGTACTAGAGAAGCTATTCCAAACATAAACTGTCTTGATAGTAGAGATAGTGTAGAGTAGTGCATGCGCAGTTGATGTAAGTGTGTTGCGCCTGCTCGGTTAGTTTTTGTCATCATAGATTATACGTAGGTAGAATGAACGGTATCTAATAATTGTTTATTCAGATTGTATTGTTAATTATATCCAGTACAATTTTTTGAAATGTTATTTATTTTGCATATGTGCTAATTTACTATAGTATTACGTAGTATTATGTCAGAATTACATTTTATTGTTATTTTATTTAATATTTTAAAAGGTAAATATGTAAAATATTAAAATATACATTTATTTTCAAAGATCAAGATCAGAAAGTTAGAGAATGTTAGAAAGTAATAATAATTATTACTTTTCTAACATTCTCTGACGTATTTATACGCAGCTGGTGAATAATAGTGTAAAGTCAATGCCAATTTACGTAAAGGTGCATGCAGTGTATAATAAATAATGCGTGCTATGTTTATTCTTTTTTATTAAAGATTTATGAAACTCCACGACTTCTGCTTTAGGCATTAATTAAATCAATCTCAGTATTTACGTTGAGACCGAATTTATGTTTCAAATTGTATTTAGATTTGTGAGAAGCACATTTTTTCTTTAGATAAATATTTTGTCTTTGTATTTTCTTAAATATCTCAGTAAGTTTCTTTCTAGTTGCAGATTCGTTGCTATTAAATACAAACACAATATTACAACGTGCTCATATTTTATTATTTTTATAATGACCTAGAATTATTGATTTCGTTATTAAGGTAATGCCGTAGAACTATATTTAAAAGCTTAGGCTTCGTATACATCACTCGAATTAGGCCTAAGTGATGTACTTGCGTAATTTATTTTTAAGTACAACTTTTCTCGGACTATCAAAAATTGAATTTGAACTGCTTACTGATTCAGACAACGGTTCTGATACTTCCTATTCACCACATTTTGTTGGCTCAAAAAAGATACTAGTTATTTGGGAAGCCTGTAAAATTTTTAGTGTTACAGTATTAAAAACCGCCCTGTACTAGTATGACTCGCGCGCCGAGGGTTCTGCCTCTCTTAAATCCCGTAAATATACCGAACATTACAAAAAATTCGTACGTCATCTAATCACGAAATAAAACAAAATCCCCGCAATGTCATATAATTACGTTATCGCATGGTAATGCAGATATCTTTAAGTACACTCTTCCTGTTTTTGTGCTGTATTTGTCGTTTTCTTTGAAATGCACGGAACATATTATGCGTGAATAATCTGACGGTAACCACGTTTCTTCGCTGCAATTCTTCTGAACAAATTTGATCCGTTATTCTTTTGTTTCATGACGCGGCCGAGGAAACCTATAAATCCAAATAATAATGAAAATATTAAATTTAATGCACTAACATTTCCTACCGTGATTATATATTAATATTTACGGTACATAATACTTAACATTATACATCTTTGCATAAAATGTTTTATTATTTGAAATTCACGTATACGTTGCAAGTTGATAAAATTTAATTAAATTAAGCGTGTTTTAAAGATAATAATATGTTACTAGTGAAAAGTCCTTGACTTTTACTTATGTTTCTCGAGTTGTTTGAACAGTATCTTAGTGCACATGAAGGTAGATTATTCATTTAAAAAATTTCTTGACTCAAACGTCTCACATTACAGCAACTGCCTGACACAGACTAAGGCCCGTATTAATAAACGTTACTCAGCTCAAGTACACGCACTTGAGTGCAATCTTGAGGTTATGATCTTATTAATAAACATATCTCAAGAAGCGGGTTAGGTCTACGATATCAGTTGAGTGCCACAATGATTATTAATAAACGAAACTCGACTCTCAAGTGTGTGTACTTGAGTGCAAGTCACAGAACAGTATTTCTAAGTACAGCGGTTTGAGATACTGTTTTATGTGTTTATTAATTAGCAACGATCTTGAGATGCTAATATCGTAATGAGGGCGTATCAATTGATTACGCACTTGAGTTCGTTGTTGAGTAACGTTTATTAATACGGGCCTAAGTGAGTATGAGCGCGCGCGCTCTCACGCATGTTACAAACAATCGAGTTGAGACGTCTCCTTTAGTACGTAGTACATTATAACTCAATGGCTAACATAGTCTTTTTATTATTATGTACTGATATCAGGATGATGCTGCTGCCCATTTCCTGGTTTATTTCCCACAGTTGTGTCCCTATAGGTTATTATTTAACGTTATATATATATAATAGCATTATGTAAAAGATCTATATAAATTATGCAATTCTAAGCACATTATGTATTTCTTAACTGTCAAAAAAACATTGTCGATCTCTTGGATTAATGTCAATCACCATCAATCAGCCTATGGAAGTTCACTGTTGCACACATGATAATGATATTTGACAAAGTTGGCAACTAAAATTTTATTTTCTAGTTATTGATGAAACGCTGCTGCCCATCTCCTGATTTGTATCCCTTTATGGCCACCCCCATATGGTTTCTACGGGCCGATATGGAGTAGTGGATATTCTTACACCACCACTACTCAGTGAGGGATGGGTTAATATAGCACCATTTTATTTTAATTATCTATTTACGTGTAAGGTTACTTTTACTGTATTTTCTTTATCAGGACTATGCTGAAGTGTCGCGGCTTCTGAGCGTTGAGAATGTAGATCGTGCTGCATTGATGCGTTATGCACAAGAGGCTGCACGATTTTCAACTGATGGCCGCTTACCGTTACGAAACTTCGCTCTTAACCACTACGGTGAACCCGATGTCGCACTTTTCGACTTTACTTCTATGTACGCGGCGGAAAACGCAAGTATGGTAAGATCATATTGATGATTTTTTTTTATAGGAGAGGGGGCAAACGAGCATGCGGCTCACCTGATGGTAAGTGACTACCGCCGCCCATGAACAACTGCAACACCAGGGGAATCGCAGATGCGTTGCCGGCCTTTTAAAAAGGAGTACGCTCTTTTCTTGAAGGTCCCTAAGTCGTATCGGTCCGGAAAAATCGCTGATGGTAATCGATTCCACAAGGAGGTCGTGCGAGGAAGAAAACATCTTCTAAATCGCACAGTGGTGGAGCGCCAATCATCCAGATGGTGTGGATGGTATCGGGAGTTCTGCCGCGATGTGCGTTCGTGAAATTTGGCGGCTGGGATTAATCCGAACAATTCCTCAGAGCACTCCCCATGGTAAATGCGAAAGAAAATGCTAAGAGATGCAACATCTCTTCGCAGTGCCAATGAGTCGAGCCGATCGGAAAGAACTCGGTCGTCGACAATTCGAGCCGCTCTGCGCTGGATGCGGTCAAGTGGAAGAAGCTGGCACTGGGGAGCCCCAGCCCAGAGATGGGAACAGTATTCCATGTGAGGCCGAACCTGCGCCTTGTAAAGTTGCAGGCGTTGAGCCGGCATGAAATACTGTCCCGCTCTACTGAGCACGCCAAGCTTTTTAGAGGCCAATTTGGCCTTCTCTTCCAAGTGACCACGGAACTGCACGCTACTCGATATGTCGACGCCGAGGATTTCGATACTGGCTGAGGCAACAAGGGGAGTACCTTGAAACTGAGGAGATACGACAAAGGGGTTATTAATTTGTTAATTATCCTGGACCATTTCAATTGCGACATCGACTCCTATAACGGGTAGCCTTCAACTGAGCATGAAGTATTATACTGGAACCTAGTGTTGAAACCGTGAAAATGTCCCCTGTATGGATGGCAAGCTTAATTGAGCATTTTTTATATTTTGTATAAAGCCCGAGTCATTTTTTGGTTCAAACTAAAAAAAAAAACATAACTGTGCAAAATACTCAAATCGTATTTTATTAACCAAAGCAGATAGATATGCAGATTATTCGCTGTCTAATATACCCATGATTACTAAGAGTCTTGTCTTGCAAATCTTAGCTCCGACCGTTGTGACAGTTTACTCAAGTCTGTGATTTATACCGTTCACTATATTGCTATGGTACAGGCACTTAAGGCGATTTTGTGTTTGGAAATTAAAGTTTTCGCGGCTTTAAATTAGAGTACGAGAGAGATGGAGCAGTCATTTCATTAGGTGTGACATCTGCAACTTGTAATCGCAGTAAGTTTTCACTCTCGTGATCATTGAGACATCACTACAATATAGTTTACTCGGCATCATAAAGTGAATATAATTATTTTTTGAACCATCGGGGCTAGACAAGATCTACTTTTAGTGAGGTTGTTTCAGTATAGAAGAGTTTTCAACACAAGTTTAATTCTTCAATTAACGCTGAGTATTTAGTAAATCATATCTATAATACCGTTTGGTGATTCTAAGTTTTGCAACTGTTTGGGATCCGAGATAATTGAAACAGCATTTCGAAGAGCAATTCAGTACGATTTATTTATCCAGTATCCGTACTAACGTAGATTTTTTAACTGTGGTAGAGCCACGCGGCAGCTTTTGCTGTCACACAGATGGGCGGGCTCGAACCGGGGTGGTACCACGACCTCACAGAAAACCAGCGTGAAGTAGAGGTTTACCTCTGCGTTTCGCTTGGTTAGTGCAGGTGGCCGGAGGCCCTTTTTACAGGAAATGAAGCATTCCATTTTAGTCCTCACAGGTGACAACGCATCTACATTTTGATTTGTAATCTGAGGATAGATGTAGATGTCTATGGGCCGCAGCAACCACACTGTGTGCTCGTCTGTCACCCTTATCCTATAAAAAAAAAAGATTTTTTTTGTGTGCATATTGGCTGACCTAATTACACGTTGAAATTTAAAAGAAAATGATTACTTCGATAACTAGCTAGATACAAAAATATTGATCGAATTATTATTTATTTTGTGACATAGGGTTGCTTGACGCTATCCGATAAGAAAAATTAAGCCATCCGTATCGACACGTTCACAATATTACACTCACTACTTACTTTGCTTTCGTTTTCGCTTTAGCATCATCGAGAGAGATATGGCGCTGAAATATGAACTAATACTTAATAATTGCAAAAATAATTTTGTATATAATATTATTAAGACTTATTGATTAAAATAATAATAATGCAGTATATGACTTATTAATAATGTATTACATAATTCTTGAATTTAATAATTTATTATTAGTTTTTATTCCTGGCCTGGCTGCGATAATCAATGAAACAAGTAATTACGTTTTAGACATAAGGTACCCTTTCATTACAAGCATGCATCAGAGCTACTTAATATGCATTTAAGCTAAATTTTAGCTCAATCAATCGTAATCGGAAAGTAAGTCAGCTACCATGTATCACACATTTTACGTAACTCTTAACTGACTCGCCCCATCACTATGGCTGACGAAAAGTGAAGTATGTACATGAGTTACACTTCTGTACTCCCTTTATTTTGTAGCTTTATCGACGATAAATCCGACAAATCCTTGGGATAGACAGCTGAAGAAGAAGTTTTATACTAAAATGTTTTAATATATTTTTTGTTTTAATTTAACCGATTATAAAAGATTTAATAATAACCACGTCTTCCATATAGTTAAAGTAAAGTAGTAGTTTTAAAGCCTTTAATAACAAATGGTTGTAAACCTGACGTGATATATACTGCTTTACAATACATTTTTTTATCTATTCATTATACACTGTTTAACACGAGCGATGAAACGGTTAGCTTACTGGGCTATTGCACTGTGGTAAAAGTGCGCCAAGCTTTAAAGTACAAAGGAACGACTGACAAGTTCATATTATTTTATTACAATTTATAAATTATAACAAAGTCATGAACTGTTGTGATTTCTAGGTGTACGAAAGGCATGGTCGAAAACTTCTATGCCAACTTGTCGGCGATAGTTTGCTAGAGCCGTTCTGGCCCACGGGATCAGGCTGCGCTCGTGGTTTTCTATCAGCGTTAGACGCGGCATGGGCCGTACGAGCATGGGGACAAAGTCCCTGTCCACATCCATTGGAGGTCATTGCTGAAAGAGAATCTATATATAGACTTTTGGGTAAGTTGAAATAAAAAAAATATTTTTATCCTTATAGACTATCGCAGATTTATTTACATGAGAATAAATAAAATTACATTTTGTATATGTTTTTGTATAAGTTTCATATCCACATACTCGTAGTTGTATTTCTAGACATAGATTGCTTCTGGAGTAGACCTTTCTTGGCGGAAAATCTTCAATTTTTTTTAATATTAATAAAACGGTCTACGCATGTCTATCTGTATGATATGTATAAAGTAAAATTCCTTGTTATACATTCTCCAAAATCAATAAAGAATAAGTAAATTACACTTATCTTTTTGAACTTAAAGTAATAAAATATTAAGGTAATAAAATAAATGTCTATATAAAAATTAATTGCTGTTCGGTAGTCTCGCTAAAATTCGAAAATAACTGGCCGATAGTAGTAATCAGCTAAACCTAGGTGTAATCAGCACACTTTATATTTTAGCCATAAAATAATATACAATTGACGTCGTATACGTGGTAGAGCCATGCTGCAGCTATATTAGTAGTATAGTTGTAGCACGAATGGGTCGGCTCGACCGGGGAAGGACCACGCTCTCACAGAATACCAGCGTCAAATAGCAGCTTAACACTGCTGTGTTTCGTATGGTGAGTATAGAGAACCGGAGACCCTTTTTACTGGAAACGAGGCATTCCATCTTAGTCCTCACAGGTGGCAATGCTTCTGCATTTTGATTCGCAAACGAGGATAAATATAGATGTCTATGGGTTGCAGCAACCACTTACCATCAGGTGGACTATGTACTCGTTTGTCACCCTATACTATAAAAAAATATATACAAAATAGCGTTAAAATTAGTTTGGATTTTTTTTGCAAGTCAGTACTTGACAAACATTTTTCTTTTCAGCTCAAACTACTCCGGAGAATTTGCACCGCGACTTTGGTGCTTACACATTGGACCCTGGTACGCGCTACCCAAATCTGAATCGAACAGCGGTAACACCTCACCGGGTCACCTCGTTCTATGACTCCGATGACCCGTTACCCTTGGATGCCACGTCTGGGGTTAGAAAACGACGACGCGGTGAGTGAATGTAGTGTATATAAATAATATTCTCTTATTAGTATAAGAACCAATATAAAGCCATTAACTTCTTGTATGGTAATTATTTTGTATAATATCTCGTAGGTGAATTGTATGAACAGTGTACAATTTATAAGCGGGTAGCTGTGTATTTTACATTAAAAAGCATTATTTGTCAAAAATTTGCTATTATATTATTTAGTAAGGATTTTATAGACTAGATGAAAGTGAGTTACCCTTATCGTTGTACCCATTCAGTTCCTATCGTTATTTATTTGGCCTACAACCTCAAAATTATACTTTACTTATTTTGTACGGTTCAGGATATATTTTTTTTCGCATTGTTATTGGTGTTAAAAGCAGTGGAAGGGTAGAGATAGCTTCTGCCGGGCTGCTCCAGTGAATGTTGGCGGACTTCATATTTCCTCAAAACATTTTATTCCTCAGACGCAGGTTTGCTAACAACGTTTTCCATCCCAAATTATATTTCATCAACTGTTTAGTTTAGTTTAGTTTAGTTTACGACGGGCTGTTTTCCGCAACTCCACGTCTATGCGCGTATTTTGCGTGTGGGCAGGAATAATGTGATTATTCGAGCCATGAGATCTCTCCGAAGAAGCTCAACAGGCCCTTGATGTTGCATGCAACTTCGGGGAGTGATCCCGGCGTGCCGAGATGTATAGCCCTGTATGTAGCGACCTCCGGACATTTCAGTAGCACGTGGGCCGCCGTTTCTTCCTCCCCCATACATGCCCTGCACAGGGGACTGTCTGTAACACCTATAGTAAATAAATGTTTGTTAAAGGTGCCGTGTCCTGTGATAGCACTTGTTACTATCCTAATCTGCGGCTTGTTCAGTCTCATTAAAACTTTTGTTAAGCGACTGTTAATTTCAGGCAGGGCATCCCTAGCTTGTCTACAGTCTACTAGATTTTTCCAAAGCTGAGCGTGTTGATTAGTGAAGTGTCTACGTACCAGTGAACAAACGTTACCAAAGGGGATTGGTATGATTGGTTCCGGCCCTATAGTGGCCAAAGCCGATCCTCTTCTAGCCAGTTCATCTGCTGCATCGTTGCCTCTGGATCCACTGTGTCCCTTTATCCATTGCAGGGTCACATGGTTGTTTTTACATACCTCATTTAATCGTTGAAAATCGTTCATCAACTGTTATTTAACGGTATAGAATAAATTCCTTTGGCTATTTTATATTTTCGCACGGAACAAGTATTTGTATGGCCTACAAATAATTGTTCCGGGTCTGGATGTTTGTCCTTGTGCAATCTATGTTTGTAAACTGCCTCTACGATACAAGAGAAAATCCTAGTGTGGGATAACGCCTTTTAAAGAAATAAAGAAGAAAAAATAAATAAATTTTAAACATCGGCTTAGTCATAAATTTGTACCAACATGATTTTTATCTATTGTAACATAATTTTGTATTCATAAAATAGGCGTAAATAAAGTTCATAGTGAAACTCAAATTTACATTGAGACAGTGTTTGCAACTCCGTGTCAGGTTTTGCAGGACAAATCGAACTTTAATAAAGGCCTAGGATTTTAAATAGGGCTAAATTGCTCTATCTATATGTAAACATATAAATAAAATTGAATTGCCTATCTGTAATATTGAAATAATTGACTTCTATTAAGCTCGGGGGGTTATTTGCATGCTATTAAGACATAAGCAATCATTAAAAGAATTGTCTGTCTGTCAGGGGTAATCTTGGGAATAGCTGAACCGAATGTGATGAATTTTTACACAAACATAGAAAGTAATACCAGAACGGATCTAGGCGATATTTTATCAGAAAATCGAAATGACGCCACATTAATAGATCTAGGCAAAGCCGGGGCGGGTCGTTAGTAGTAAATAAAATGATGCCATAATATAATTGATTGCATAGTTACCAAGATACTTGTAGATTATTTTATGAAATACGTTTAATGTTTAACGTTTATGTTCCTTCGATAAGCGTTTTGACCAAGTTGGCCATTTCCCTGTTTTTGATGATCTGACGAGGGTATAAAATGCAGGCTAGAAAGATGCTATTCTACCACAAAAATAAATTGCACTAAATGCAACGTATGCTTGTGTCTAATATGAAATCAAAATTGTTTTTTAAAATTTCGTAAAAGTGATTACTTAGATTAGAAATGTTTTAAAAGTACCTACTATATTTATTGTTTTTGATTACTAAGCGCACAATATTGTTGTTAACAGATAAATTACTGTATAACGTGTGTATCTGTGTGTCAGTCTGTGGCATAGTAGCTCCTAAACGGTTGAATCGATTTCGATTTCGTTTTTTTTAGGGTTTCGTACCTCAAAAGGAAAAAACGGAACACTTATAGGATCACTTTGTTGTCCGTCTGTCTGCCTGTCATGAAATTCATATCAAATACTCAAGTCTACTATACCTTGGAGCTGTGAAAAAATCAATAGATACAGCCGTTTATGCCGCAAATTTTCGACATTCGCTATGAAATCAAAACCTACAGGGTACTTCCCGTGAACTCAGAATCTTATAATTTGGTACGAAGCAACGTATTATAGCACAGATAAAGGAAAAATTACGAAAAACATAAATTTTTAGTTACATCATATAATAAAAGTTTTTAATAATTTTAAACATATATGTACGGATTTGTCGGAACCCTCGGTGCGCGAGTCCGACTTGCACTTGGCCGGTTTTTTGTTTGAAAGGTGACTTGATCGAGAGTGCTCTTAGCAATGACTCGATAAAATCTTTTCAGCCGTTTGAAGATCATCAGCTCTTTTTGTTTTGGGGGTTATTAATTTTTTTTTTAATTTAAGTTATTCTATTACAAAATAATCAATTAAAAACAAAAAAAACATGTGTGGCAGTACAAGCGCGGTAGAAGTCAAACCTCCAAATGAAATGAAATATAAAACAGAAATATAACACGGCAAATGATTTATTTAATTTGATAATCTTCAACCACAAGTGCGACATAAAATATAAGATAAATTTTAATTTTATAGCAAATAAATGTTACAATTCTTATTTTTAGAAATGTAGAGCCTAAATTTTAGTGTATTAAATGAAAATAATATTTTATTTAGACTAAAATTGCTTTGTAATAGCGAGTTCTACTTCTTTCTATAGGTAAAATCATGTTATCGAACAAAAATTAGATGGCCTAAACACGATTAATTTAATAAAATTCGGTAAGATATTATGAAATCGTGAATTGTTAAAGATAGTTTGGACATAACAATTTTATTCTATATAATTTATTTTATTTTATTTGATAGTAAATTAGTAATTTTTAATGCTTTATTTTATAGAGGCGTTCACCACTGGTTTCCATCTGTTATCGGGTGGCTAGGAGTCGTTCGCGCGGGGAACCGTGTTGAATTATTTAAATTTTTCATAGTCTCCTAATCTATGCGTCCAAATAACATGCTATAAAGAGCAGTTTGTTTTTATAAAATTGTCTTGGTGATGAAGTAACTTTCGTTTGTAATGATTAATATGCCATGTCTAACAATAACGCTCATATATAAAATTTTAATTTCAATATTTTTTTTGTAACGAAATATCCTGTCGTGACTTATAGTGGGTGGCGCTTAGGTTATCACGTTAAATAGCACAGCAGTTAATACAAGTTGACATATGTCTGTTAAAATAATAAAATAAACAACAAAAAGTGACCTGTAAAACTGGCAACAGCGCTCAGTGCTCACGTGACATCGACATAGGTAATTATAAATAATACACTTGACCATAAATAGGTAATTAGGCACGCGTAGGGCGATGCTAATCCGATGTTATCAACGAATCATAAATTTCATGGTATTGTTTTTATCCAAATAATGACTTTAATCTTGAAATCACTATAGTTTAATAATCAAAACAAATCAAATTTTGAAAAAAAAATCATGTCGGTGTATTCTTACGACGTGAAATTGTGATACAAAGCATCTTAAAATTTAAAAAAATTAAGACGTTAAAAAAATATAAGCGTGCAATTGCGCACGGGCTGTCACGCCACTAAGTTATTAAATATGATTATCTAGCGTATTATTAATGTGTCCAAATAAAAAATGCAATACAGTAAAAGAAAGCTTCTAATTTCGCACAAACTGTCACACCACCTTATCACAACTATTATTATCGTATTAACTTGTCCTATCACAAACAAATTAAGAAACTTATTAAAAAGTCCACAAAACAAAAAAGCAACAATTAAAACTTAAAGGACGTGTACACGAAAAACGAAAATTAGGTCAAGCGACTCATGAACCATCCCCAAGAACGGCGGCGTCGGACTAAATGCCGTTCTTTCTTACTAATCGTCGCACGCGCCAGAGGTAAATATAAATTTCGACACCCCGTACCATTTCTTGTCACTTTGCGCATAGACAATTATGCCTTAAGTCCTTTATTCGCTTGAATCGCTTGAATTTGTTTTCACACATCCGCAGCGCGTGGTCCCTTTGTTTTTAACTTCGTGCATAAAATTATGCCCTAAATTGTTAGCCGTAAGTACATTTTTTGCTTGATTTTTCTTTATTTGAGTAATTTGAATTGGCAACGTTTAAACTAGGTGTCTTCGCCTTCAAATGCCATGGGTCTTTGACCTTATATTTTTATTGCTTCTATTCATCAGGTGATATCTGTATGCAATTACATGATGTTATTCTACTGTGACTGTGACTAGAATATTAATTGTTATATATTTTTTTAGTTGTGTATGTTTAAAGAAGGGAGATGAACTTGATTCCATACAAGCTTGAGCCCGGCGTGAACAAACTTAAAATATGTGTTAGTTTGAAAATTTAAATATTTGCTACTTATATCCAAAAATCATATTTTTGTCGGGCCTGGGGTTTTTTGTTTTTATTTTGTTTTATGATTTGTAGGTTATGTAGTAAAATCACTCGTTCTTGTGATACGTTGTTTGAATAAATTGAAAAAACACAAAAGAATGCAGTTTTGTAGTTATTATTATATAAAGTAAAATAAAACACAGCCTTTTTTAATTGTTTAACTAATGTTCTGCAATTATCAATAATGTCAACTAAAAAAATAGCCGGAGGCTGTACATTGTCTATTCTATTCCTCTCAAAACTTAAGTATCACATTATTTTCATTATATGGGCGCAACACACTACTGTCCTGTGATCCGAGAGAAAATCCAAGAGTCAGGTTAAATAAATCCACGAAAGTAAAAACATTAAATCTATCCAAAAAAACAGCTACAATGCCAAATGCGCCTGCCGCATGACAAGCTGAAACTTGAAGTTACCAAGTTAAGTCTTCTTCGGAATATGCAATGATCAATAACCATACAGCCTATTCAGTCGTGTCTATCCGACATTATATTCAAATGTTTTTGATTTAATGACATATCCTATTCAATCGTTTTGTAAATATATTATTTTATTCAATATTAATAACTACAGATTCGAGTCAATGTTTCAATATTATGGTTTTTTTGGGTAAGGAAGGTTATTGTATTATAAAAATAGACTTCATTATCTATTGCCATAGACAGAATAGAAAGATATTTAAAAACGTTTCGTTTTTGCTAAAGCAAAAGCATTAGCTTTCTATTTCAGTTTAAAAAAATGTTTTTATGATTGTCCCAAGGACTACAGAAATAAAATCCATTTATTTATGCTTATAATTTATCGTTATATTACCTACATATTTTTGTATATAATGTATTGTACTATATATAACTGTTACGAACGATGTCAACAACCCAATTTCATACATCTCTTTTATGTTCCTACATAAAGGAGATGTATGAAATTGGGTTGTTGACATCTTTTCATTTAATGTGATAACTTTATCGTCAGTCGGTATAAGAAATAGGCCTAAGGTCTCGCGTACTTTTTTAGATGGGGGAAATATCTATATTTTTGTAGAACATAGTATTTACGTATCACTAACCATTACGCTAGTGCGCATGCTGATTCGGAGTTCGGGAGCGTTTTTTCTTCCTACTTGCTTAACAAAAATCAATATTTAAGGCAAGCTGAGAGGTTTAGTCTAATGCTAGCCTATGCTATTCCTTGTGAATCTAGCTATCATATACAAAAAGAATTTATCAAATGGGACTAGTCCTTCCAGATATAGAACAAGAACCACTTTCGCTTTATTATATATATTCTATCCCATTCTATCGTATAGATTTATATATTTCTCTTTTTAGTGTTACTTTTTCGTTTCATTACATTTCAAACTACAACGATACTAAAGAAGTTTCACTTCAAAAACATGCCATCGACTTTCGTCTGTCGCTTCTTACGAAACCCATGGGACGAATGGGATAGTGGGTATTCATACTCCACCACTACAGGTTCAACTAGTTAAGTAGCTACTTAACTTACAATTGTTTAAGACAATAACGAATCTATAATTTTTTTAATCAGAAAATATTTTTTGTGACCACTTAGAACGAAACATTGTGATATCATTTGTGATAGCAAAATGTATTGGTTGGTTTTCTGGAGTTTATTTCAATATATACATATATATTGCGTTATTATGAGTATATGATACGGCCTAATCGCTTTCTTCAAATTATAGGGTAAATATTGTCTACGCAAACGTAATGGCATTATTTGATGTTTATGGTCTGGTGGGAACATTAAACTGTACTTTAGGTAATAAGTGCAGTGATAAGAAATTGAGAGAGAAACTTCAGTTACCAACGTTCTATTTGGGCCTATTTTTAGTCATTATAGAGTTCAAACCCCGAACTTACCTAATACGCTCGTAGTATCAATAAGGCCCCTTCTATGTTTACGTATTGTAACGGGCCCTACGCGACCCTACATTGTGCGTGGTTGGACTCACAATGTTTATCACGGCGCTATAAAGACTGGCACTCAGAAATGGTGTAGCTTTCAATCAGTGAAAGAAGTTTAGATTCGTATCAGCAGTATCAAAGATTTCCTTCTACAAACCTACACATTTACAAACAATTTTCTTATTATATTAGTGTGAATTGATATATTATTTACAATTTGATACAGATGCAGACATCCCCGAGGAAGCTCTTATATCATGGGTAGGGTGTTCGGAGCCAGGGATCCGAGCGGCTGCTAGTGCATCCGCTCTTACAGACCTTCTGCGACGCTACCGCCCTGACCTCATGCCCCCCAACTCATCACCACGGGCTGTCTACCATGTGCTGCAGCATGAATTTGGTTAGACCTCATCAACATATATTTTAAGTATAAAGGCTTTCCAAAATATTGGACGATTGACTCCTATATGGCCACATAGTTTATACCTTAATTTGAATTTACAAGACTTAATAAAATTTTCATAAGTCAACATTAATTCGCCTTACGGATAGAATATATATATATATATGATAATTTAGATATAATCTATCGTTTCTTACAGTTACCAATTATTAGGGTTAAAAGACCAATCGGGGTTAGTCCGGCCTTATAACCCATATTTATTTATTTATTCAATATTTTTAGATTAATCTTAAAACGGGTTAACCCTCATGGCTAATAGGTTTAAATTTGTAGTCATTTTCATAAGTGAGAAGGGAACAATGAGGTTATTATTTGATTTTTGATTATTTAATAACGCATAAATTGATAATGAGGACTCCATGACTGTTGGTGAAGTTAGTAGAGACGTTTACGTACCTAATGATATATAATGTTCATATATATGAGTATCTTTAATTTTAAATAATTGGAACTTAAGATTAATTTATTTCGCTTTATATATAATCACATTTTTATTTTAAACTGCTGTTATTTTCTAAATGTATAATATTCATACTTTAAAAACTTAAATAACAATTATAACTGTTTGTAAATTTGAAATAATCTTTTGTTTCTTGTTTAGGAATTACGCCGTTTTCGACGAGCGGTCAGACGCGCGACGTGCCTGAAGCTAAGTTGCGCTCCTATTTAGCGCGAGTGTATAACGCCTTCAAGGGCGAAGTCCCCCACATACATCACCAAACCGACGTGTTCGATCAGGTCGTACAAAACTGCCACTTTATGACTAAATTTATCTAAATAATACTAATGTATTGTACTATATTGAAACTTTAACAATTTTACTTTATAAATTGTTGAACAAAACATTATACCTTGCTACTTTGGTGTTAATTTACTTTAGAAGTCTTAAGTCTAGTTAATTGTATTTTCCACAATATGATCCTTCTGTAACTACGGTGAAAAATGTGTTAATATGGAGTTATCCGTACCCAAATCACGAGTTAATATTTTATTTCTCCTGTAGATTATGTACACGATAACATTCTTTAAACTTGTTTTTCATAATATTGACTTTCTTTTTAGATCAAAAGAAATCAACAGAAAGAGAAGCATGGTCGAAATACGACGGATACCTCAGTTTCTGTATATTCAAGTAAGTAATCCTATACAAAATAAAATATTATTTCAAAGTAAAAGTTAATTTAATGCTTTATAAGAAGGCGTCGTCGTTATTGCTAGATAAATCTTCCTCAATTGTACACCTGTTGACACTTGCTTTTGTTTTCTTTATAAAGAAGTAATGAAAAAATGATTTTATCTGTGTTATCTATAATTTAGATACACCACCATTCCCAAATGATTCTGGGGATCGACTGATGGCGGTAAACTCATATTAAACTCTGTTCATGTTTGTGTGTTTGTCCAAATGTGCGCGTATACATACGAACACAACTTCGATTCTTCGAATGAGTCAAATCAATAAAAGGGAAACTAATTGTCTAAATTTTGTTTAACAGATGTTGCTGAAATCGATAAATCTACATCAAGCTACAGAAAGAAACGACGCTCCTTACGCACTCCTCAAGTAAGTAACGATCCCGCTGAATACATAAGAAAAAAGATCGGCAAGTTAGACCTTAATGATATCACACAACTAGCGCGATTAATAGAAGGCCACGACGCAATTGTAAAAGAAGATACGTCCACCGATAAGCAAAAAGAAATTCAGAACCAAATATTAGCATTAATTGATCCGGAAGATTCTCCAGATCCAAAAATAGTCCGAGACACATTGGCACAGCTACTCCAAGGCAACTCAAAAACACGAACAAAGCCGAAAGAATCGAATGAGTCGAATTTGGAACGTCGATTTTTCGAAAACAAAAAAGTCGAATCGACACCATCGAAGCCACCTCGGAGACTGAAAGGATTGGATTACGATTCCCTAAAAGCGCCCGATTCATCAGACACATTTCAAGACAATTCCGCAGATTCAGACGCTACGGTGATTCAAATTAATAAACCAAAGAGGAGTGAATTCATTCGGTCATACTCAACAGATGAACAAAAGAAAGGGGAGTTAATTAGTTCTACGTCTATTGACACTCGTTACCCACAAGCCAGACGACTATCCGAAGTTATTGACATACCCCGAAAAAGATATTCGCAAAGCCCTGAAGTGACTTTGATTGAGCGTTCTCGTTCCATAGAGTCTTTAGAAACTTCGCATAATACGAGAAGAATAGCTAAAATTTTAGAAGGCCACAAAAGGAAGCATACGCTCAATCCCGAATCTCATTCTATGCGTTCGGGGTCGATTGAAAATACAGAAATAGCGTTGCGTCGGCAAAAAATAGCCGATGTTATCGAAGGGAAACGTTGTAACACGCCAAGTCCTGAACGTACAAAAAGATTAGAATCTATCGGCAACTCTGAAATGGCATTGCGAAGACAGCGAGTAGCAGATTTAATTCAAGGTAATAAACCACGGCAGAGCCCCGAATTGACTCAGAGAAGAAATTCGAGTGATATGGCTTTTAGAATGCAAAGGGTCTCAGATATGATGCAGAAGAGAAATGCCGAAGCGAAGCGACCGAAGAGCGGAGGCAGGAGAAAAGCAGCCCGGGATATCATGAAGCAGCGATTCGAGAAAAGTTTGCAAATGTTAGCAGCTGAGCCTCGTTTAGATTTCGCTACGTCCGCAGACCTGGAGAACGACTATGGATTGCAGCAGTATAGGGCCAACGCGCCTCATTTCGACGAACGTGTGAAGAAACTGGAGAAACAATTGCAACACTATGTGAGATACGTGTGAAGTTGTGTGTTGCATGGTGAGACTAACACCTCCGCTGTTCTGAGTGTTTTGCTACGCTTATAATATTCTTTTCAGTGTTAATTATAGATAGAAAGACTAGGATAGGGCCACTATTCCCAATGAACTATCAGGCTTAGTTTCACTTACTACTACTCGCTTAAAAGTTGTGTATAAACGTTTTTAAAGTCACTGTAATATGCCGGGAAGTAAGTTTTGCGATAGTAAGATCGGTTTCTATGGGACTTCATTTTAATGTTTAAAGTAACAGTAATAGTTTTCCAACAACCACCATAGTCTATTTCTAATAGCATGGATCTGACGACACTCTTACTCCTTTGTATCTCAAGTTTACCATATTTTCACTATGTAATGCAATAAGCTTAGTATATTTTAAGGATAATTTAAAGTGCTTTATAATATTTTGTATATATAATTGTTATATCGTGTCGTAAGAAGCGACAAAAAGAAACTGAAACAGAATATAGGCAGCAGCATCTTTCTAATAAAAACTAAATAATAATTATAAATATTTCGGTTGCCCATCCGCCTGGCGAGGTATGCCTTCTATGAGGAAAATCTATGGGCGAGGCCTATGCAGCAAAGACAATTTCGCTTTTGATGAAGTATTGATAAAAAAACTCTGCGTGTGCATGAATTTATTTGACTTGTTTGCTAAAAATTTTCATTGCAGAGAAGTAGCGTCTCGATTGATTTAAATAACAATTTTGAATAACAAAATTTGTCACTAGTTTCTGTAAAATGTTAAAATTTATCACATTCATATGCTAATCCCAAGAAAGAAACAACAGACCTTTATTTTTTATTTAGACTAATGATTTGAATGAAATTCCGTACTTAAAAATGATTCGCTTTACGTTTTTCTATATAGTCACTGCAGAATTGAAATTATTACAGTTTGCAAGAGTTATCATGATTTTCGTAATTAACTAGCTTTAAATTTATGAAAAACATGATATCTCGAACAACTGACAACCGATGGAGACGAAAGGTTTTCGAGTGGCAGCCTCTTATCGGTAGACGAAGTGTAGGGCATCCCCCCCACTAGATGGAGTGACGACCTGGTAAGACATGCAGGAAGTCGATGGATGCAAGTGGCTCCTAAGCCACTTGCATCCATCGACTGCTTTGTGGCCTATGTTCAGCAGTGGACTTGTGAAGTGTTGTGAAGAATGAATTAATTTATCCCATTATGATGCGACATTTGTATAATCTTAAGCTCGTTAATTGTGATTGAGATTGTGAAACGTTTAGCAAATAATTTCACTTTACCCGTAATGTTACAATGAAATTTAAATTTAATTTCTTAACGGTAGACGTGGCTTCAAACATATTTATATTTCGAAGAATTGTTTTATAATACACAGTACAGAACACATTTGCATAGGTATAAGTAAATTTAACATAGATATGTGAAATGGACATTATTTTTTAGGAAGAGGGCCGGATAGTGGGGGGTGGAATCAAAGCAGTAGGCGGAGGGGCTCGCGTGGCGCGACTTGCAGCTGAACTTTCAAACACCACTACTACCACAGCACTACCAAAAGCTTCCAAGCCCAAGGATCTGATGAGATCAGTCGGAAAAATCGAGAGAGACGACTGGAACGTTAAAGAAATCGAACGAAAGATTTTGGAGAATCGGCTCGGCAGGCCCGAACCGAAAGGCGCGGAGAAGGTGCCAAAGTGGGATAGAGAACAAGTGGGTCTTGTTGATATGAAACTATTTTTATGTAATTTAGTAATGTACTGAAATATAGACTGTTTTATGGATGTTTAGAGTCAAGTCTGAAAGTCTGAACATCCATACAACAGATAATTAAGTCTGATTCCACTTTGGTGAAATCGGGCCTTAGACTGTCTCTAAAGCCCGATTTGACCAAAGTGGAATCAGACTTGTCCCAGAGTAAAAATACACATCGTTTATTGGGGATATTAAATTAATTATTCTACGGTAACTTCGTATTCGGCCGATTCCTCCTCAGTAAAGTACTATTGCAGCAGACTATTAACTGCATATTAACTGTTAACGGAAGAAAAAACTATAATAACAGAATAAGAAACAATAACAAAATAGCGCATATATAACTATGATGGCTCATCGCTTGCTAATGTATACCAGCTCATCCAAGATATTTTAACAATTAGAATGATATTTACTTTCATATGTATTAAAAAAGAAAGGTTTTTATATTTATGACGCATTTTTCGATGATAATGAAACTGTGGGACCAATTTCGTGATAAATAAAATCACTTCGGTCCCATCTAGCGACATCTGGTGAGCGTAAGATTATTAGCACTAATTGAGATGTGTTAATCGCAATCAACATATATGTTCTGCCCTGTCCATTCCAACGACCCTTCCTATAAAAATCCTTAAATTCGCAATTAAAATTTTGAGGGTCATTTATCGGGATAAAAACTATCCTATCTCTCAAGTTATGACCAACATGCACACAGTGTGCAAAATTTCATTGAAATCAGTTCAGTAGGAGTCCATCGTGGACAAACAACGTGACACGTAACTTTTATATATATATATTAATAATAATAATATTAGATAATTTCATATTTTATAATGAAGTGTTCTTGGCAACCTAAATTAATCGTCAAACAAATCTATACAAATAAATGAAATTGGAGTGGTTGTGTGTAATTTCAAAATAATATGTTTTTACTAAATGCATATGAAAGTACGGTACTTATAATAAAAACAGAATTTTCAAGATTTTTGTCTCTGTCTGTTTGTTTCGGCTAATCTCTGAAATGGCTGGACCGATTTTGACGGGACATCCACAGCCAGATAGCTGATGTTATAAGGAGCAACATAGGCTACTTTTAGACTGTCGTAGACCACTCCTAACACAAGTATTTTAAGCTTACCACGAGTGGTTTAAGAGTATATTAGTAATGTGCATTGCTAATATATTAATATTTTTTTTTAAATTGTAACAATTTTTGGCAATTACAATACATCTTTTAGGTGTACAATACCCTTATATTCTATGTTCCATAGGATGTAAGGGTGAAAAGGCTATCTTAATTTCCATAGAGAACCCTATTGATAGACTGACATCGGGCTTTGACAACAGTCTCATTTCCGAGTATATATCCAATAATGTAAAACCCAAACTCCACAGACGGGAAGGGGTTGGAGGCAGGATCACTAGTGCGAGGGTATCGGTCGGCTCTGTATTCACAAACCCTCCTGTTCAGCGTGGTTCATTGATCTTTCAAAGTATACAATAATAATTTAAATTTAAAAATTTTGTACAACCGATTTCAATATAAATTATTAAGAATAACTTAAAAACCATTGATCAGACTTTGATCAAATTTATATGGGACCACATGACAAGCACCAGCTTTCAAATAAAAAAGAATCATCGAAATCGGTTCACCCAGAAAAAGTTCTGAGGTAACACACATAGAAAAACATAAATTGAGTACTGTCTCCTTTTTGAAGTCGGTAGATAAAGTATATGTTTAGAAGTGGTCTTTAATAAAATCTGACAATGATAGCAACCCAATTGTGATAATCAAAATAAAATTACTAAGGGGTGTCCACTATATCTCTAATGAATAATGATACACAATAACAAACTATAAAGAGTCATTGAAAATAGATTTTCCTTCTAGGTTGAAATTAAGACACTAAAATTTGAACGTCGTTAAAATAATATTATAATTTGTTATGAAGTCGGCACATTTATAGGTATTAATAAAAACATTTTTCACTTCAGTTTCTTGGCCGTCAAAGAAGGTTGAAGGAAGGTGAACAGGCTGAAGAGAAGTGGGGTGAAATCGACGATACTCTGCACAAACTTGACCAGAAGTTAAAGGACTCAGGTCGACCAGACCATGGCACCAAAAAGGTCTGTGAGTCGTATTTGAGACAGTAAGATTTGAATAGTTAGTAGTCGAATGTAAAATATTATTTATTTATTTATTATCTTTTTTCAGGTCGCTAACTTAGCTACAAAGTTTGTTAAAAGGGAGGAACCTGACACCGCTAAAGTTATTCCCAAAGAAGAGGCAAGTGCTTTTCGTATCAATTTATTATATTTTTTCACAAATACAAAAACGTGTAGTATATAATTGTATAACCATTATACGAAATGTTGTAAGTAGGCAAAGATTCAAAATGTAGACGAGTTTTTATAACGGAGGACTAAGATAAAATGCTTCATGACCATTAAAAAGGTCTTCGTTTGTATCTTCAAATGAAACCACTAATGCTGTGTATGCTGTGTACAGGTGTCCACCATACTAAACACAGAGTTATGCTGCCTATCTATATGTATATGTATGTTATGATATATATAATAAATATCTTAACCGAGGCCCATACACAGTCGAGCGGACCTTTTCGTGTTGCAACCATAATTAGACTGTGACCTACCTTTCTACCACGTATTTTTAATTTCATGTTTACAGAGCAAAAAGAGTTGGCGTGGTCCGTCTTCGACAGGAGTACAATGCGCCTCTTGCGGGATGCGTGTTTTCGCGGCGGAGGGAGTTACTGCTGATGGCTTGCATTTGCACAGGGCTTGTTTTCGATGCGCTGTTTGCAAGACGGTTCTGAGGCCTGGGTAAGAGCGGGTTCGGCATTTTAAATCCTATTATAAACTTATTATTTTAAATAATAGAAACCTTCCAAAGTTACTAAAACTGCCCAGTTATACTGCTGTTATTAGACTATCAGCAAACAAATTAAACTAACACAAAATTATTACATTTTTAGCTTCTTGAGATTTTTCTTAAATCGGCCCAATTTTGAAATTGGGGAATACGGGGTGTTGGTTTCGTTAATTTTTCATGGGTATACCGAATTGTAGTTGTTTCTCTCGGTTTTTTGGTTCTGTTTGGGCATAGTGTAGACAGTGGTAGTAGAGATGAGACATACTTGCAAAATTTAATACCAGGGCTTCTAAGTACGAGTATGGAAAAACACCAGGGTCGAAAACCAGGTTTTAAAAATACTTGAAAGTATTTGTTAATGTCAATATATATATGAATGCCTAATTTGATTCGGGCCAAAATTTATACTATACCTTTTTAAATTTTTTTTGGTAACGAAATAAAATCTTTCCTTCCTACTTTTCGGCTTAGGACTCTTAATAAATAAAAGTTTAAAAACTGTCTCTAAATTCAATATACACGCGAAATAACTATTTAAAAATTAGGTCAGGGTGAGTAGGTTACGTAATCAGTTCACAATAATAATTGAATTTACAAGAAATCGAAACAAAACTTTTACTTCCCCGAATATAAACATAATTCTTATTACTTACTAGCTACTTACGCGACGTGTCCAGCTCCAGCCGCGGTGTCAGTTTGAAAATACTTGCAAAGAGTATAGTAATATATAAGGAAGAATACTTGCATAGGAATTCGACCCGCTTTCCATGTTAGGCTATTATGACTAAGGAGCAAATTCGTATAAATAAAAAAAAAATACTTTCAAGTTCAAAGTATTTTTAATTCACAAATACGATTGAGTTTCTTATTACTATTGAGATATGGATCATTTTCCTATGCAAGTATTCTCATACTTGTAAGTATTTTTTGGTCGTAAAAGGGCGCCGTACTTTAAAGTTAAAACCTGGTAGCGTAAATACGTCTCATTGCGACGCGAGGGACGTGTCCAGCCGTGGTGTCAAAATTTGAAAATACTTGCATAGGAATTTCACCCGTATTCCATGTTATCCTACTATGAATAAGGAGCAAAGTCGTATAAATAAATAAAACATACTTTGAAGTTCTAAGTATTTTTCGTTAACAAATACGATTGAGTTCCTTACTACTATTGAGATATGGATGATTTTCCTATGCAAGTATTTTCATACTTGCAAGTATTTTTTGCTCGTACCAGGGCGCCGTACTTTGAAGTGAATACCTGGTTTTAAAACCTGGTAGCGTAAATACGTCTCATCTTTAAGTGGTAGAGCTAAGCGGTAAGCTTTTGCTGTCGCACGGATGGGCCAGCTCGAACCGGGGTGGTACCACGACCTCACAGAATACCAGCGTGAACTAGAAGTTTACCTCTGCGTTGCGCGCGGTGAGTGCAGGTGGCCGGAGGCCCAATCCCCCCCCCCCCACCCCATCAACATGATAGTGGAATTAAATAAAAGACTACCCCAGGAGGGTACCAGCACCCCTGGAGAATCCCTCGCTGAGCATCCACGACCAAACTACTTCACTCTTCACTCCTGAGCGTGGGTGCTCAGACTGCCCCGCGTATTCGGGGGGGGGGGGGGCTTGGGGCAAAATTCCGCTCGCGACTAATGCTGCTCGGGGCAAGCGGAGCAATACAACCAAGGCGACCCCTGTCACGCTATCCGTGAATTTTTGCAACATCAGGGGACTTCATTCCAACCTTAACGCTGTTCATTACCATCTAGAGACGGCGAAGCTGGCCATGCTCTTTTTAACCGAGACTCAGGTGTCCTCTCCGGCTGATACTTCATATCTTTCCTACCCGGGGTACAAGTTGGAATACTCCTTTATGCCTCCGGGCTGGAGTTTGCGTATAAGTCAGAGAGGACATCTGTTTTCGACGCCTCGGCAGTCTTGAAGGTACGGACCTGTCCATCCTATGGGTGCGCGTAGACAGCGACGACCATCCCCGCTTCTACGGGTGCCTCTATAGGTCCCATAGAGGTAATGCCGACATAGATCGACACATCGACCACGTCCAAATGGCTGCAGACTCCGTGCTACAACAGGTCCCGTCCGCAGAGATCGTGATACTCGGTGATTTTAACGTCCACCACGCTGAATGGCTTGGTTCTCGTTTAACCGATCATGCAGATAGATCTGTCTATGACTTTGCTTTGGCATATGGTCTAACACAACTGGTTACTTCGCCTACGCGGATCCCAGATGTGGAAGACCATGTACCTTCCCTGTTGGACCTTCTGCTGACCTCTCATCCGGACGGATATCAGGTCTCCGTCGATGCCCCTCTAGGCTCTTCGGACCATTGTCTGATCCGGAGTACGGTGCCACTCACGCTCCAATCGCAGTTGCGATCTGCAGCTTGCCGCCGTGTTTGGCACTATAGGTCAGCTGATTGGGACGGGATGCGGTCTTTTTTTGCATCCTACCCTTGGGGGCGGGCTTGTTTCTCGCCGGAAGATCCCAACGTCGTTGCCGATTCTGTTGCTGATGTGGTAATTCAGGGTATGGAACTTTTAATTTCATCCTCTGTGGTGCCCATCGGAAGCAGATCCCAGCCATGGTTTGGTCGCTCCTGTAAAATAGCATCACGCTATAAGCAGGAGTGCTACCGGGCCTGGGCTGACGCATCAACGTCTCGGGATGTAAATACCAGCGCACTTAAAAAGAAGTATAATTCCGCCTCCAGGTCTTTCAAAAGCGTCATTGCCAAGGCAAGGTCTGAGCACATCGGCAGAATTGGCGAGAAGCTAGTTCGCCTTCCTTCGGGAACCCGTGCATTCTGGTCTCTCGTCAAGGCTGTCCAAGGGAACTTCTGTTAGCCATCTCTTCCATCTCTGCACAGAGAGGACGACTCACTGGCCCATGCCGCAAAGGAGAAAGCCGATCTGTTGAGCTCTCTTTTTGCGTCCAACTCGACTCTAGATGACGGGGGAAACACACCGCCGGTCATCCCGCGATGTGAGTGCTTCATGCTGGATGTGCAATTTACACAGCGCTCGGTTCGCAAAGCACTCTTCTCCCTGGACGTCAGCAAGTCGAGTGGGCACGATGGAGTCCCTCCCATTGTGCTGAAGACGTGTGCTCCGGAGTTGGCACCGGTTTTACCGCGTCTTTTCTGGTACTCCTACTCCCAAGGAGTAGTCCCGAATTCATGAAAGACAGCTTTGGTCCACCCGATCCCTAAAAAAGGCGACCGCTCAGACCCGTCCAACTACAGGCCTATTGCCATCACCTTCTTGTTCCTTAAAATAATGGAATCCATTATAAACTGCCAGCTTTGAGGCCTTGAGGATCACCAGCTGATTAGTGACCGCCAGTACGGTTTTCGTCGAGGTCGATCAGCTGGTGATCTTCTAGTCATTACTTCATTCACTAGTCATTAGTGCAACTTTACAAAGCACAAGTTCGGCCCCACATGGAATACTGTTCTCATTTCTGGGCCGGGGCACCCCAGTGCCAGCTCCTTCCACTTGACCGCATCCAGCGCAGAGCGGTTCGAATCGTCGACGACCGAGTTCTTTCTGATCGGCTCGATACACCGGCACTGCGTAGAGATGTTGCATCTCTTTGCGTATTTTGCCGCATCTATCACGGGGAGTGCTCTGAGGAATTGTTCGGACTAATTCCAGCCGCTCAATTTCACCATCACACATCGCGACAAAACTCGCGTTACCATCCATACCATCTGGATGATTGGCGGTCCACCACTGTGCGATTTAGAAGAAGTTTTCTCCCTCGCACAACTTCCTTGTGGAATCAATTGCCACCAGCGAATTTTCCGGACCGATACGACTTAGGAACCTTCAAGAAAAGAGCTTACAACTTTCTAAAAGGCCGGCAACGCATCTGCAATTCCCCTGGTGTTGCGGTTGTTCATGGGCGGCGGTAGTCACTTACTATCAGGTGAGCCGCATGCTCGTTTGCCCCCTCTTCTATAAAAAAAAAAATAGTGCAAGTGTAACAGCAATTAAACACTAATAGTTAAAAAATTCTTTACCTCAACTACCTACCGTAACTAATTCAACAGTTAAGTATAGACATTAAAGTGTGCTGTGTGACAGGAATACATTCTATCTAAAAATATCGAACTTAAATTCCACTATAGTCTTTGCGTTATAGCATGGCATGGTGCGGGTGACAGGTTGACAGGTCACTAGAACATAACTTGCATGCGTTTGCAAGATTACATTTTTAACTATGAGAAAATAACCCTGAATTTGTTTTTATTTTATTAAATTAATATTAACTTAAAAAATCCCATATAGCTTTTTTACTAATAAAATTTTAAAAATTTCATTTATTTCACTTGCGTGCGCAATTACATACTATGCATACTCCGACTCATAATCCAACGTAAAAACTGTCAGACGAATATAATCGCTAAAAATAAGTAAGATAATTGTATTTTATACGTGGTGCAATACCGTCATATTCATATACATACTAAATTTAAGTAACTTTCAATTCATGTACTACAATAAAAAAATAGAGAAAGTTGTAAAATTAAGAGAAAGGAATTAAATAATTTTAAATTTATTCCGCAATTTTTTGGATTTCGCTTAAAGTAATCTCGAAGGCGAATGACCAACCCCTCCCGCTTGATTCGCCTTAACAATGTTTTTGTCCGTTTTGGCACTTTAAATAAACAAACTCAACAAATAGCAAAAATTAACTTCATATAACACAACAATAAACTCAATAATCGAAAGTAAAAGCAAAGTAAACTCAACTGGAAATTACAAAGCGGCCGCACTAGTGTTGCCCGTTGCGCAGGACGTCCCGATCTTCAGGGGTTTGGTGACACGTCCCGATTCATTGATCGGGACGACAAATGTCCCGATTTTTTACGTTTAATTAAGTCAGCAAAATGAATACATCTGTAATCTAAAATTACTAAATGTAATCTGTAATCACTGAAGCTATTACTACATTTAAATATTTTAGCATTTACTTTTCATATTTTATCACCAAACTCGGACTAAAGTGTTAACATCAAAGTTTTAAATTTTACGTGTATTGTGTTATATTGCGAGATACAGATATCATTCATGCTGTTTTGGTTCTGTTCTGTTTTTTATTTTTTATTCTATTAGATTTGTAAACCAAATTTTCGATTATTTTTACCTTCCGTTTCGAGATTTGACCTACGGGACCTGACAACACTTATATACATTTATAGCGAAAGGCACTAGCACACGTATCTTGTAAAGCTGCAGGTGTAGTCAACGCCTTACTAGAAATCACAGGTGCTGGCAGTCATTTTATTTCTTTTAATGTTAAGAAAAATGTTACAATTAACATAAAATAAAAAATAAAAACATTTTTATTTTCAAATTAATACATGTAATGTCACTAATACACTATAATGTCATAATTTGTATTAAACTGTATCTAAAATTTACATGCACTGTAATTTATTTATAAAGAAATATATATTTCGGTAAATTTTTTTAATCGATAGCTAATCGATCATTTTTGCTTTGCTTTGTTTATCGCTAATCGCCTTTTTTAAATCGATTTAACACTGTTCCATCTTTAGTCACGCTAAACTAAGCTGTCACCCGCACCATGCTATAACGCAAATACTATAACTGTTGATAATTACGCATATCTGATGTTTTATTCTGGGTTTGGACCTAAGGGAATAAAAACCCCGCTGCACCGCTTGTTGCACTTTACTCCCGTAGTGTTGTATACACTAAGTTCTTGACTCTGAGTATACAACATTGAATAACAATATAAACTGGGCAATGTGATCTTATTAAAATTGTTCTGCGCTTTTTGCACTGACTCCCTTACCAACCTTGTACATAATGAAGCTACTAAATATCGTAATTAATTAATTTAATTGCACATGCTACTGCTACAATTCGCGATGCAGCAAAAAAAAAGAGAGCAGAGATTATTAATCATAGAATATCAAGTATATTATTGTGTTCGGTTACGCTATAATATAATACTCTTTCGGACAAAACTTAAAAACTTCTAAGAATAATTATCAAGAATGAAATCGTTAAGAATAATAAATTACAAGAAAACGTTTAAGTTATACAGAGTTATTTTTCAAAGAGTATCGAAATTTTAAACTTCAAATATATAAGTTCAAATATATAAATAATGATATACCGTAATTGCAGTTTTTGAAAATATGAGTAAATAGGGTTTCTACATTAATTTGAAATTATCCCAAATTGGATGTGATTATTATAACGTTTTGTTGCCTACCGATCGACCCTTACGAATGTGTGAGTACGCAGTAAAAAATTATGCATTACCACGCATTTTGAATTTAAAAGATAAAAAGGACAAGATGTTTGAGATTTTTTAAATTATTTTTTCTTCAGCATTTGCCTATATTGCATATTTCGAACCTGCTCAGCAAATATGGCCGGTTATTGCAAAATAACCCTGCAAAATAACACTTCAATTTTACATAAATCAATTCGCATAAAAATTATTGTTATATTAGATCTATGTATTACAATGATAAATGACTGAACGTTTTCTCTAGCTCCTATTCCTTTAGTAAATCCCGATAAACATGGATACAGTTTTTAAGTAATGGTACATCACACATTGAACCTTTTTTTACCATTATGTACATTTGTCGAGCAGAAGATCCAATGTAGGCCGATCAAACACAAACGCTATTGTTTTGAAAGCGCGGAGAACTGATTGGAAAGCTTTCAGGCTTGTCCTCTATAACTCTGCCTACCGTAAAACTAAGAGACTTTGTAACTTTAAACATAAATATATTTTTCAACAAGGGAATTTAAAAATGCTGTCTAAAAATAAATCTATGCACTCTATGATCTCGACAACAACCACCATTGGTCCATTTGTTTATTTATCTTTTAGGGACGGTCTACAAACAAAATTACTCATTGTCCTTTATCACAAAAGTTACGCTAGCAAAAGATAGAATTACAACTTTTACTACAATAAAGTACTAAAGCATTAGTGACCTTTTTGTAACTTTACTACTCTATGACACCAGCATGTATGTATACTGCAGTTGTGTATTGTATATGTGTATTAAATTTGCGTTGCTAGCAAAACGTCTTGCTAGCAACGCAATGAAGTTATTAGATATACGATAATTATTAATAGCAAGGAATAAGTGCTAATTAGGTGCTGCAATTATACGCAATAATAACGTGCCCCTAATAAAAATAAAGTCATTATTCAGAACATAGCAGATGCAAAATTCAGATATCCTGAAAATCAAAATAGAATCAAAATTGCTTTCAGAAAAAGTCCAAATTAGGGGATTTTTAGGTGCTAATTAAGTACCAAGTTTAAAAATTAGTTGCTCCAAAATTTTCATCGCAACGAACCATTGAAATTTGCGTTGCTGGCAAAACGTATCGCTGTCAACGCATTGAAGTTATTAGATATACGATAAATATTAATAGCAAGGAATTAAGTGCTAACTAGGTGCTGCAAGTATAGGCAATGACAAGGCGCCCCAGATAAAAATAAAGTTGAAAATTTTAGAGCACCTAATTTTTAAACTTGGCACCTAATTAGGACCTAAAAAGCCCCTAATTTTGGATTTTTCCAAATGCAAATGCCCGACTTTGCGTTGCTAGCGATACACAACTGTATACTGCATACGTATACCGTAAAATAAGACTGACTGATAATTGTTTAATTTTCAAATTTTTTCTTTTTAACCTTTGGGGTTTCGGATTATAAATTCAACAACAGCAATTTTCCATCGCAACAATCCACTAAGCTAATTTCCATTCAATATCATTTTAATTTAAATATACTGGATGACTTTTTCACCGAGAGGAAAACAATATTGTGTAATAAGTGAACGAATTAGAAGTCTATGACATAGATAGTTTATAAATTTATCGTTTTTCAATGACTTTTTATGAAATTGGTTCATCAATAAATACCACTAATTTGAAGTAAACTTTTATCTAGCCGTCGGTTCAAGATCAATGACTTAAACAATCATTGATACTTACCACACGTAAAGTAGGGTGCGCATGATTAGTATTTCGTTGCTTTAATTGTTTTTTTTTGAAGTGAAAACTTCTTTAGAATCGTTGTGATTTGAAACTTGATGAAATGAAAAAACGACACTAAAAAGAGACAACATATACATTTGTAAGATTTAATCTGCGAGAGGATGAGATAGACTACAATATACAGTGTTTCCTACCTGTTTAGGCTTTCTAGCGTCTATTTTACGTACCACTTTGACAGTCAATCATATTTTGTTAATCATATTTTGTTCAATAGATTGGCTATCTGTAGAATGAATTAAATGGTGCTATTAAAAAGCAATTTTTGAAAAATATCTATGCCATAGTCTTTCAATTCGTTCACCTCTTACATTTTTTTTCTCGCGGTAAAATGTAATCCGGCTTAATATTTCCTTGAACTGGCGTTCTATTTTACGGAGAAATACAATTTTATTTACTGAACCGTTTTCATTCTTTGTTCTCACGACTGTATTATTTAAACGTATTTTGAACATTCTTAATTATTTCATGAACAGAAACTACACTATGGAGCGGTACGGCAGTCGCCTAGTATGCATGCGCCACTCGGGCGTTAGCGTTCCGGATGCCGTAACGGCTACGACCGTTTTGACACCGTCTTCTCAACCTCAAGCCATCACTTCTACACCGGAACGAATTAGTCTAGAACTTTCGGACGGTGGCGCGCGAGAAATCGATGAAGATGAATGGACTGATAGGAACTGCCTCGCATCTGAGACATCGGGTGCCGGTGGACTAAGGTACAAGGATATACAATATGAGAAATTGTTAAGGAAAAATTGTTGCAGCAACTGTGTAGAAGAACATATTAAAAACATCATTAATTTTAAAGAAAAAATAAATGAAATCGCCACATACAAAGTAATTTTTTAGAGTAAAGCAAAATGGTCAATCACCACAGATTTAGTTAATGGATGCTAGCAAAAGTGTTTGTTTTTTTTAGGGTTATTTTATAGTTAGGCTTGATGCGCCAAGCAAAAGCAATGTCAGACGGAGATATAATAAAAGAGATATATAATAATAAAAGATTATTTGTACTCGTATATAACGAATTTTCGAATTACAAATTCCTATTCGTGTCTTGTTGATCTGGCTTAGTAGGTTTCCTTTTTTGAAATCCTTGTGAGTTAGGTATATTGTTAGGAGCCAAGTACAAGGTTTAAGTGATAATATATCGTTAGTATTTTTGTGACTGTAACGACAAGAAAAAATGTTTTAACAATATATTTTCTGGTAATTAACCTGGGAAACCATGAACGGTTTCCATCAAAACTTCTTAAAGTATAAATCAACTTTTGCTGCAACTTTAAGTTTTTTCGCTTGGTTCTTTTTTTTGTATCACACGTTGATTGGTTCAAAAACAAAAAAAAGTGTTTAGACCTTAAAGAGACCCGGCTCAATCAGCGCAGAAAATTGCTGATTACAGTTATTACGAGGGCGGCACTGAAAATTTCGGGAATCAAGGAAGTGACACAACATTACTATTTAAAAATGTATTTATTGCTTTTCGAAGTATTCTCCGCGAAATTTGATACATTTTTCCATACGATGGAACCAATCATTGAAGCAACCATTCCATTCGGAAGTTGGGGTCTCCAAAATGGCCGTTTTGTAGGCGTCCACAGCTTTTTCAGGTGATGAAAATATTGTCCACGCAATATATTCTTTATTTTAGGGAAAGTATAGAAATCATTAGGGCTTAGGTCGGGGCTGTACGGCGGATGGTCTAATAATTCTATGTTTTCTTGCTCTAAAAACTCTTTTGTTCTGTGTGCGGTGTGAGAACTCGCTTTGTCGTGATGGAGGATGATGCGGCGGTTGCAGTTCTCTTTACGGAGTTCAGAAACGACCTGTGGCAAACAAATGCTAGCATACCATTCTGCATTAACCGTTCTTTGTCCCTCAAGAGGAATAGTCGTAACATGGCCGGTTTTGGAGACAAACATGGCCACCATTTTTTTTGCAACACTCCGTGAACGAACAATTTTTGTTGGCTTTAACTCATTTTCGAACACCCAAACTCGTGACTGGTTTTTTGTTTCGGGTTCGTACGCGTATATCCAGGATTCGTCACATAATACGATTTGAGGATCCTGCGTGGAATCTTTCGAGAGTTCTGAAGCATCAAGTAACGCGAGCCGCTTTTTGCTCTTCACAGAGCGAATGCGGTATCCATCGGAAAAACAACTTTTTTACACCTAATTGTTCATGTAAGATTATTTGTATTTGACTCATGCCAATGTCTAAAGTTGCCTGAATTGCGCGGTATGTCACATGTCGATCTTCCTCAATCAGCTTACGCACAGCATCAACGTTTTCTTGGGTGACTGCAGTTTTTGGACGACCTTGACGGGGATCATCACTGAGCTTGACACGTCCACGTTGAAATTCAGCAAACCAGCGATAAATTGTGGTTTTGGATGGGGCTTCATTACCAAATGCAGAAATCATCCGACCAACACACTGTTTTTGTGTTAAACCACTTCGAAAGTCATAATAAATCATCGCTCTTGAATTTTCTCGAGTCAATTCCATTTTCTCAACGACTAAACAAGTTTGACAAAACCTTGTGACAAGACCGAGAATCTTTTTTTAAATAAATAAATGGTATTCGATTTTTAAAACCAAGGACTTTTCAATTAAAAAAAATTTAATATGACAGGAACAGTGGAAATATTCCATTCCCGATACTTATAGTGCAGCCCTCGTAGTACATATGCCGCTTAAACCATTTTGCATTTCATCTGTCGATATGTGGATAACGTCTTTTTAAGAGCATTAAACTAAAAGCTTTTATTAATTTCCAAAAAAGAAGAGCCTCATTTCTTCATATATAATTAATTATTATTCGAATAATTAATTATTCCGGATTATAGCGAGGAGGAATCGTCGGAGGAGTGGACTGACGTTGAAAGCGATGATGAAGCGCAAAGATCACCGAAACCGGTTCGCGAGTCCGCGCCTAGATCTGCACACCGGACCAAATCGGACCTGCTCATGCTTTACTTTTCCGATGACTCTTTCGGCTACGATGACTACTCCGATGATGGTAAGATTTACAACTTTATTTGGTTCCATAGTTTATTCTGGTTCACGACGGGAAGTGAAACATTCGAAGAACTTTTTAAAATTTATTGTATTTCGAGGACATAAGAAATCTTATTCATGTTCATCATTGTGTTATTTTTGAAGTGAAAACTTCTTTAGCATCGTTGTGATACTCAAATAACCGGCGAAGTGCGAGTCGGACTCGCGCATGAAGGGTACCGTACCATCGTAACACACGTTTCTAGTAAGGGGAGTCCCTTTTAATTTTTAAATAATTTTTATTTTTATTGTGTTTTATTATAGCGGCGACAGAAATACACATTCTGTGAAAATTTCAACTGTCTACCTATTGCGGATCATGAGATACAGGCCGCCGACAGACATACTAACGGACTGCGGAGGCTTGGTAATAGGGTCCCGTTGGATACACTTTGGGTACGGAACCCTAAAAACGACACTAAAAAGAGACAAATATATAAATATATTGGATAGCCTTAAGAGAGAATCACTAATATAATAAAGCGAAAGTAGTTTTTTGTTTCTTTAAACACGCTAATCTCTGGAACTACCGATTCGATTTGATAAATTATTTTTGCATATGATTTACGATCTAGCATTAGGCTACACCTCTCAAGGCCAAATACACAAACGCTTCTCAATTTTAAGAAGTGGTTAAGTCTCGTGGTGTCACAGTCACTTTGACCTAAAGTGATAGAGACAGCACCAAACTTAAACGCATCTTAAAATAAAGTAGCATTTTGAGTATTTGGGCATCAGATAGCCTTAAATATTGATTTTTGTTAAGGACGTAGTTACGCATGCTCACATTGAAACAGTTTCCCGATATATTTTATATATTACACCTAACTAAAGTTGATACTTGCTCAGACCAACGAAGGAAGAAAGACAGAGCGCCGCGTACATTTGAACAACAACAACAACTGCAACCATGCTCAACTTCCTGACACGCGCTCTCGCATACATCTTATTCTTTTTTTTTCTTTATCAGCCCGTAAAAGTTTACTGATGGCTGCACACATGGATGCACCTAAAACCAAGTGAACAATGGTTGCAAATTATTTTAAATGCGTACATGTATGTGAGTGCGTGTTCTCGCAATAAGGTGAGCATAGTTTTGGCTTGGTTTTTGCATCCCTTGAAATGTACGCAGCGCTCCGTTTTTCTTTCTTTGTTTGTATGGAGGCTACTTGAAGTATTATTAATTTTAGGAGTGTTAAGAAAAAATAGTTGGCAAAACTTTGCAATCGCATTTGGTATCTATCATGATAATAATGTTTATATTATATGTAAATTTGAGAGTGGGGTGCGGGTTCAGTATTATTAAAAATAATTTTGTATAGGAAGCCTGAGCACGATTGGGCTTGTTTTACCATACATGTACAGATTGTATTGCATGTGAGAGGGAGGAATCTATTATTTTTGGAACGAAGTTCTTTATCGGTTGGTACGGATTAGGAGGAAAAAAGTGTAAGATTTTCCCGTCAAGACCCCTTCTGACATGTGTTGACGGCCTTGGCGGCTATCCATTTCCCTCGCACTTTTTCTTATCTTGCCATGAAAGAAATATTATTTTATTTTAAATGAAGCTTCAGTTTAATAGACGCTAGTAATTCATTTATTTATATTATTTGTTAATCAATAATATAATACGTTTATCAATTATAATATACTACGAAAGGAACTTCGTTCCAACCGAGTGTTCCACAACACTCACACATGTTTTTTAAATCAAAAATAAAATTTGTAAAGGTGTGCTTTTACACGTTATATCATCACTATGTTTTTATTCGTAGGTGGTGTATCATAAAGATCAGAAAGCTAAAATAAGATATCATAATCTTAGATTTATATATCCCTTGTATCAACTAGCTCTGGTGTAAGCAGTTATTGTAGAATTTTACTAAAAATCCCTCCACGTTTTCCTTCCAGAACAGGTCGTCTCATTTTATGAATTGAAATTTAATTTTACCGTCGCCTATCCACAGGCAAATATACACATATTTTTAACCAGTTCGCAATTGGCCCTGAATTTGGTTTTTATGTTGACTGTGAAAACGTCAGATTTATACAACCAAAAGTCTACTTTTTTTTCTTTGATTGCTTTTTCGGGTTCATGGGCATCACTTCTAAAGAACCCAGTTCATATTTGCCAGAAATTAATATTTGTGGCATATTTGTAAACTAGTAATGTGTGTTAACATTTAAAGCCCTTTCTAATTCTCGGGACGCTTTACGCTCGTTGTTCTTGCTATTTTTTATAGATTACTTAAATCGTAACAACACAGTAATTGCTTAACGTGGAGAACACAGTTGGTATTTTCAAGCCGTTTACAGTCTGGTAAACCATGAAGCTGTCAACTTTTCTTCTGGTTTTCAAGAGCGAGTTTGCATTTTGTAAAACAGTGCTCCTTTCAATAAAGGTTTTCTGTTCTGGGGACTACAGCAATTGTAATATAAGTTCAAGTATTTTTAAGTATAGGTCCATGGCCTGACAAAGACCTTTTACGATACTGAAATTTTGGTGATGGGACTCATCTAAAAAAGAAAGGAAGAGAAGAAGATATTGGGATCATCCAGTGAATAATAAAGGAGAGTTTAAAGGCGAGTTTCATTGTCTTGTTAAAGAGCTTGGGAACGATGCTCAAAGATTTCATCACTAATTTCGATTGTCAAAGGCACAGTTTGGGAAATTTCATTATTTCATTGAAAAGGATAAAAAAAAAATACATACGAAGTTTCGTAAACTTGTAGGGACAAAAAAAAGACTTCAAATTTAAAAAATACCTGTATTTTATATTGAGCCAAAGATACATGCTATTTTGACGTGTCAAAACACAACACTGGCGCGTGCACATTTCTTTGATGTGTCTTTAGACGGCTGTTCTTCCGCTCCCTCATTTTCACCGCTCTGATGCGATCGGAATCTCTTCTGATGCGTGGTATTAGAAGCTATCACAGTACATTACGCCATGGAATTATAACCAACCTCAAAACAAGGGAAGACGTTTGCGGATGTTGCCCGAAAATCTTTACAACCGGCACCCTCTTGTGGTCGAAAGCGGAAGAATGTGGAAATAAAATCAGTTCCAGTGGTGACCCAAGACAAGATTGATAAGGACGGGTTTACTCTTGTTGAGAAGAGACGTCGGTCGCGACCCGTCTGTAACCAGCGTGGGACCGCGAAAATAAACGCGAGTACAACTCTGCGTGCTGTGGAGCCAACCATACAACTGTACATCTCCCGTTTGGACAAAAGTACGTCGGAAGAAGACGTCCTGCGCTTCGTGGAAGAACGAAGCCGATGCCGCATTGAGGATCCGATCTCTTTACATTTGCAGCGTCTGGAGTCTAATAGGTCAACGAACTTCAAATCCTACGTACTCCAGGTTCCTGCAAAACATAAAGAGACATTCCTCGCTCCCGATTTCTGGCCCTCTGGGGTAGTGTTTCGCCGATACAGGGACGCGCCAAAGAAAAGAGTTCCCTAAATAGTGTTAAGTTATGTCTATATTTTATATATATTTTTAGGTTAAGGTATATATTGCTATGGGCCAATGTTCTTAATTTTTAAGTCCTTGATGCCTGAAATAAAGTTATTGTATTGTATTGTATTGTATATTAAATCTCACCATACTAATTGTATGAAACCGATACCGTCCTGATACGTTATAACACAACACGTCAAACGAATGTAAATTCGGCTTTAGTTACATTATTTTTGGGTTGTTAAGAAATATTTTTGGGCAGTGTTTATTATTAGAAGTAATTTATATCCATGTATATAGTAATAACAATTCATTTATTGTGCTGTTTTACACGAAAAAGAATGATGATCATCTATATATCGACGATGAAGTACCAATACCTCCTATCTTCGTTTTTAGCGATTTTCAGATTTTAATGCAGATCGACGTAAAATAATATCCTGCACGTACCAACAAAATCTCCTAAAACATTATTTAATTATTTATGCTTTAAAATACTAATAGAAATAACTGCTATTTTAAGTTGACAAAATTATTCTAAAATTTTGCTGGAAATAAATTCCTAACTTTACAAAAGAAATACCTTCTGTATTATTTTATGCATAAAATAAGAGCAAATACCCATCCATCTGCAGCAACTTAAGTCAGTATTACCCAGTGATTGTCATAGTTTTGACGATGGTCTGCCATACTCTACTTAAAAAGTTAGAGATGTTACAATTTAAGTAAAAGTTTATTGGTAATTTTTGATCTCATTGCTATTAATAACTTCATATTGTACCAGGTTGATGTTGTATTCCGTTGATATCCCGGACGCCAGTCTGAGCCAGATTAGAATGGCTCTCCAGCACCTTAAAAACGGCAAGGCCCCAGGCGAGGATGGAATTACAGCGGAGCTTCTGAAAGAAGGTGGAAAACTGGTACTCGAAGTCCTTCAGAAGCTCTTTGATTCCGTCCTCCATGGTAGCATTACACCGGAGGCGTGGAGCAGAAGTGCGGTGGTCTTGTTCTTCAAGAAAGGTGACAACGCTCTCTTGAAAAACTACAGACCGATTTCCCTTCCGAGCTGCGTCTACGTGCTCTTTTCGAGAGTCATTACGAACCGTCTCGCGCGCAAACTTGTCGACTTCCAGCCTCCCGAACAAGCTCCTTTCCGAAAAGGCTTTAGCACCATAGACCACATACATACCCTTCGGCAAATTGTACAGAAGTCCGAGAAGTACAATTTGCCACTATGTGTGGCGTATGTGGACTATGAGAAAGCCTTTGATTCCGTCGAAATATGGGCGGTGCTGCAGTCCCTTCAGCGATGCCAAGTTGACTGTCGGTATATCAAAGTGCTGAAGTGCTTGTACAGTAGGGCTACGATGGCTATTCGAGTACAGAACCAGAGTACGAAACCTATCCAATTGAAGAGAGGTGTAAGACAGGGTGACGTGATATCCTCGAAACTCTTCACCGCTGCATTGGAAGACGTTTTCAAGCTTCTGGACTGTAAAGGATACGGTATCAACATCAATGGCGAGTACATCACTCACCTTCGATTTGCCGACGATATAGTCCTTATGGCAGAATCGCTGGAGGATCTAAGCACTATGCTCAATGACCTCAATAGTGTTTCCCAACGGATAGGTCTTAAGAGGAACATGGACAAAACAAAGATCATGTTTAATGTCCATGTCACACCTATGCCGGTAGTTGTTGGGAGCACTAAGATCGAATTTGTTGACGAGTATGTTTACCTGGGACAAATAGTCCGACTAGGTAAGTTCAATTTCGACCGAGAGGTCAATCGACGGATTCAATTCGGCTGGGCAGCGTTTGGGAAATTACAGCACATCTTCTCGTCGGGTATACCTCAAAACTTGAAAACAAGACTGTACAACCAGTGCGTGTTGCCAGTGACGACCTATGGTACTGAGACGTGGTCCTTCACCGTTGGTCGTATGAGGAAGCTCAAGGTCGCTCAGCTAGCTATGGAGAGGGCTATGCTCGGAGTTTCTTTGCGTGATAAACTTAGAACTGAGGATTTCCGCAGTAGAACCAGAGTGACCGACATAGCCCAACGGATTAGTAACCTGAAGTGGTAATGGGCCGGCCATATATCTCGAAGAACCGACAACCGACGGGGAAAAAAGGTTCTCGAGTGGCGGTCTCGTACCGGCGGACGAAGTGTAGGGGATGGATGCAGGTGGCTCAGGACCGTGCTTTGTGGCACTCCTTGGGCGAGGACTTTGTTCAGCAATGGACTTGTGAAGGGCTGTAATAATGATTATGATGAAGATGTTGTTTATTTTTTATTTATAGGCGATAAGAATCTAATGTTTCATAATTTAAAGTTTTGTTCATGAAAATGCCTGAGTTGTTAGAAGTTCATTTTTGTTGTCGTAAAGTTATACTTATTTAAGTTACCATTAATTTTTTTTTCTTGTTTTGTTTATATATAATTATATCCAATAAGCACTTTAGACAACCAAGACATTAAAAACATTTGAAGTAGGTATATATATTTTTTTAATTTTCTTTCATTTGTAATAAAAAGCTACGTATTTATATTATTTTACTTTTATTATTTGCTCCTATTATCCTCTCGTTTTACCAAAATGTAACTAAACAAAAACCAATGCCTCCTATGTATAAATATTTTAATAAATACTGGTTGTACAGGAAAAAACAATTAACAGGCTGTATTTACATTCAAAAATAAAGTGAATTTATCAAATGATATCAAAATAAAAAATAAAATGAAATTATGAGAAGTTTTTTTCGCTTCCTGTAAAACTTTATGATATGAGATATTGGCACTTCGTCGTCGATATGTAATATAAACAAGTTTAAAACAAATACAAATAATGTATTATCAATGTTATAAAATTTAATCTTCATATTTATATCATCAAAATTCTATTTTCAACATTACATTTATCAATTTTATGTATGTGAGCGTGACGGTCACGCGAGTTCGGTGCCTAAAATAATGTTCACTTCAAAAACACGGTATATGCGGTTTCCGTACAGGTGCGGAGTCGTCCGGCAACGAGTCGTGCTCGCGGATGCGCGCGGCGCGCGAGGCGCGGCGGCGCGAGGTGCCCGCGGACGCGCGCCCGCCCACCGACAGCAGCGAGGTAGCACGCCACGAGCGCTGCGTGCTCGCCTAGCGCGACACTGGCGCCGCGGGAGTCGCGCGCTCGCAGCGCAACACTTGCGCGACACTTGCGCGCCTCTCGAGCGCTTATAGGGAGGGAGGTGCGCCGCGGAACGACACGCCCACGCCGCCGCCTTAACTCTTAACTGCCTATTAGAGTAGAGTGAAAAAAAATTATTTTTGGTGTTCACAATGGCATGCCCGCAAAAAGCTGCGTGGATAGGCTCAATAATCGCATACGAAAATATTTTCATCTAAATTTATATTTAAAAGTTAAAGGACAAAACAAAGTTTTGAAAAAAAAGTTAATACAAAAATTTATAAAAATCTTTCAAATTGTTCTTCTGTTGTCTCTGAACACATCCAATCATTATAGTTCGGCCGTTCAGAGAATGCGTTCCTGACACGTCGCGATTGAACTGACGACGTAACTTTGTAATGGCGTTGCAGTTACGATTACGATACGAGACTAAAAAATTTAAAAAAATTATACATTTTTCTTCGTACTGAAGCACCTCAAACAATTTTAATACATAAAATATATTTAAATTGATTATATTAATTTATAGTTCATTGGCAGCTTTTTACCACTACAAATTCAACAAAAAATATCTCCATACGTTTTCACTCCACCCTACTACGCATCGTTCTACCATACTTTAACATTCATATGCGATAATAAACCGTTAGTATGGTCATTTACAAAATTCCTTAAACTGACATTATACTTCGAAAAGTGTGCCTATAAGCTTCATATACTCACATCACCTTTTCCATCCTCCTATCGTAGTATAGTGCCACCAACTTTACTATTAAGTTGACAAAGTCGCTAATAAAGCACTTACTATTGCCATTTAAGAAATTTACAGCGGAAATAGGTGACTACATATTCATAAAATATTTGTAAGTATAGAACAGTGAACATATAACTTACCTACCTTCATAATTGTCCGTCATACATAATTATAATGCAGAATTTAACAGATCATCATAGTCATCTCAACCCATTGTCGGCTCAATAATAAGCACAAGACGGTTTAGACCTTAGTACACCACGCTAGCCATGTCCTGAGATCATTTTGAAGAATTCAGGCATGCAAGTTTGTTACCTTCGTTTCATAAAAGTAGAAAAATTAAAAAAGATAATAATGTGCAAAGAATTAAAGAACAACACTGAGGCATTGTTTTGTGTATTTATATAATACTAAAATTAAGTTTTATGAAAAACTAACTTCTCAATCAAACGTGTAATTTAATGTGTAACAAAAAACAAAAAACCTCAGTGGCAACTAGCGACATCTGGTGAGCAGAAAATTATTAGCCCTCATGCTTGTAAACGTTTCTTTTCTTTGATAAAAAATAAAATTTAGGACAATATGCTGCGCATCTCTTTTAACAGCTTTAATCATTTTATTTGTACTTTCACTATGAAATCAAATAAAGCACTCACCTGACAGCGAAATGACATTTATAAAATGACGGCCTCAGTTGCAATTTTTATCAGATAAGTTGGTGGCACTGTACCAGACGTACTGAAGGTTCCACACTTGGTTAACATTCAGAATATTCGCACTAAGCGGTATAAGTCATCTTTTATTATGCGCACAGCCAAAGAGTGGAATGCCCTGCCTGCATTTGTTTTTCCGAGTGCGTATAATCTGTACCTCTACTTGCGTGTTTTAACAGGCTTCTCCTGGGCTAACTCGCTCCATCGTAGAATATCATCATCTTTGACCTCAGGCCAAATGGAGGTCAAGAGTGAGCCCATTTTTTATATAAAAACGCAGCTCGTTAATTAGTAATGATGAGTAATTTCAACGTCTGTAGCTATCAGTTGTCGAGACAAGATACTTAACATAGTATCCCAAGTGTATGTGCTAAAACAAAGGCAGTTTGTGATAACCCGAACCCGAATACACGCATAACGCAAGTTATGTTAAGTTAGTTTGATAAGATATAGATGAAGGTACAATATGGTATCAACACGACCTTCGTACTTCATTGCAAAAATTCTTTTTACATTTTAAATCTTCATTTTTGCCTCTTTTTAATTCTTATCGTGTTTAATATTAGCTTTGATTTAACACAAGGCGGCGGCAGAAATCGTGAATATGAGTGTATATTTCGCCCACACTAATTTCCGTCTCTATTAACTTATTGTTTTATTTGAATATTTAATAACAATGTAAAAATAATACAGTCCAACATTTCGTAATGTATGAGTTTTCAGCTTGTAGTTGCATTTGATCCCATTTATTATTATTCCTGAATGTCATTAGAAGCAACTGTAATCTTAATATGTAACAAAACTTTGTGTCATAATAAATTAAAGTCGCGCTGCTTCAGTGTGTGTTGGCAGCCGAATTTTGACCAATAGGTGACCTCTAGTTAAATTAAATTCATAAATTTATTTATTAAGTCCACAATTAGGCTTAGTGGTGCGCCTTAGGAGAATTTGATGTCCAACTTTAAATAGCTGCAAGTTGCTAACGATAAAAATTGGTTAAGTTGGTCACCAACTAACTGCCTTTCTTTTGCAAGTCGGACTGTATTAATTTTGTAATTTACGTCTCTGCTTTTTTGCAAATCGTATGTATTACCGAAATTACGAAAACAATAAGTTATTGATTTGTCGATGGCGCTTTGATTGTGGTTTCATGTTTATGTATATATTTTGCCTGTGTATGGTACATTATATCATATTATGATACATATTTACTGTAATATTACGGTGTGTAGGTGTCGTAATAGAATCCGGCATCTCATTTCTAATCCGTTGATCTTGTAAAAGGCGATTGGAAAAGCTAGAGAGACCTTATCGCCTCTTCATTCTTATTTTTATCGTGTGTGCGTTTATGTGTGTGTGTGTGTGTGTGTGTGTGTGTGTGTGTGTGTGTGTGTGTGTGTGTGTGCGCGCGCGTGCGCGTATATGTCGTGTGTGTGCGCTTGTATTTATGAACTTTGTATATATTTTTTCTGTGATTTGTATATGTTTATTATATAACAATATGCTGCATCATTGAATAAAGTACTATCAATTGGTGTGTATGTATTTAAGTAGAATATATGATAGATAGATAACGTGCCATCTATGTTTCAGACGGTAAGTTAGTGTGGTAAAAAGCGCACCTCTCGATATTGATATAAACAAAAAGGAGAAGATATGGTACGCCCAACCATTATAATGTAGTCGAAAACCGGTCACATACACTACGCATACAAATATATCGACACCGGAAGAAAACAACAGAAATAAGTCCCACTATGATCGTAGTGCGCTGTCCCTATCCGTTGTCCCATTCCACACTAACATGGCCTATCAGTTTTGTTTGGTAAAAGTTGCTTTTAAAAATTAAAGTTCTCGCTCATAAAAGTGATTCCGAGTGACTTTTTATTTTGTCTGAATAATAGGTACATATTTAAAATGAGCAGGAATGCATTTTGATGACTATTTTTGCAAGTATTTTTATCAAGAGCAGTGTACGTGTGTACACAACAATCAGTGTCGATCAAAGATTATAGTGCGACAGTAATAACTTGTTTTCGTAGTCCACTTAATGCGGCTGAGTATATACCATATCTGCTCTATTTTGTTTTAATCAATTACTTTTTATATGTACCTTTTTGTTTTTCATTGTAGCAATATGTTTGACGTTAGCACATATTAAAAATCTTATTACTGATATTGAATTTTAGTACAACTTAGACTTTTTGTTTCCCATCTTAATGACATTGTAGTTGTCACAAAATTATAGATCCTTTTTGACGTTTATATACAAAATAATACCAGGAAGAAATGGATGCAAATAAATTTAAAAAGTGTTTAAAATGGTTTAAAATCTTACTACAGAACTTCCTCAACATCCGAACAAGTATTGTATGGCCTACAAATAATTGTTCCGGGTCTGTATTTGTCCGGGAGTTATTCCGAGTTTGTCCTTGTGTTAAATTTATGTATGTAAACTGCCTCCACGGTACAGGAGAAAATTCTAGTGTTACGTTATTTAAAAAAACAAACACAAAAACACTTAAAACGAAGTTGTTCATATTAGTGAGAGAAAATTAGCCTATAAAACTAATATAAGAAATAGATAGAATTAGGACTTAGCTCGTATATTATGTATAATATGCATAATTATTTCTTTACGTGGTAGAGCCATGCTGCAGCTATATTAATAGTATAGTTGTAGCACGAATGGGTCGGCTCGACCGGGGAAGGACCACGCTCTCACAGAATACCAGCGTCAAATAGCAGCATAATGCTGCTGTGCTTCGTATGGTGAGTGTAGAGAACCGGAGACCTATTTTACTGGAAAAGAGGCATTCCATCTAAGTCCTCACGGGTGACAACTCATCTGCATTTTGATTCGCGAACGAAGATAGATGTAGACATCTACGGGCAAAGCAACCACTTACCATCAGGTGGACTGTGTGCTCGTTTGTCACCCTTATTCTATAAAAAAAATATATATGTATAAAATTATAAGGACACCGTCATACCTACTGCTTTCTATACAATGCAATTGCTCAAGTCAAGAGTTGCTATTATTGTAATATCATACCTGTACTATCATTATTTTCGTTTTATCATTATTTATTTTAACATGTAACTCTCTGATTAATCAAATGTAGTGTGAAGGTAGATATTTTAGAAAAATGTTTTTACAAGATACGCTCAACAAAGAAAATGATGCTTGATTACAAGAAACTTTGGCACAAGTTTCTTAAACAAAAACCTTACAAAACTGGGTAAAAGTAGAGGAAAAAAAACTGGAAAATGAACAATGAAAGTTTGGGCAGAGATACTGGAACGAAGAGATTATTTTAATCATGAAATATTTTGTTTCCTTTATTGTTACTACAGGTAGTCCTTGTAAAATTAACACATTATAACTAGAACATTTAACTACATATAATATGTATAATAATTGTAATCGATTTATCGTAAAAATCGATTTGCTTGGTTATAGATATATTTAGTTACATGAGAGCGTTGGGATGATAAACGTCAAAACGGATGTATTATTTCGTGAGAACCTAAAAAGAAATTATGTTAAAAATGCAATGGCAAGGGCATTAAAAATAAGTGTTTCAATGTATTCCATTTTAAGCAATATTATTTCACTCTCAATCAAATAATTCAAATTCAAGATAAAATTTGAAATATGTGAATCATGTCAAATGTGTAAATTTAATGATAATATATTATTTTGTAATGCCTTTCTATTAGGTGGAGTCTGAAGATGAAATTGAATCAAGTGATGAAGAGGTGTCTTCAGCGACAGAAGTATCAACGGACAGCGAATTTGCCCGCGAGGAATGTGCTCCGGCACCTTCTCCGCCTGCAATTATGGTCACTGAAGCCCCTCCACCGGCCCCCCCACCCACGCAGGATTACCCACTCAGTAGAACTCGCTCAGCTGGCGGACTTGCTACTAAACGCGCATTAGAGTTAAAAAGAAGATATTTGCTAGGAGAACCATCTCCACCAGCTGTGAGAAAATCAGACTCCACTTCCCAGTTAGACACTAAACTTGAAGCGTTCCGTACCAATATAACAGAGTTCCAAAAAATGCTACATCCAGCACCTGTACTCCCAAGTCAGACTCAACCACAGAAACCTGTTGTTGCTTTGCAGGTGTCGGAGGAAAGTAAAATAAAACCTATGCCTGACATTATTAAGAACTTATTCGAAGATGCGCCGGTTGACTTACTGATAAAAGTTGATTCACCGTTATGTAAAAACGAGTGGCGAGAACTAATTAAAGAGGAAAAAAAAGAACCCGATTTGGAAACAGATTCTCTCTCGGACGATGATTCTTGCCATACAGAAACTGCACCAAACCAATCAGTACCTAGAGTCGAAGTGCATGACGAAGGCGGAGAATTAATACAATTAGACAGCTTAATGCTTATCAATAGCAGCACAGAGGAAAATGACGAAAGAGCTTCAGGAACTGCCACAGGTACAATTATTGCAGTGGAATCAGAATCGTCTGAATCTTGTCGTGATGCTACAACTCTCGCTTTGACTGAGACAGAACTCTCTGATTGGGCTGCAGAAAGCGCAGTATTAGATGATTGTGGCCTTGAAGAAAAAGAAGAAAAGAAAAGAAATAAAAATCCTAGAACTTTAAGTGGTCCTAAATCTGTGCATGATGCTAAAAATATATCTGCTGTTGCTTCACATGTTTGCGGTCGAACAAGTCCATTAGAACCTATTGTTTATTCAAACGCTTTAGAACATTTTGAATTCGTGGATGAAGGCGACCAAGATCCAACGATAGGAACTCCTGTCACTCCACGGAACGAAGGTTACGTGGAATTCGTTGATGATAATTTGGGTCCTTATTGCCCGAGTAACGATCGATCGAATAATTTTTTTGAAAGAAGTTTTTCAGAAACTTTGGTAACGCCTACTGGCCTTGATGTTAGTAGAGTCGTAATAACCAATAATTTTTCTGAAGTAATTGAGTTCATTGATAAAGACGACTCACAAGAGGATAGTGAGCCAAAAGTAGAAAGTAATATAAAATCTCCACCACTTGAATTAAGTGATAAATCTAGCAGTGATAATGCGATACAAAATAAAGTTATGAATACTGAAAGAGAAGGAGAAGATAGTACGAGCAGTAATAAAGAGTTGGCTGTCGCGGAAATGAAGATGGAATCTATCAGCTTATCGGAAATTTCGCCTCCATTAGAAAAAACTGATTCAAAGGCAGAAAAACCAAAACATCAAAATACAGTATTAAAAGATAATATTATAGTAGAGGATGCTTCTTCGCCATTAGCACAAGATACATCACGTTTTCGAGATTTTAAGTATACTAGTATAAATACACCTATGTCATTAGTCTCTCCTGGTACTATAAGAATGTATTCACCCGCTATATGCCGATCTGCTAGTGAAACGTTTAAAACATCTAATTCTCGATATACAGATTCACCGTCACGTAGTATGGAGCTGTCAGTGTCAATTAATTTAAGCTCTGGATCGGTGTCACCTATTAGTCCCTCTCCTTTGCGAGATATGACTGATAAAGTACAGGAGATTAAAAGAGAGAGAGAAGAACAGACCGAAGTGGTCAGGAGGTTGGTTCTAGAGAGGCTAGGGAATGAACCACGGCTTGGAAGGAAATCAACTCGCAAGACGAGGGTTTCACCTGCTGCTAGTGTTCCCCCACCCGTTCCTCCTCCCCCTGTCCTTCCTGTACCTCCCTCGCCGCCGCCAACACCTCCACCTCCCACATATTGCTCCCCTCCCCCGAGACCCCAGCCCCCTTTAATTACTTTACCAGTCACACCATCATTTTCCGACCCGGAACTTGCAAGAGAAAGAAGGACAAAAGGTATAATGAAGAGCATTTCAAATTACTTGAACAGACACCTTGGACCTCGCCACAAGGTAATTTAAAGTCATTTTCTTATTTTCACATTCAATCATTTTATATTTTGATTTCAATTAAAATATTAACTTTACTTGCACATATTTTAGATTTTATATGAACATTTTGACGACCTCAGTATACATAATATCAAACTCCGCATTTTTAATTGTGCTCATAAACATATTTCATAAGAAAGTACATAGATATTATAATATATTTAGTAACATTTAACAAAATTTACTAAAAATAAGTGAGAATGCTGTATATACAGAAACAAAGTTATAGAAAATAGAGCCGGAGGCAGTTTGTACAAAAGTTTTAGAGGCGGGTGTTCACAATTGGCGTACAAAATTCGTCACGGAAAGGGATAATACTACTTTTTTGGCACAATTAATATCAAAATTTATATTTTGAAGAACACCCAGTGTAGACTAACACTAGTTGAATTTTCAGTGGGTCTCGGAGCCGGACCTGACGACGCACGTAAGCAAAGCATATCCAATACAGTATCGTGAACTCGTGAGTCGCATGCTGTACCCATCTATCTCGCACCAATCATCTGCTAATTGTACGTTGTCTTGTCTCGCTCAGCCACAGTTTTTCGTTGCTTTTGCTCGTTTCAGACTCTTTAAGACGTTGGATCTCATTTTATAAATAGAAACTATTTAGTACTTTTATAAACTCGTCACTGCATAGGAAAGTAACATAAGGTATCCCAAAAATTAGTGTCAAGCGGAAGTCTATAGGCATTGCTGTACCCGAATCACCATGTTGCACGATTTTTTTTAGTTCTAGAGTAATAATTTGATTTCAGTGATTTAAGTGATTACTGGTCTTAGAGACTTGATTTATTGAGATCAACCATCCATTAATCTGTTACAGCCGTTACTTCTGTAACTAACTGACTTCAATTAATAAAGTCACTTGCACGTCGTATTTTTTTACAACTTTTAAGTGCGTTTTCACAGTTGACAACTACTGGCCTCACATTCGCTTTGTCTCTCTCGTAATTTTCTGTCTCTTTTCACTGCACAACTGAATACGGAACGCACAGTCCATTCTCGTCCAGTCGTATGTCTGTGAATTAAAACAAAAACGCACATTTTCGATTCGGTTTGAAACTAGCGCAATATAATGGATCTTCGGTTAAATAGAGCATTTTAATATTTATTTTCGATTATTTTCGTGTATTAACTAGGGAGATAAAAAATTATTACGAACATATCTACAAAATAATAATTAAAAAAACACAAAATATCAACATTCTAACAAATAACAATAAGAACAACAATTCAAGTAATCGATTTTAGTTCGACATGCCTATTATTCAATCAATTAGTAGTTGTTGTTTTAACTTTTGTTAATCGTTTCACCATTTCGTTTCCTTATTAAACACAGCTTTTCTTTAGTGATTTTATACTAATTCTACTTTTATATCTTTAAGTAATTATAGGGAAAAATAGCCTGTTACTGTGATAAATCACCTGTTACAGTGTAGGTAATACATAATCTCACTTTTACTTATTCTACTATAACTCAAGCTACTAGATTGAATAATCTTGCTAGATTTTCAGCTATGAATTGTTTATATATACACTTTCTAATGGTCCTACATTCATATTATTAACACATGGGCCCAAGAATGTATGGAGACGTCTCCTTCTCCCTTATTTATATTTTTCTACATAGTCTCCTTGTAACTACACACTTCTCCCAGCGATGCTCCCATCTCTCTAACCCGTCCAAATAGTACTCGGCGTTTTTCCCTACAAAATAATTGTTCATGAAGGTGATTACCTCCTCATTTGACGAAAATATCTGTCCTCCGAGCGCAATTTTTAGATGAGCGAACAAACTGAAGTCGCTTGGGGATAGATCTGGTGAGTAAGGCGGATGGTCAAGTAATTCGTGGATTTTCGCCATAGCTACCGCTGAGGTGTGAGACGGCGCGTTGGTATGGTGAAACAGGATTTTCTTTTACTGCAAATGTGACCGTTTTTCCGCAATTTTTGCCTTCAGTTTGTTAAGTAATGATACGTAATATGCTGCTGTAATGGTTTTTCCTTTTTAAGATAATCGATAAAGATAACTCCATGACTCTCCCAAAAATCAGTCGCCATCACTTTTCCAGCCGAAAAAACAGTTATTGCTTTTTTGGAGCCGGTTCCCTCTTTGCAGTCCACTGTTTTAACTGTATTTTTGTTTCGGGCGTATAATGGTGTATCCAAATTTCATCTACAGTAATTAATCAGCGCCAAAACTCGGATTTATTGTGTCTAAATTGCGCCAACAGAGCGTTGGAAATGTTCATTCCAACACGTTTTTGGTCTAACATGAGCAAAAGCGGACCCATCTTTATGATAGCTTCCTCATGCCTAAATCTTCATTTAATATGCGACAAACACGTTTTTTGGTCATTTTCATAGCCTCTGCTATTTCCCTCACTATAATTCGGCGGGTGTCTAGCACCATTTGATGAACTTTTGCGATGTTATCGTCAGTAGTTGCAGTTTTTGACGTCCTGAACTTTTATCGTGTTCCAAGCTCCCACGGCCATGCTTAAATTCAGCTGCCCAAAATTTTATTGTGGTAAATGATGTTGCAGAATCCCCATACACAGAGTCCAACTCATCTTTGATTGGCTTAAGCGCATTGCCTTTCAAACACAAAAATTTAATGACAGCTCGATACTCAATTTTTTTCAATTTTCACAAAAATACTCACATCGACTCACTCAAACGACTGTCCATAATGGCAGAATTTTGGTGCGTAGAGTGCTGCCATCTTCACTTTGAGGTGGGAAATTTTTCAGACCACACTGGTATGAGCCACTTCGGATAAATTTTTATCGAGTTTGGCCGCAAAATTCAATGCAACTTCTTGAGAACCGAGGCATTCAATCTTGGTAGAAAGAAGAAGAGAGTCATAAGAGCAAGAACTTAATCCGGGAGTCTCTTGGAATAGAATAAAAAGATGTATTGATTTTGACGTGTCATTATATTTACGTAAATTCAATGTACTCATATGTACCAAAATCAAGAATAGTTTAGATTCACAATTGGACCCGGGTAGCGCTTTTGTCGAGATCAAGAAATCACCCGTGCTAAGCCGGGGTGGGTCGGTAGTGTCTTATATAAATCTTTTATTTTTGTAAGTATTTTCGTTTATCTTATATTCTTGTTTATAAATTAAATATTTATAAATAAAGTAGTCTGACTAGGCCATAACCTTAGCCCTGGTCCCTTTCTATAGTAAGATTGTTACGGCTATCCGAACTAGCGTATTAAGCATCGCCCCAACGCCCGCCGTTATCACGTCGCTACCGTGGCCAGGAATAGCGGCGTCGCCGGGACAGGAGATCGTTTCCACACACATTTCCAAATGTTCTTACTTGTTCAACTGGTTGCCTCAGTAATTTAATATGCACTTAAAAATTAAAAACGCGCAATGAACAAAGGGGTTAAAAGTACTGGTTAGGGTGCTCTGTCTCCTCTGGTTTTCCGTTTGACACTACAGTTTTAACATTCTATGTATTATTGGGAACTTGCGATCCAACGTTAACATTATATTAAATACATTGTTCATAACATTTTCTTTCGTTACGAGAATATTCGTGTAAATTATACTATTCGTGGGCTTACGAATTACTGGTAATTGTTTATTTTTGAACATGCTGCCGCTTCTATGAAATGCATGTTTGGATGGCTTTCTTGCAGTAAGAGCAGAAATTTGTTTGCTTCATAAATATTTGGCAAATATGTATGTTAATTTACTTCTATGTTAACTTTACTTTTTCATTCTTTAGGCCCTTCATACATTATGATACTAGTGAGATACTATACTTTGATTGGATACCAGTACCATACTCTTGTTCGCTACTCGAGGTTTGTATGTTACGCTATTGAAAATCATAATATAATTGATTGCCACGTTGGTTTAGGGGCAGTAAACGCGATTGCTGGTCATGTGGTCCCCGGTTCGAATCCTGGGTCGGGCCAAAATCAGTTAGTGGATTTTTCGGTCAAGAAATTCTCAGTAGCAGCCCGGAGTCAGGAAGTTGGCGGTGATTCACCCCCGAGCCTCGGAAAGCACGGGAAGCCGTTGGTGCTGCGCCTGATCTCTCTCCGGTCGTGTCGAATTAGAATAGTGTGCACCTGTGCTTCCGTATCTAGCTATCTACGCAGGACTGGATTATATTACCCAAGTTGGAGCAATATAATCCTGTCCGTAGATAGCTAGTCTCCGTAGAGAATTGCCGCCGTGACCAAAATTCGGTCTGGAGGACATTATTATTATTATTATTATTGAAAATCATAATTTAGTAAGACCACAGAATAATGATAGTACTACGTAGTAAGACACGCCGTTGAATAAAGTATGCTTTTAATTTTGTCATTATGTCGAGTGCTTCTGTTGATGAAGAAGCCTTGCAGTTTCTCTCAGAAAAGAAAAAACAGAAAATGTCAGCGAAAAATACGAAAATACTGGATTTATCCACTTATCGACGGAAACATATATTGTAAAACTTAAAGATGACAGATTTCTTTTTATAATTTAACCGAATGTTATTTGCATCTTGTTCAATCGCCAATAGTCTGCTATAGATAAAAAAATACGGCTTTTAACATTATAGATTAAGGCCATTCTGAAGAGATCTGTTTGAGACTATGGGCCTCTATCCTCCATAGCCTCCTACTATCTTCATAGTAAGGAGAACTTCTCATACAGGGTACAAGATGAAAAAGTGTCCTGCTGTAAGCAGTAAATAACAGTTCAAAAATCTTCCAGAACTTTCTAGGCTCTAGCGTAGATACAGGATATGAATGTAGCAGTTGTAGATGGATTGAAGTGTGTCGAGTTAAAACAAATAATATTTTTGTTGACTAGAGTTAGTTACAGTTCAGTATACAAAGCTTCGAGTATTCACCTAGTCCAAAAATATTTTTTAAATATAACTACTGTGAGAAAACGTCAAGAGTGATTTTATTTTTGTGAACATCAAATACGTTTGGTCATTTCTTAGTGTGAACTGTTATAAAACTTTTTAAAATAGTGCAAATAATTTTTTATGTTGTGTAAAATTTACCCTGTTGCTATTGTAGCGCCACGCCAATTTAACGCATTTCGACGGACTCTTTTTAATACATAGAGATCCTCCTTACCTTTATCCTCCATATTGGAGACGCATCGCATCGGCGACCGACATGGCAAGTATCGCAATACTAATACATTGCGTATCTGTAGGATACCGGTAGCGATGTGTGCGGGTCACCGTGAAAATATATTATGTGCTATACTCTATAGTGACTCACCTCGAGACTTGTGTATGACACTAGTACTAGTCGCTTGTAGGTATCGTAATGTATGAAGGGCTTTAGAGTTACGAGATAATATAATCAAATGGTATATTATATTTTTGTTATTACTACAATTGTACTATAGTATTTGCTTTTAGGTTCTACGCATTGATTAGCTACGACCTACTTAAGATTACAATCGTAATATCATACATTAAATAAAACTTAGTAAACTAGTACATATACGCGGTGTACTTACTTGAATAATATCTTTAAAACAATTTTGTGATTTAATTTTTCTACCTATATGGAAATATATTTTTTAACTAATTATAAGACCGCCAACCGTTAATCTAATTGTTTTTAACTTATTATGAGCCGCTGTAATCCCACCTGGTGGTAAGGGGTTTTGAAGGCCTGGATGGTAAATCACACTCTCTTACCGTAACAAAAGCCTATTTACTCTTGTTTTGAATACACTCAGATTGTAATGGGATGGAAAAACAGACGCCGGCAAATCATTATATATATAATATAGGCCTATTATGAACACTTTCATAGCCTGAAAGATCTCTCATACTTGATGGTTCGGTGAGCGCAGAGCCGATACTCATCCACTGGTACTCATAATACTACTCCACATCACTAGTTTTGGCTTTTGAATTCGGTATTTTCTGTAGTTTATTTTCGGTATAAGTCTAGTATCTATCAACAACTGTTAAAACAATTAAGATTTTGTACTTAATTGAATATAAACGAGGTACGAGGCCGCCACTCGAGAAACTTTTTTCCCCATCTGTTGCCGGTTCTTCGGGCTATATGGCCGGCCTATTGTCACTTCAGCTTACCAATCCGTTGGGTTATGTCGGTCACTCTAGTTCTACTGAGGATATCCTCATTTCTAAGTTTATCACGCAGAGAAACTCCGAGCATAGCCCTCTCCATAGCTCGCTAAGCGACCTTGTGCTTCTCCATCCGGCCAGCTGTGAAGGACCACGTCAGTTCCATAGGTCATTACTGGCAACACGCACTCGTTGTACAGTCTCATTTTCAAGTTTTGAGGTATACCTGCGAAAAGATGAATAAATAATAAACTTTATTTGCAAAATATTCATATACATTGTAATCAATTTCGCGTGACTGATATTATGAAGTTTTCCCTCTTTTTATATTATATCCTATACGCTATACGCGACCGCACCCTAGCGATATTGTAGTCACAATCATAAGTGAGCTAGAGTTGAGTTCGAATAGGACCTAACAAGAAGCAATACATTGGTTTTGTACATGAACAAAATATTGTACTGGCTTAACAGCAACATATTTTTTTTTCATTAATTCGTAACATCCTTTCAACAGTCCACTACTGTTATACTTATGTTATGCCACCTCCATATATTGCCTTATGGGAGAGATGTTGTTCATAGTTGCCACGACTAGCAGGAGGCTTGGCAACAAGTTTTTTAAAATTATTTTGAACTATTATCAAGAAGGTGCTGTTGACCATCTCCTGTTCCATTTCTCTTTGTCGTCTCTTAGGACACTCAATGGGCACTCAAAGGGTAATTGGATTCTCTTATGTATGTAGTATGTAAACGGAATTTTGCATGTACTATTTTAAATTTTGTTGCGATACGTTTTAAATGAGAATTCGCTAGTAGCTTTCTTTACTCAATATACTTCAAGTTATTTTACTTTACTCGAAGGGTATGATTTGAGTAACAAATGTTGATCATCATAAAAATATTCAGATTTAGTGAAGACACACAAGAGAAGTACCTATGTGTGTACGTGTTACACTAACGGATACGGTTCTGGTATGGGAGGTGGTCCCAGGGAGAAAAAATTCTATCTATTCTATTATATCTTACTATTCTATTAGTCCATTTAAATTTTAAGAAAAAAACTTTTATTTCAATGTAAAAGCAGTCTTCAAAGACCTAAAAATAACAATCAGTTCACATACTGAAGTAGGGGTTTGATTGTTCTGTACACTAGGCCTTAGCACCAATTTAAAAATGTTTTTTTTTTTATAGGAGAGGGGCCAAACGAGCATGCGGCTCACCTGATGGTAAGTGACTACCGCCGCCCATGAACAACCGCAACACCAGGGGAATTGCAGATGCGTTGCCGGCCTTTTAAAAAGGAGTAGGCTCTTTTCTTGAAGGTCCCTAAGTCGTATCGGTCCGGAAAAATCGCTGGTGGTAAACTATTCCACAAGGAAGTTGTGCGAGGAAGAAAACATCTTCTAAATCGCACAGTGGTGGACCGCCAATCATCCAGATGGTGTGGATGGTATCGGGAGTTCTGCCGCGATGTGCGTTCGTGAAATTTGGCGGCTGGGATTAATCCGAACAATTCCTCAGAGCACTCCCCATGGTAAATGCGAAAGAAAATGCTAAGAGATGCAACATCTCTTCGCAGTGCCAATGAGTCGAGCCGATCGGAAAGGACTCGGTCGTCGACGATTCGAACGACGAGCGGAATTTTGCCCCCCCCCCCCCCCCCCCAGAATACGCGGGGCAGCCTGAGCACCCACGCTCAGGAGTGGAATAGCATGGTCGTGGATGCTCAGCGAGGGATTCTCCAGGGGTACTGGTACCCTCCTGGGGTAGTTTATGACGTAATTCCGCTACCATGTTGATGGGGGGGGGGGGAATTGGGCATCCGGTCACCTGCACTCACCAGACGAAACGCGGAAGCAGAGCTTCCACTTCACGCCGGTATTCTGTGAGGTCGTGGTACTAACCCGGCTCGAGCCGGCCCATACGTGCAACAGCAAAAGCTGCTGCAAGGCTCTACCACCGTTAATTTTATTCTTTCTAGATCTTTGTAATCTGCTTTTACTTTTTATTAAATGTAAATTTTTGACAGTTAAGAATTAACCCATTAAATAATGGTAAACTGAATAATATAACTAATATGACCTTAGGTAAGCACAGTCTACATGCCAAATTAAATAATCAAGATTAGTTAATTTTTTACAAAGTAACGTTCGAAAAACCTGAATTGATTTGACACCGTTGTTAACATTTCTGCGTGTTTAATAATATTTCGATTACCCTTTCATAAATCGAGTGTAAGTCTCTTAACCTTTGTTCGTTGGAAATGTTTTTGTTCTTTGCGATAGGGTTAGATTACAAAAGTATAGGTACTTAAGTTATATTTATATTAATGTCTTTAATTTTTACCAGGAAAATCAACAGGCAGTGCGGTGCAACGCGCACAAGTCAACAGGAGCGCTACAAGAAGCGCCACCAGTTCCCCCTCCTCCAGCATGTTATTCCCCACCCACAGACGCACATTCGTCGTATAGAAGGATACCAGGTTAGTACTGCAAGATTAGGTTTTAAGACCCGGTCTGTAACTTTGTGGATATAATAATCATTTTATTGCTTAGGTAATATTTATTGATATAGGTACGGTTTTAATAAATGATGTAGGTATTGTATTGCATAACAGCATCTTAATGTTGAATAATTCGATTCTGTCGCTTGGTCGAACTGCCAGTCTCTTAAAGTGTTATTATTATTATTACTTACAGTCTACATTAATATAATATTTATTAATAACTCTATCACAGAGCAATTCTTATGGTCTAAATTTTGGCACTAAACCAATACAATACAAAAAATTGAGAATTAATCTTGTCGTATAGTCTCAACAAAAAAATAGGTATACTCGTATTTTGTGAATATAATCTCAATCTCTTAAGACGTTTAAAAGTTACACCACCACGACCGCAGACGCAGCAGAACTACTGCAGAACGGCAATTACACGACCTATGAAATTGCCTTTCTGTAGTACTGGCCATTTCAAACCAAAATAATTTTTGTTTGGCTTGTTCTGATTACAAATTAATTTTATTTTAAAAACATGGAATTCTTTTTTCAAAATTATTCATTTGTTTATTGATTAGAGTTATGTTTTTATCGCATTTGAATCTTTTTCGTCATCATGGATTGATACGTTAAAAATTCGAGTAATTATCATCACAAGAACATCAAGGAATTTTACAGAGCGAATCCTACAAACGAACGCACCACTTTAGTTCTGGAAATTTCAACTTGAAAATTGAACCCCGTGGTTGTCCGAAAATGGTCGACAATGACAAATTAAAGGTAAAAATTGTAGAAGATGATACTCAGTCTACGGCTGAATTAGCAGCAGCTTTTGACTTTAGCATCAAAATAATATTGGTCTATTTACTTGACGTAAATTGGCAAGGTAAAAAAGCTTGACAAATGGGTGCCCCTCGAACACAATGAACAAGAGAGGCATTACAAAATGCCTGAATAATTTGTTGCCACCCGTATAGCTGATTTGTTCAAGAAGGGTATTAATAAACTGCCTCTGCGTTGGTAAAGATGCATGGCTGATTACTTTATAACGGAAATAGAAAAAAAATTACGTTAATTTATTTTAAAAAAAGGGCAATTTCATAGGTAAAGGCCTAATATTTAACTAAATTAGTACTTTTTAGTTACGCCTTTACGTTATTAAATATTCATGCAATGCATTACAAGTAAATATTATATATCACCAAAACGGCCCTGGGTGAGGACGGAATTACAGTCGAGCTTCTGAAAGCGGATGGAAAACCAATACTTGAAGTCCTTTAAAAGCTCTCTAATTCCGTCATCCATGGTGGCATTACACCGGAGGCGTGGAGCAGAGGTTCTGGTCTTGTTCTATAAGAAAGGCGACAACGCTCTCTTGAAAAACTACAGACCGATTTCCCTTCTCAGCCGCGTCCACGTGCTGTTTTCGAGAGTCATTACGAATGGTCTCGCATGCAGACTCGACGACTTTCAACTTTCCGAACAAGCCGGTTTCCGAACAGGCTATGGCGCCATGGGCCACATTGATTCCATTGAAATTTGGGCGGTGCTATAAAACATACAACGGTGCCAAATAACGGTCTCTGCACCTGCGTACTTGCGAGTATGTTTACCTGGGACTGGAAAGGTTCTAATACCATAGCCCATATACATTCCCCGCGGCAAATTGTAAAATAAGACCGAAAAGTATTTTTTACACTTTATCTTACGTGTGTGGACTATGAGACAGCCTTCAAATTTCGAAGTGCTGAACTGTTAGTATAGTAAACCTACGATGGCTTTTCAAGTACAGAACCAGAGTACGAAGCCGATCCATCACAGGGAGGTGCAAGGGATGTGTGAGGTTTACATCCCTGAAACTTCACCGCTGCACGCTGCATTGGACGGAGTATTTTAGCTACACTGTACTGTACAGAATACGGTATTAAGGTCAATAGCGAGTAGGTACATCTCTCACCATCGATTTGCCGACGACATGGTGTTTTGGTAGACTCGGTGGAGGACCTCAGCACCATGCTCAATTACCTTAGTATCTCCCAGTAGATATGTTCTTCAAATGAAAATGCAACAAAGTTCTTGTGTAAGCACTATCTTCTAAGTTGTCCAATTTCGACTAAGAGGTCAGTCGGCGGATTCAACTCTGCTTGCAGCGTTCGATAGATTACGACACATCTTCTCGTCACATATGTATAGCTCAAAATTTTAAATGAAATAAAATTATATGAAACAACACATACCTCGAAAAGGTAAAATTTTGTCCTTATTACTATTAAGGTACCAGTTAGGTAGGTAGTAGTTGTGGCTGCAGTATGATATCAACAATTTTTTTCGAGCGAAACTTGTAGCTTTACGTTGCGTAATCAAGCTTTAGGGGTTTTGCTATAAAAGGAAATATGTTATGTCAATAATTAATTGATTTGGATAAAATTATATATTTATGATATTAAAAGAAATTCTTATCATAAAATTGGGTTTTTCCTTATTTGTTCTGCTGTTTATAATTTCTATTATTAGTATTTAAAAGAAGATGGTGGCTAAAGGGGTAATCCCATATAAATTTGGTTAAAAACTGTTTAAACTAGAAAGAGATGGTGATATTCCTTTAATTAAAAAATAAAAAGCAGACTTCGAATTATTAAAAATATGTAATGTTAAAATAAATTCATATTCTGAAATCAAGAGTTTTAATTATTCTGTAGAATATGTCTCAAATCGGTGGATTTCAGAATGATCAGAAATTATTTAATACTATTTTAGTCATAGAGCCACACACACGCGGTTGCGGTTCGGAGGGGAGTTGACATATATGTCAACTCCCCTCCGAACCCCTATCCCCCGTATATATACAGGTTATCCTCTGTTGCAGCCGCATTACTCACTAGACTAAATCTAGTTACGCGGCTATATCGACGTCCTACAAAAAAGCCGAATTATTCTGTATAATAAATAAGTAATGTCTAGTAAATAATTACAAAAAGATGAAGTTACCGTTCATATACAAGGTGTCCTTTAGATTATCACTTGGCCTTCTTTTTCCGGCTTTTACTTTTTAGTAAAAGATTAATTTTGACATTATCGTAATTGGGGTTGTTCTAAACTAATTTGCTTAATTCCGCGTAATGAAAGAAAATGATGTGACCTCCCACCCTCTCTCTCACTCGCGCACTATACCCGTCGCCGTCAATCCCAGCTCTACCACCCTCAGCACCACCACACTAGGCACGACAAACCACTCCCAAAAATACGACACGTGCTTCGCCTCTACACGAGGCATCCTCAGGTGAAGTAGACTCTGCGGAGGCTGGCCGCTTAGCTTAGCTTAGCGGCCATCCTCCATTATAATAGATTATTATGGATTTCCGCAAAGTAACGCCTGATTCTATCAATTATTATCGGAATTTGTTGTTCTAGGCAACACATTTATATAGGTGGGCCGCTATTAAATTCATTTTAAAAAACTTTAAAAAAATTAGGTTATATTAGCATGTGTTTAATATGTTGATTTGTTTTATTTTTGAGAAATTATAATTACTTTTATAATGATTTCTTATATTTACGCGAACACTACACATTTAAATAAAACTACACTAAACTTTTATAACTTCGAGCAAAGCTCGGCTGTATCAGGTACTGAGTCTATCATTTAAACAAAATAAGAAAGGAATTAATTGACATAAATAGACATCTCTTTTTAACTATTTTAATGCTCGGAACACACGGTCAGTTAAATTGGTCAGCTGAACTGATTCATAAAACTGACCGTGAGTGTGAGATCTTAAGTTGAAATTTTTAACTGACAGCAACCAACTGACGCGGTGAGAGGTTGTTTAGCTATAGGTAGATCAGTTAAACTGATCAGTTCAACTGATCCGTTTAACTGACCGGTTGTGTCGAGTTTAACGATCAGTGTAGACAATACTATAGACAAACAGTTTGTCCACGTGGTGTGAATAAATAATTTTCATTGACTTTATAATATTATTTTCAACATTTGTTATTAATTGAGCTAAAACTTCGCCAATGATTGGTCAATTCATTGCAATATGCTTAAAATTTGTTCATTATTAACATCTCATTTTACCTAACCGACATACTTATTGTATTAAAATCTAACGCATTGGCCACCTAACATCTCATCGGCGCACTAACCCAGGTCCAGTGGATGTAGACGAGCGCGACGCTATGCAGCTATGGTTCGAGGCCAGGTGGGCGCGACTGGTGGCTCAAAGACGGGCCCGTGAATCTTCCCGTCATGAGCTACTTCGCCATGAGTCACTGTGTCATGAGCCTAGCGCAAGAAGACTCGCGCGACTCGAACGACGATTGAGCAGACCTCTGTCTGGTAAATACAGCTGGTTCACTCATTATGTTCATCTTCATCATTTTTACAGGCGCTGTTTACTTACCTTAACTTAGTATTTTTTGGCTTATTCTTTTTTATATATGCACGTTATTTTGATTACTCTGGAACGTATTTAAATATAATGTTTAACAAAGTAGTACTCGGTAAAAAAATTGTTAATTTTCAGTTTTCTTGCATTCCTCCGTGACTTGATAGTACTTCATAAATGTGGTGATGTTTTTATTGAAATCTACCCACTTGAATAAACAAAAAGTACCGTAACAGTAATATTATGATATTTATTTAAAGCGGAGCAACAAGCAGCCACCGTCGCTGAACTAGTCCAAGTTTCCGCACAACGGGATGCTCACCAAGCTCTCATGGCGGCGGATAGGTAGGTATTAATTTGATACATACATTTCAAGTGACCCCAAAACCATGCTATAATTAATCATGACTAAAATATAAGATAATTCAGAGCATTAAAAAATATTCAAGATTGAGTTTCGAATGCTCTCAATTACCCAGTATTAATTGTAAAGAAACAGCTACAGAATGGTAAATATATTATAGTTCACAATTCTAGACCACATTACCTAAACGCACGCACCCTCACGCACAATCACACGCACACGTACGCACACCGCATGCCACAAGCATTTTACAATACTTACTATGAAAGTTCCAAGAATTGTTATTTTTTTATTGAGAACTAGAATCATCTAAACGCGGAGGAAGGCCGCGGGTTGATACCCGCGCCCTTCCTTTGCGTTTCTTGATATATTAACAAAGTTTTCGTATGTGCGAAGAAAAAAACATCTAAAAGATCGCAAGCAAAAAATATACTTTGCTTACAAAATTTCTTTGTAAACAATGTTATTCGTTGCTTCGTTTGTAAATTATCATATAATTAAAATATGTAAAGTATCTGGGTTAGTAAGTCGAGAGCAAGCGGCGTACAATTCACCGTGTGGAAACCCCGTATAAAAATCTTTGTTTCTTAAAACTTTATTAACTTTATATTAAATTAAGATATCGCAATTATGGTTTTTCGATAACAGCAAAGTGTCTAAGAAATAAAACTTAGAAAAGCTAATTAAAATCTATCCAGTAGTTTTTTCCGTGAGACGCGCACAACTGCAAACCTTTATCATTTTATTTATATAGATAGAATAGAATAATTTTAATTCAGTAGAAATTACATGTAGGTTATTGAAAATCATTTTTTTACTTTACAAATCATCAACATACACTGACACATATAACATATCTTTAAACATGGATCATTCTTAGACTGTATAAATGTAGTTTGATCAGGTAATCTTTTATATACTTACATATAAGAAAGTTACGGTTACATTCTGCTATTATATATTTTTAATTCTTCAACTGTTCTAAATGTGGTTAGTATAGCAGCAGGTGTACATACTTCATTATTGCCTATATCCGACTTTTCAAACCCTGCATTACTCTCCTAAAGATATATTTTTTAAACTAAATTATTATTATCCAAATCTACGAATTCTTCAGTTACGGCATGTTCTTCTTCTTCTTCATTACATACGTCTTCACATTATACATTATTTATATTATTATTTCATTATTATTTTGATATAGTTCATGGTCTTGTGACCATGAACTATATCAAAATAAAATATAAATGTGAGAAATTTGTAATTCTTTTATAAAAATAACACCACTTCTTATAGTCACAATGGTTAAAGGAGATAAGTAAATTCGATATCCATAAGTGCATCTCCGTAGCTAAAAGTTCTTCTAACTCTGATTTTTCATTCCGTTTTAGTCTTCATTGTTCTGATATATGTATAGCAACATTGGCACCAAATTTTCTTGATTATTTTATATCATTTTTTTCATGTATACTTCATTTGATGATTTATCTCATAAAACACTTTTTCCTGGTTTGGTAATACACTGCAGCGTTTACCTCACTTTTCCAAAATTGTTTGCTTAATTTATTTTCTTACAATATTGTTCTGGCTGCTTCTCTGGTTGTTCTAATCACACGCTAGACGTTTCGATAGAGGCTTGGTAAATTATTCTATTTAATATTTTTATTTATACATTCTTTTCTGTTGACACTTCTAATATGATATTGTATAATATTTACAAAATTTGCTTTTATTTCTTGTTTATTCACATATTTTATTTGTCGTTTCAAGTTTATTTTTAAGACAGAATACTCTTTCGTATCTTGGAAAATTATCTTGTATTATAAGGAAATATCTTGCTTGTGCGAGCGACTGTAATTCCATCGGTCCATATAACTCACAAAAAGAACTAGAACTTGCAGTTTTAAAATAAACCTAAATTTATTTTAAAAGTTCTAATTCAAAATAAAACATATGTCGGCTCGCTGCTTGCTGACAAAACACTACAAAACTACGAATTTTAAAGCAAACATCTTTATCTTTATGATTATTATTCAATTTAGTAAAATTTTGAGGTTGTCTATATTAACTTAAGTATTTTGATTGAACTTAAACAAATATTGTTTCAGGAGGCGAAGTGCAGCTGGAGGGGGTGTAGGAGATTAAACAATTTAAGGCCTATTGTAATTATTTATCACAACCTTGCAGACGTTATATCGTTTTAGCCATGCCAAATTACATGTTTAGATTTGTTGAAATACATATAAAATGATTGGTGAACTGAAATTATAAATAATTGATATTAGCACAAACAGAACTAGAACTGAACTCTACTCATCTTATTCTTTAATACTCTACAGTTGCGGGAACTTTCATTTTAGTATATAAAGTGCAAGCTTCTCCGATCTGCATAGTACGTGGCGCGGATGTTGTTATCACTAGAGTTTTTTCTAATGGTGTCTCTTGTTAACAAGAAACAAGCTTCTTAAATACAAATTGTGATACGGTTGCAAATACAAAGCTTGTAGCATATTTTATACGAAATTGTTTTGAAATACGTTTGATCAGTATATTTACAATTCCAAAGGTGTATCATATCATCGTCTTATTAATTTAAGCTTTACTTAGCATGTATTTTTGTGGATGCTGTATAATTTTCGAAATATTTACATTATCGCGTCATTTACGAACAATCGGCCCTCTGTGACGTGTGTATGTATAATATAAGGATAAAGTTCATAACTTTTATTATTGAAACCTAAAAGTTAATCATTGATGATTTATTATTTTATTTATTGATATAGTTAATTAGATTGCTAAGCGTAAGCTGCTTAAACCCTTACATAACTTGTGAAAGACCCATTATATTCTCTTGTATTCATATAAAACAATGCTGTATCATGATTCTAGTACTATAAATTTAAACATTAATAAAGATGTCTATACTTAATGTTTTTAGAATAGTCGATTACAAAAAAAAAAAAGAGATTTATTTTATACGTTTCAAGTTAAGTGAATGTTAAAAAAGTAAATTTCGAATATGTGAATATGTATACCTAGATGTCATACAACGAAAAATGTACCTATTTTGCTTTTGTGTGCGCACAAACCGAAAAAGTAGATAATCGAGCGACCTACTTGAAGATGTATTCGCACATACTATTTAAAGCTACACTTGTTTCCAGGGCTATCGGATCGTCTATATTTGGATACTAAATGTGTATAATATGGTTATCGTGTTTAATTTGTTTTATAGCAGTTTATATTGCATAATTCTACGCAAAAATAACAATTCAAATGTGATTTAACTTTGTAATAATTCAACCATAAATTTCACATTGCATTCCCTCCGTAAATTCACTAGTGTTCAAAATATCTACAGATCAACCGTTTCTTAATGTATAATAACATGCATGCGCTTTTTCAAATTTACTACTGTAGTAACCGTTAGGATTTAAGTTTAAAAAATGTACTTGTTACAAGTTAATGAGAAATATTCTGAAAGTCTGTAACAAATACAATTATGTACTAGGTTTTAGGATTTTTTTCCGCCTAGAAATCGTTCTGGGTAGTCACGCTCTTACCTCTGATTTCTTGGCAGCAGCAAAAGGTAAAGAGGACGTAGCAATGCTTGCACTGTTGTGTACCGGTCTGAAAAATACAGAGAGCCAGCATAATTACAGGCGTGACATGAAGCATTCCGTCTTAGTACTCATATATAACAACGCATCTGTACCTTTCTTAGTTTGAAGTCGGCTGCAGGTGACAATGGACGACAGTCCATCAGGTGGACTATTCAGTATTCAGTCACTTCAGTATTGCAAAACAAATATTATTGTATTATATTAAACAGTAGTTTAGTTGGTTTATATAATAACGTCGGTTTCGTCGTTCATAGTCGGTGACGACGAAGTTGAACACGCTATGTCAAAGAGCATACAATTATTTTATTATTGTGTGGGTATACTTTAAATACAATAATTTAATTATTATATATAGTTTTTAAACTTTTGACGATCACTTACACAAATGCAAATGCTCATGTCTCATTGTTTATTTCTTATAAAATAGGAGTGAAAAACAAGCACACAGTCCAACCGATGGTAAGTGGGTACTGTGGCCCATTGGCAACTACATCTGTCCTCGATTATAAATCAAAATACAGAATGCGTTATCACCACTGAGGACTAAGACAAAATGCCAAAAAGGTAAGTATGCTAACAACAGCAGCATTAAGCTGGCATTTTACGCTGGTATTCTATGCGAGCATAGTCCTTCCCCGGTCGAGACGATCCGTTCGAGCTACAACCGCGTTTAAAAAACAAAAGAAAACGGTGATTATATCCATACATAATGATCTAATGTGAATGAATAATTATTGGAGCTGTATCATGTCCATATTATTACAACACATAAAAATAAGGAAAATGGAATTAGGTTTAAAGCTATGAATAAATGGTATTAAACATTTTTCCATTGAATTTTATAAAATTATATATAATTCATAATGTATATTATTCACGTGACTTTCGCTGCTAGAAAAAATTCGGCGAACTGCTATACTTCTTTAATCAAAATCATTATCTTTAAAAAAAATTATAAAATGGATTCTAACGGTGTGCTAGATATGCCAAATGTGTTAACTTTAACTATTAATAATGTCTAGTAGAGGTAGAAATAGTTATTTCACACGATCCTGGCGTTGAATCTGCTAATTTAATTGGCGCTTTTTACTTGGTTCTCCTGTATGTTATGCGAATTTAGCCATGATATTAACATAATTTTTAGTTTTTTTTTGTATAGCATTATTTTAATAATAATTTTATTGATATTTGTAACTTCTTTATACTGTCTTATTGACACTGTACATATAAAAGTTGTGTATTTTATAGATAATTCAGACACTGATAACGTATCAGATCGAGATAAAACAAATTATGAAAGTTTTTTTAGAAAATTCTTTATACTTGTGCAATCTAGCTACAGATAATTAATTCCCACGAATTTTCACAAACTCGTGGGCTCAGAGCTCAGACCTGCTATTCGACTATTACTGTCGTGAACCGCTCCCAGCACAAGCATTTTAAACTTACTTGAAGTGGGTTAATAGTGTTACTAGTATTCCTTTTTGCTTAATAAACTTTTTATTTATCGTTAGCATTAACAAGCGTATTGAATAAATATATCGCATTACCAAATTGGATTAGAATTCTCGTACGCTACAAGCTCCTTTAATGAGCGGTCATAATATTTTATGTCTCGTTTAGTCATACATTATTCGGTACCTGACCATGGGACATTTCAAGTTTTTTCCAAATTTACCTTTTTACGATGCCGACGGGGCAAGACAGGATTAATGAATTTGAATCCCACCACACAGTTTAATATCACATTATGTATACATTTTTAGTGTCTCATATGAACAACTCAACTCAACATTCATCACAACTCATTACTCAACAGTAAGCATTACTTTTTTTTAATGTAATGTAAAATAACGATTATTATTAAAAATAATGAAAAACTAATTTGATTTTGACAAGGTGGATTTAGTAAGAATTGTTTCTAAGCACTTAATGCCCCTTGCTACAGCTATATTGAAGTCTTGACTGAATTTAAACAGTGCATTAAATTATATGCTAGCACAGACGCATTGCTTGCGTGTTTGCTTCCTGTTCATTGTGTATAATATTTATTAGATATAAGAGAATTAGTGTAAAAAGTCCTATTTTTGTATGTGGATTGCTGTTAATGGTTTTATTTCGAATCAGGAATGTTCATTTAACGGAAGCAATAAAGATTAATCTAAAACCAGAATAGCATTATAAATTTATCACTTCGAACTAAAATGTTATCTAACTTATGCTTAAGGTCACAGCTATGTTGTTTCCATTACACGCTTTTTAAATATTTAAATAATATGTAACTATACACATTATAAATTAGATATTTAAAAGTACTGTAAATCACGAAATAACTGAAATAAAATATGCTTATATAACACGTGTTTCCGTTATTCATAAAAGAATGTAATAAACAAAGGATACGCATAAAAATAATATGCAATAAATAACAAGGTTTTTACCTTGATGTATTTATTGCATATCCTTTGTCTTTAACGAATTAAAATACTATTTCATCTTGAAACTAGCTGGCTCTGAAGGCGTTGTTCCGCTCTGTCCAGTAAGTGGTGCGATGAGTTCTACTCCGTGTTTTTACACTATCTGTAATACCTAATATTAATAAAAACACAGTGACAGCTATCGGGTCCAGATTTAGTAATTTTCTTGATTGGCACTAATGTAAAACATAGTTTATTGGTCCGTATACATAATTTGATTTATAAATTGACTTTAGCGGCAATTATCGGATCCCAACATAGCTATAAACCATCGCTTCGACAAAAAAAAAACATAATATTGTGTGAATATGGCCTCAATAAGTCGTTCAGAAGGTGCACGATTAGTAACATATACCAACGATTATATAAAACTTATTTTATTACAGCCTATTTATTTTATCCAGATATATAGAATCGTTATAATATATAAGGACGATAAACACATGACATAATATTCACCTTTCATTTTATTTACCATTTATATTTAAAAGATTTCGTTGATATAGAATATAGATGGATTAGCTTACCTCGTTTCGGCTCGCGGACTGACCGCGGGGCCATTTATAGTGTCGCTGACAATGATATGTCGATGACAAGTGATACTAGTTAATAATAGATTTCATGACGCCTGTGTTTTAGGCCCACCACATACATACAGAATTCCGTTTCGGAATTCCGACAGCAAGTCCATATAAAATCAATGACGTCACACGCGTACGGTAGTTTTCCATTCGAAATTTTGCGGGCAAAACGGGATTCCGAATGTATGTGGAGAGCCTTAAAGCCTATATTTGACCAGCACGAAGTAAGTGTGCGACATTCGATAGTACCAGAAAATAAAGGATCAAAATAAAAATGTTGCCAAAATGCAGTAAAGGCATGTCCTGAATCTATTCAATAGCATGCCTTTTATATTAACGAAATATCATCATCGTCATCATTATCATTACAGCCCTTCACAAGTCCACTGCTGAACATAGGCCTCCCCCAAGGAATGCCACAAAGTACGGTCCTGAGCTACCTGCATGCATCGACTTCCTGCATATCTTACCAGGTCGTCACTCCATGTAGTGGGGGACGACCAACACTTCGCCTGCCGGTACGAGGCTGCCACTCGAGAACCTTTCTTCCCCATCGGTTGTCGGTTCTTCGAGCTATATGGCCGGCCCATTGCCACTTTAGCTTACTAATCCGTTGGGCTATGTCTGTCACTCTGGTTCTACTGCGGATATCCTCATTTCTGAGTTTATCACGCAGAGAAACTCCGAGCATAGCCCTCTCCATAGCTCGCTGAGCGACCACGTCTCAGTTCCGTATGTCATCACTGGCAACACGCACTGGTTGTGTAGTCTCGTTTTCAAGTTTTGAGGTATACCTGATGAGAAAATGTGCTGTAATTTCCCGAACTCTGCCCAACCGAGTTGAAACCGTCTCGGTCGAAGTTGGGTTTTCCTAGTCGGACTATTTGTCCCAGGTAAACATACTCGTCGACAACTTCGAGCTTAGTGCTCCCAACAACTACCGGCATAAGTGTGACATGGACATTAAAACATGATCTTTGTTTTTTCCATGTGTATCTTAAGACCTATCCATTGGGAAACGTTATTGAGGTCATTGAGCATAGTGCTTAGATCCTCCAGCGATTCTGCCATAAGGACTATATCGTCGACAAATCGAAGGTGAGTGATGTACTCGCCATTGATATTGATACCGTATCCTTTCCAGTCCAGCAGCTTGAAAACGTCTTCCAATGCAGCGGTGAAGAGTTTTGGGGATATGACGTCACCCTGTCTTACACCTCTCTGCAATTGGATAGGTTTCGTACTCTGGTTCTGTACTCGGTTAGCCATCGTAGCCCTACTGTACAAGCACTTCGATATACCGACAGTCAACTTGGCACCGCTGAAAGGACTGCAGCACCGCCCAAATTTCGACGGAATCAAAGGCTTTCTCATAGTCCACATACGCCTGACATAGTGGCAAATTGTACTCCTCGGACTTCTGTACAATTTGCCGAACGGTATGTATGTGGTCTATGGTGCTAAAGCCTTTTCGGAAACCGGCTTGTTCGGGAGGCTGGAAGTCATCATTTCTGCGCGCGAGACGATTCGTAATGACTCTCGAAAACAGCACGTAGACGCGGCTCAGAAGGGAAATCGGTCTGTAGTTCTTCAAGGGAGCGTTGTCGCCTTTCTTGAAGAACAAGACCACCGCACTTCTGTTCCACGCCTCCGGTGTAATGCCGCCATGGAGGACGGAATTAAAGAGCTTCTGAAGGACTTCAAGTACCGGTTTTCCACCCGCTTTCAGAAGCTCCGCTGTAATTCCATCCTCGCCTGGGGCCTTGCCGTTTTTAAGGTGCTGGAGAGCCATTCTAATCTCGCTCAGACTGACGTCCGGGATATCATCGGAATAATGTCGGATAAGACTCGCTCTTGGATCGTTACTCACACTCGCGTGTGGCTCCATCGATGACGTGTACAGCTGCCCATAGAACCTCTCAATCTCACTCAGAATCTGCCCCGGAAACGATGCTGCCACATTCCGTCTTCAGCTTTGACAGTTGGCTCTTTCTGGCAGACAGATCTCTGGCAAAGTCTTGAGTGAAGTGAAATATATTATATGGTTATTGTTAAAAATCGAGTAAGTACTCGAAAAAACCATTCGATTAAGAATCCAATCGAGTGTTACATGCTATACGCATATTTTTCCGAGCATATCGTATTTCAAGAAGAATCAATTCTTCAGCGTCTATTTCAGTGTCTAAAATTTGATATTTTTGTCCAACCTGGCCTTAGGCATATTTTAATGTTCATTACAAAACAGCCTGTTGAATGAATTTCATACAGGCTTTCGCTCTGGTCACAATAGCACCACTTCGCTGATCAAGGGCACGAATCAGCGGCGGCCTTAGGGGGTGGCGAACAGGGCAATCGCTTGGAGCCTCGCTCTTGCAGGGGCCTTGCACAACAACCCAAGCAAATTTTAAAATATATAAAATTTTTTACTATATTTTTTTATTTAAAACTTTTGATTTTGATCCTTAATTAGTCAGTAAGGTTATAACGTAACGGTAAATTAAAATAAAGTTTGTTAACTAATTCATTCATTCAAAACATAATTGAAAATTCATTATGTAGTACGTGAATATCGCACCTCGAAACACTTGAAGATCGGTTTTAGTTTTAATCGCATAGCACTCGGGTCAGCTCAGGAGTCGGGACATAATGTTCTGTTCCTCTATCACGCGGGGAATCCCCGTGTTTCGTTCGTCAACTCCTGTCACCTTGGAATTATTTTGCTTGCAGTATACAAGCAAAATAGTTATTAAATCGTTACTGTACCGTACATATCTTTAAATTTTATTGAATACTAGCTGGCCAGGCAGTCTCCGGAAAGGGCAGAACAACTTCTGCCCTTTCCGAAGACCATGTGTCCTAAAAAAATCCTTAAATTCGTAATAAAAAATATTGAAGGTCACTTATCGGGATAAAAACTATCCTATCTCTCAAGTTGGAACAAAATGCATACAGTGTGCAAAATTTCATTAAAATCAGTTCAGTAGTTTAGGAGTCCACGTAACACGTAATTTTTAACAACGTGACACGTAGTAATTTTTATATATAAAGATTACGTTCTTATAGTATTTAAAGTATTGAGTAAGTTGAAAAGGTGTAAAAAAACTGTGTGATACTTAAAAATTATTTCTAACTGTTTGTGCGAAACAAAACAAGATTTACGAAATCAGTTCGCGTGATCGTGATGCATGTAGATTATTTGAGTCAGGTAGTTCAAAAACGAAACGAGCTGTCAAAAGAAAGCAGGTAAAAAAAATTTACATGTATATTTATATAAATATATAAAAAGAGATGATCAAGAAACCTCTACAAAACATTTGACTGACAGTGACTTTAATCCTGATCTAGCTGAAAACATTCCTTCCACATCTTCATAGGTGCCGCCGCCGACATTAAGTAAAAACAGTGAGGATGATAATGAATTAACTACATCATTGTCTCTTAGGTCACCGGTGCCGCCGTCAACGCTATTCAGTCAAGAACACGAATCTGAGCCCGAGTCTATGTCTACATCCATGACTGCTGAAATGGAAAATCTGAATCCTCAAAATGACCCTGGTTTGTGGCCTAAAACAATTACTGATGTAGTAGACCAAACTGAGATTGTATTAAAAGGCCTAATCCTGAGAATTGTGGCTACCACACCTGTTACAGTTGCGTCTGCTGAAAGGAGTTTCTCGAGGCTTAAAATTATTAAAACATATTTGAGGAATTCGATGACACAAGATCGGCTTTCAGCCCTTGCTATTCTTTCAATCGAAAATGACGTAGCTCATTCGTTAGATTATTGTGCTTTAATTAAAGATTAGGAAAAGTTTATAGCAGTTTATATCCCGAAATATAAATTATATCCCGCGATTGGCTTTCACGCTGTGAGATATATCTTTTAACCAGTGTGTGTTCGTCATTGGTTTACCCCCTGTAATAAAAAAATAAAAAAACCCCGCCGCAGAACGGTGTGCGGGGAACAGGGGGCGAAATATAATATGAAAATATCGCTCGATCAATCGAAAAAATATTTATAGTATGAGATGTAATATATATTACATCTCAGTGTAAACGGTTGCATTAAAAAGTACGGTAAGCGATATTAATTTATATCTCGAGATGTAATATAGGTATATTACATTATATCCCATAGTGAAAAGCGGGCTCTACTCCTAGAGGAGGTAATGCGTAATAAAACGGAATATGATGGAATGTAATATTACGCATGTTCCACTGCTAAAACGCCACAGCATATTACTCGAGACTATGCCAAATACAAATGTGCGTAAGTAAATTTAAAAGTAAATACAATTCTATACTTACATAAATACATAGTTTTATTCATAATTTTTGGCTTTAAAAATTTAATAACGTCATTTGAAATAAAAGAATGTGTGATTATCACAATAAATTTATTCTACAATACGTGGTAGGTATACAAATAATACTTAATAATTATGCACTCTACTAAGCAAAAAAAAAAAAACACGTTCTACTTCGATTTAGAGTAGATAAAGCGTTTCGAATAAGAAGAATTAACTTAGTTGATTCATTTCGCATCGCCATATTGCGAAAGCATAGGCTTGGAACTTTCGCCAATAATTCTTTGGAAACAAATATTTACACCAACATTAATTTATAAATTAATAATAAATTAATAAGTGAATTTCTTATATAAAATATATTTTATTTCTGCCCGTCTAATGGCACATTTTATCATTTTTGTCATACTGATTGCCTTTTATTTGAATTTTGATTATTTAAGTAGATAGCGCTTGTACTTTCTAAAGTTCGTAAATTAAATGTTTATTTTGTACCATATAAAAGGTAGGCATCTAAGAATTACGTTGCTTATCTGCAAATCTAATTTTTAGTTACAAAACAAAAAGAAACTATGTGGTAGGTATCTTACTAAATGTATGTAGTAGGTAGGTATTTTCTTTTACGGCAGAATTTATAAGTCATTTATATTACATGATAATACATAAAATTCTTCTAGATGATAATGATAGTAGTTATCAGAACTTTTGTGGCGTGAAAACTGTTACCTTAAAATTATTCACATTATTGTTCCCGATAAAAGCCTACATTAAACTTATACCGCCTTATTACAAAAGCAGTTTATAGTCAGTCTCAGGTTTAAACTACAATCTGTTTCACGGCAAGAGGCCCGCGAAATTATGCGAACTAAAATCCTACCTAATGTCGAATTTCGCAGTTGCACTGCAGTTAACGGATATCCTTCGAGGCAAAGACTATTCTTTAAGACCCAGACTACTAACAAACCACATTTTGTAATCAGACCGGTTAAATATATTTGATTACAATTTCATATAGAAAATATTTCTTAAAATAATACATTTATAAAAGAAACGTTACGAGCTCGAAACAATGATTAAATTCAATCTAATCTTACTCATATTATAATTATACTAGGTATGTAGGTATTCGTACTTTTATTGCTGTTTTATTTAAGATAAGAACGTTATGCTAATAGTATCTATTAAATGAAAATTTTTGTACAATACATAAATAAATAACATAAGAAAAGATCAAGATAATCATAGTTATAAGCAAGAATCCAATTGAATAAATTATAGTAAAAGAATACTGTAGCTGTAACGACAGATGTATGTCCTTTCTCGTTTCAGTTATTTTTAATTTATAATAAATATGTAACAATAGCCATTTTATTTTTAATACACGTATTAAAAATTATTTTGCAATAATTGTAAATTGTAAAATTATTACACGTGATTGGAAATTCGGTATGTGAACAGTTATAGATTATTTAGCATTATCAGTTACAATTAAACTGTTTAATACACTATATCCCCAGTATGGAGTGTTTAATTGCAATAGTTCAAATAAAAGGCTTTTACAAGTATATTTGATAAAGGATATACATCCCGAACACATTGTCTTTAGTTCGTTTTGAAATGGTTAATATCTAGGTTTGTGATTGTGGTGGGGACGGTGCGATGGATGCCAATCTGGATGTTTTGGCTCGCGATGGTGATGATGGTGATGCCGTCTCTTGTCTCTCGTGTGAGGGGCGGGATATACATCAGATACCACGAGCTCGGATCCGTCTTTAGGAGCTTCTCTTTCATGCCTCCTATGACCATGTTTTGCACCAGCGGCCTCGTGAAGTTCTTCCCAAGCTTGTCGATAGTATCTGTTGAGACCACTTCGCGACTCCGAGGAGGACGAATCTAGCGAAGCTACGGTATTGCAATCCGGGGACACGTGATGCCTGTATCTTTTGCCGTCGTGATGTTTCCTGCTGGTGTGACGTATAAGATTACTAACGATTATTTAATAGTTAAGTATCATAGTTTTAGAGTAGAGATATTACAGTTTTGGTGCGACATTTATAACACATGCCGTTGTAATATACATATTGTTGTGCCAGCCTTGTGCAATTTTAATACCCACCTTTTATAGTTAATGAATTAAAATGAAAGAAATAAATATTTGCAAGCATCCGCGCTTCTATAATTCGTGCGACTATACAGACATGTAGATATGTGTACAGTGCCTATTTTAGCGGTCTGTGATACATGATTGCTTGAATATAGCTTGTGCAAATTATATTTTAAGGTGAAACATCATATCATAACAGTGCTACCCGGTGCATAGTTTACATCATCCTTTAATTTTGTATAGAGGTATGTTTAGTGCTGGTGCGCGTGTGACGCAAGGTTACATGGTGGCTGTTATGGAATTTGAAACCATTCCAAGTATTTCATAACGACTATGCAGTGATTTTATTTAATAATGTCCGTTTATATGTACCAAAAACTATTTGAAGCTGTTCAAATTTTGTAATATCATAAAATATGATAGTAATCGGAAATGGTAGTTTCTCACCGGCTTATTAAAAAGCAGTTTACCATTATTCTCAGGTATAAACTAGAGTCAATTTCAATAAATGAGTCTAAAAATGATTGAATGAATTTGACAGCAAATTTCAAATTCCGCGAAGACTGTGGCGCCGCGCCTTAGGGACTTCTTGTGAAAAAGATTAATTTAAACTCGAGACTATACAGTGCGTCCTTCGGTAAGGTGCAATCAAATGAAAGGGAATGAAACTAGACCATAAATTATCGACAAAAAAATAAAAAATATATTTTTATATTTTTTATATCTTATGTAGACTCCATGTACAAAAAATAACAATTGCTTCCAAAGTAGTAGGTCAATTACTTTAATATTAAAAAAAAATATGCCACGTATTTGGCGGTAGAGATAAAATAACAATTAGCTCGCTTTAAGACTTTTTATGACTGTTTTTTTCTATGACCTTTACTTTTATGCCCCGGATACCATTTTATTATTTATTATTATCTCTACCATATTGCCTTTCAAATAAAAAAAAATCTACGCTGTAACCCAAAAAACACGCTGGCTACAAAACCACGGTAAACACAGATGCCGAATTACAAGATCGAATTCTTCAATGTGCGAATGAGATAAAAAGTGGTCTAGGGATGATGCGTAGAGCTAAAAACCAAATTGCTCTTCGTGCGGCAATGGCCTCCAGGAACGAGGGGGCCATTTGGAGCATTTAATGCATTATTCATAAGAACTGTAAAGTAATTATATACTTACTTGTAACTCAATTAAAACTTGTAATCAAAATCTGACTTTTAATGGTGAAATGTTAACACCTCTTAGCCAGCGTGGTTTTTGGGTTACAGCGTAGATTTTTTTGTTTCAACGGCAATATGGTAGAGAATAACAATAAACCATAAAGTTTCCTGGTATTGGGGGCATAATTTTGAAAAATTTAGAGAGATAGAGAATGGTTTTTTTTTTTTACAAAAAGCAAAGTTAAAGTCATGATGCCACTATTGTGCGAAAAACTTTGAAAGAAATCGTAATTTTTTGTACATAGAGTCTGCATAAGATATAAAAATATTAATTCGTGAATAAAAAGTAAAATATATGTATTTTTAAATTTTTTGTCTATTTATTTGTCGATAATTTATGGTCTAGTTTCACCCCCTTTCGGAGTTTCACTTTACTGAGGGATACGCTGTATATACTATATAAAATCAATGTTTTGTAATAAGACCGTGATCCCCTTTTCACAAAAGGTACATAGTTCTTAGTCTCAGATATAGAATCTAAAAGCAAATGTCAAATTATGCAAAGAATTGGAAGAAAAGGAAATTGGCTAGATTGGCGCTGCGGCCAGGGGACACTTTTATGAAAAAGGCTTTTTAATCTATAGGTTAAACCCGAGGCTGTGAAAGACCACTGTTTTATACTAAGATGATGACGGCCTTATTACAAAAAGCAGTTCAAAATTTGTCTAAGGCTTAAACTAGAATCTGTTTCACGAAAGAAGTTTCATGGAATTAAGAAAACTAAAATGTAAAGTTTAGAATGTGACAGCAAATGTCAAATTTCGCGAATATTGTGGCTGCACAGCTCAGGGATTTCTTTAGTTAGAAGGACTTCTTAAACCATAGTTAAAACCCGAAACACGTTTTATAACAATGAGAGTTTATGAGTTGCAAATGATAAATACAAAAAAAAACATTACAGAATAAATACATTATCAATATTTTGTTGCCACACCGAAAACCTTATTTTGAATCAGCCACCACGTGAAATGCGTGAGGTACCTTAAAATATAAACGCACTCGCTATAACGGGTTGGAGAAATGTCCAGCGCGGTGTGTATGGCGATGGGCGCGGACGAACTCCCGCCGTCCCACCTGCTGGTCCGGAAAGGGGAGAGCCAGCAGCGTATACCACCGAGAGGGTAGTTCGCGCACCGCCGGCGGTGGTCGCTTCGGACCGCCGCTGACGTTAAGAATATCTTATGTCATTTATATCGTATACACGTTCTAAAAGCATTCTGTGGGTGTTATCTACTGTTTTATGATGTATTAATTGCCTGCCAAACAATTCTATGCCTATTAATATTAATGAAGACGTCCTCCTGTGACATTTTGTACAACTGACTTCAATATAAATTATTAAGAATAACTCAAAAACTATTGGTCCGATCTAGATCATGGGACCACATGAGAAGCACCAGCTTTAAAATAAAAAAAGATTCATCGAAATCTGTTTACCCAAAAAAGTTATGAGGTAACACACATGAAAAAAAATACACTCAAATTGAGTACCGTTTCCTTTTTGAAGTCGGCAGAAAATATTCGACGCAGTTTCTAGACATATTACAGTGTCATGGGTTTACACTTGGTACTCGATCTGATCGACCTGTACCCGATGTAGCGCTTATTGCATAAGATCGCAGGTAGACTAGGCTGCAATATCAGACACGGGAACAATTACGAAATCAACTTGAGCTAAGACTTAGGTTGCGGCGTAGGAATATCCTGTATACCATTACGTACTGTTGGCGAAAGAAGACAAAACTTTTCCCGTAGCGAAGGAGTAACCATCTCGTTTACGTCAGACGTAAAATATCCAGACTGGCGACGAGGAGCAGCGACAAAGATACGAGTCTTCTGTTACTGCGATCACCAATCTCGCCAAGCGTAGCGATTAAGGTAAACCCCTCCCTAACAAGAGAGCCAATGAACTATGTACTGTCACTACTAGGCCACACGTTTGCTCCATGAAAATTATTTTTTTAGCAACTATATCTTTTAAAATAAGAAAATTAGCAGCGTACCTACAACCCACGACAGGGCATACACATCATTTCATATCTAAGGAGGTTTTATTTAAGAAACATAATTATGCGTTGCGCTACCCCAATTCGAATTGGCGACCTCTCCTAGAAATACTTAATTTTTGTTCGCTTCACCGCTGAACATAGTGAACCAGCACTTAAAATTAGGCACTAAACTATCATGGCTCATATACAACATGTAACAAAAACCCTGTGGTTCACGTTAAGTGTGTAATGAGGATCAGTATTCAAACTTATAGAAATAACTTTTTTTTAAAAACACGATAAATTTTTTTTAATTTTATGTGGTTTTATTACCTCTTACTGACACTAGCCAATGCTAAAGCAAAGTAAAGCGGGGTGTTTGACAATCCTCTTACTCCCCGGACAATGCAGAGGTAATAAAACCACATACAATTTGCATACAATTATTTTCTTTAAATAAAATTAAAATAAATATTGGTCTAGTTTTTAAAAAAAAGTTAATTATATATACGTTTGGGTACTGATCCTGATAACGTACTTAACGGGAACCACAGGGTTTTTGTTACATATTGTATAATAATCGTATCGATTATTATGTTCACCTACCGAATACACTGTACATATACGTTAATACCCTAAAAGATATGCTATTCGAATTTAATGTTCACGTTTCAATTCAATTTACCCACAATTTATGGTCTGTCAGGAAGAATTTTGCATTGGATAAGTAAATTAAGTGCCGTCTGCCGGTGGCGTAAGAGAATCCATTTCGTCCCTTGACTGTCGTAAGAGGCGACTGTGGGATACGTCGGATCTTATGGCTTCCGACAGATGACGGTATAATAGCTCGATTATGCCAGGCATACAATACTTAGGCCCGTATTAATAAACGTTACTCATCTCAAGTACACGCACTTGAGTACAATCTTGAGGTTACGACCTTATTAATAAACATATCTCAAGATGCGATTTAGGTTTACGATATCAGCTGAGTGCCACACTGATTAATAAACGAAACTCGACTCTCAAAAGTGTGTATATGAGTGCACGTCACAGAACAGTATTCCTAAGTACAGCGTTTTGAGATACTGTTTTTATGTGTTTATTAATTAGTAACGATCTTGAGATGCTGGTATCAAATGATTACGCACTTGAGTTCGTGGTTGAGTAACGTTTATTAATACGGGCCGAGCGGCATAAAGACAGCGTCTAAGGTGTGATGGTGCCTTTCCACGCTTGCCAAGCCTCGGCAAACGTCTTCAAGCCCCAAGCGTCCACAAGTCTCGTTTGGCGTTTGGAAGTAATTTCCATGCTTGTGAATGCGACAGTGTGCTACGTAAACCCAAGCATGGCGGACACCGACCTTGCGTCGGCTATTGCGTTTGGTTTAACATACTTTTATTTGAAATACAAGCAAAGTAATACAAAAACAAGGAATTTTGGCTGTTAATTCTTTTACTGGCTTTCCCGTTAACTCGGCAAGACGACTCCAAGCATTTGCAACTTTCTTTTTATTTTTAAGTTTAACGTCTTTGGTGTTCCAGATAGACGATTCGGTCTGGTAATATTCCAGAAACGATAAACTCTCTTCGTTCGACCTCAGTTTAAACAAAGAACTAAACATGCGCTCGTCGCGAAATCATAATTTCTACTAAACGCGCACCAACGTCCCAACGTGTGAATGCGTTGCAAGCGCTTGCCGCAAGCGCCCTTTGATCTGTGTACAAAAACCGACACTAGCCCGGATCGGGGACAAGCGACCACAAGCTCACGCAAGCCAAGCCAAACGCCCTCTTTACACACTTGTGCTTGTGGATGCTTGCCGAGACTTGGCAAGCGTGGAAACCTGGCATGAAACGTCTCGTTCTATGATGGTCAATCCGCCTGCCGAGCGTTACGATTAACGCAAATTATCTCTTAAATGAAAGAGGCCCATGTCCAAATGTGGATTTTTACAGAATAATGAAGACAAATAAAGTAAATCAATGATTAGCGTTCTCTCCTCGCCACTCCAGTTATAAATACAGATTAGGTTTTTGATTTAGCATAAGAAATGTAACTATTAAATTAACCTCTCGTATTTTGTTGTTTTCTTTAGACTATAGTTATCAAAAAATAGCATTCATATTTTAAGGTACTAAGCATCAATTTAGTTTTCACCACTGCGCTACCTACATCTTAAGTAAATAATACCATGGTACCTAGGAAACAAATAATTTTAGAAAATGTGTTTAATTTACTAGAATAACGTATATACTATATACGGAGCAACTAAGGGATGGGGAGGAAGGGAGGGAGTATCATAAAGCAATAGGTATGAGTTGTACTGCAAATTAAGTTGAAAAAATATTAACTAAAAACGAATTAAGGAAAATTAAGTATCAGGGATATAGGAAAATTATTGTGCGCAAAGATAACCTTTGAACGGCCATACATAGCCAAAGCCGTGTATGCACAGTCAATTGGTTTTCTAGTGTCGTAATGAACAGTTGCTCACCTTCTAACTAATATGACGATCGTAGTGATGATGGCTACGAGGAAGACGAGCGCCCCGAAAGCGGCGAGCGCGACCACGGCGCCCAGGTTGAGCCGCGCGCCGTCGCGCCGCGCGCCGTCCACCGGCTGCGGCACGTTCACGCGTGGCGTCTGCTCCGCGCGGATGTTGTTACCGCTGCCGATTATCTGCAACCGGCGTTCAATTTACGTACTACATATCAGCTATGAACGGACCCTTCTGTTATATCGTTTGTTAAATAATTTCAATTTTTGTTATAACATAAATTATATGGATTTACAGGTACTAGTGGTCGATTTGTGGTCGAAATTCGACCGTAAATCATTAAACTTTTAAGTTTGTAATATAAAAACCTAAAAGTTTAACAATTTATAATTTATATGGTAAAGATTTATAATATATATAATAAAGGCAAAGTGTATAGAAGAATTAAAGGTTCAACTTTAGAAGATATTTTAAATATCTTATCTTATGAGGAAATTATTGGTCCTGTGCCTTATCTCTCTCTGGCCGTATTACATTGCGATTTGATGATTGTGTGGGAATCGAGAGTGCACCTGTGTTTGCTTCTAACATTCGAGCACAATAATTCTGTCTGCTCTGATAGGCTAGTGTCCATTTCGAATGGCCGCTGTGACAGAAATTCGGTTAGGAGGACACTTAACCTAAAATTCAACTTAATCCTAAACTCAACTCAACTCAAGACGCCACCGATGCACTCATGATAATCACGAGAAGTGCGTTGTTTTGTCAGATGATTATACTGATGACTATAAGTGCTGCTAGTACGTACATTAAAGCTGTAGTCCGTATTTACTTTCATAATCGTACCATACAAGGTTTTTAGAAAAGTATAGATAATTTTGTTTTTATTTTTGGTACATGTTATAATTTTTCGTTTATATTTTATGGAAACCGTACTAAGATTTTTAAGATTATTTTTAAAATCTGTTAACCAAATTGGATATTTTTCACTTTAATTCAAATTTTCCTTAGGCTTTATTACCAGCGGGTACCTAACATACTTTTTTAAAATTACTGCACCGATAACCGAATATCGATTATTATATAGTTTCAAATATTTTTCTTAGTAATGAGTGTTCGAAGTAATCAAGAATATGATCTAGTTTATGATTTTTGACACATTTCAGACCTTAAACAAGAAATTTAATAGTTTTTTACATGAAATTGGAAGATTTAAGTATACAAGATTTTCTTGTTGAGTAAGCAAATATACAAATGTGCAGGTATAAAAGTTTTGTTTATGATATGTTTTTGTTAAAAAATATTTGTAAAATAATAACGGCACTTGCGGTACTCGTATGCGTAATATTTTTCATTATATTCTAATATCAAAAACATTATTTTACACCTAAGCCACGGCGATGATTGGGGTCATCTCAATAATTCTTTAAATTTAATTATGTAATATATGATATTATTTAAAAATGCTGTATGAGGCAAGCTATATTAATTGTATAGTTGTAGCACGAATGAGTTGGCTCGAGCGCAGAAGGACCACGCTCTCACAGGTTAGCAGCTTAATGCTGCTGTTTCGTATGGTGAGCGTAGAGAACCGGAGACCATTTTTACTCTAAAAGAGGCATTCCATTTTAGTCCTGACGGCTGACAATGCATCTGTATTTTAACTCGCAAACGAGGATAGATGTAGATGTTATGAGCAACACCAACTACTTACCATCAGGTGGACTGAGTACTCGCTTGTCACCCTCATCATATAAAAATATAAATATTCATTTACGTAATATATCATATTATTTCAAGGTGTAAACTCGCATTATCTATTTTTTCTTGTTAAAATGAGATAATATTGACTTCGAACGAGGAAATTATTATGCTATGGCACTATAGGACAGACAGACAGGACGATATTACCAGATAAGGGTTTGTTATATCATGACGGCGGAGCCCTAAGAATGAATAAACACAAATTCTTTTAAATCACGAACTTCTTTTGGACTTTTCTGTTATACCCAAACGCGCAAATGCACTAAAGATCTTACTTGATTTTCCCTCGGGTGACTAGCCACTATGATGTGTGGGACGTTGCTAGTGGACGAGTCTTGCGAATCTGAAACTGTGACCTTCCGCGGTGGCGGCTTCTCGTACGATTTAGTTGTTGATCGTTCCGTCGTTGTGATCTTTGGTCGTGGTCTGTGTGAAGTGTCGGGTGGCAAGAAGGGAGTCGGGGAGGGAATCGGACGTAGCGAAGGCCGGGGTTTTGAAGGGAGAATTAAGCGAGGAGTAGTCAGTGGAGGTGTTGTGGGAATAAAATTTGTTGTTGTTGAAGGCGTCGTGGTTGTTGTGGTGGAAGTTGTCGTTGTAGTTGTTGACCGCTCCTCCACTATAAAGAAAAAAAATTATAAAATATTATTTCTTTGTTTATGTACTTCACAGTCAGGGCTCAGAATATTTTATATTTACTAAATACATCCTGGGATCGTTATTAGACAGCATTTCCCATCGATATATATGTACTACGCACTAGATTTCGCATTCCGAACATTGACTATGTTCAACTGAACTGTACTGCTATCCGTACAAACTAAATATTGCGTAAATTGAAGATTTGTGAATTCCATAAGATAATTATTATTACATTTTATTTAGAAATATGTTTGTTTAGATTAAAATAAGATATTTTATATTAAATTCTTGTATTTATTTTATATTAATATCTTATTTTATATCAAATTAAAGTCTACTACTACTCTAGCGACTATACTACTCCCGTGCATGCGCGAAGACATAGAGTAGGACACAATTTTTGTTCGGAATGGCTTCTCTAGTACGTAGTACATATAACTCAATGGCGTTTCCACATGGCAGTAATCAACTGCATATTACAAGGCTTGTCTCACTCTGAACTGAAAATATGTTGCGCGGCTGTTTACAAGAGGCTAATTCTGTGAGGTTGTCACGCGCGCGTTCCAGTTGACGCTTACAAATTAACAAAAAAGTATTTTCTCTTATTAGTATTTAGGCACTTCGATATTTATTTTTGAGTTTTTATTAAAGTACGGCTACTCAGAAACAGATACTTTTTATTCAATATAGATTATAAATAATACTTATTGAAAGTCACTCTTTTGTATGATTACCACTGGTTCGAAAAAAAAACCTCTGTCCTGGGAAGAACCAGCAAGAAACCCAGCGGGACTTAAAAAGCCAAAAGGTGCACTGCACATCATACCGGTGCTTAAATAACAATAGGAATGTCGACTTTTCATAATTTACTGTTCCTAAGGATATCGAAAGGTAAGATATTATTTTCAGGTAGATCTAGATAATTCGGTACCTAGTTAGGGTACCTAATTAGGTACCTAATTAGGTACTGATGCCATAGTTACAAATTTATTATTTTATTAGAGATCCAACTGATTTTTTCGCGTATAATGTCAATGACCTTAAAAATCGTGCAGTGACATCCTACTAATACAAGATCAGCATATACTGGTTTTTAGAACAATAGATAATAATAATACATATTATTAGTTAAACACTTAGTTGGTCGATAAAAGAAAGAGATTGAAAATAGAAGCACTAATTCATTAATAATGCTGTCGCGTGTGGCATGTATGTAAATAGTAAAAAATATAAAAATATAAAAAATGGTAAGTAGGTGAATTATCTGAGTTTCAAAGACTTTCACGTTGTTATAATCTTAATTTTCCTCGATGTTGCCTATTAACCTTGCACACGTTGTACAAAAATGTTTTTACTATCATCAAATTACTAATACATTGCATAACACCTCGGTGTATTCTAATACGCTTTGTACTGGTTTTTTGTACCCTCAGACCAGATAGTACACACTATATATAATACACCTTTGCAGTGCCTGCTACTTCCCGTATCCGGTCAGATAATTTTATATCTGGTTATGCTGAAGTTAGAGATCGTCACACCGCCATCTCTCGGGGGCAATATTACTGGCGTTTATTATTGCATATTCCTATAATATCAACGAAACAACATGAGTTGATAGATGCCCTATTCCGTTATTATACTGTTAAAAAAAGCTTCAAATCATCAAGCGGTTATGACCATAGTCAACGTGGTAGAGCCACGCTACAGCTGTATCATGGTTGCAGCACGGATGGGCCCGATTCAACATGGGAAGGACCACGCTCTCACAGAATACTATAGTAAAATACCAGCTTAGTGCTACTTGTTTCGTATGCTTAGTGTAGAGAACCGGAGACTCTTTTTCCGGGACCTTGGTGCTATTACAACAAGGTCACGGAAAGTGTACAGGCCCTCTCTATTAACAAGTTTAAATGTTTTGTTAAGTTGAAACTATACAGTTTCAACTTAAAAAGGGTTATTATAGTATAAATCAATATATGGTTGATAATAACCCCTGGGAATGAGGTGATCGCTTCCAAGCTGTTTCTAAAATAAATTTTGTACTTATATAGTTTGTACAACCATTAATGTAAAAACAAGGCATTCCATCTTAGTCCTCAGAGGAGACAACGGTTTTCTACATTTTGATTTTTGATCGAGGGTAAATGTAGATGTATATAGCCTACCCAACATCATATCGACTGTATGCTCGTACGTCGTGCTCCTTATTCCGTCAAAGAATTAAAGAGTATAATTTACTCAAAACTATACAGTTTCAACTTAAAAAGGGTTATTATAGTATAAATCAATATATGGTTGATAATAACCCCTGGGAATGAGGTGATCGCTTCCAAGCTGTTTCTAAAATAAATTTTGTACTTATATAGTTTGTACAACCATTAATGTAAAATTTGCTATAAAAAAGTCCCGCAGGGTTTCTTGCTGGTTCTTCCCAGGACAGAGGTTTTTTCTAGGTAAAAAATGACTTTCAATAAGAATTACACATGTGATCTATAATATTGAATAAAAAAATATTCTATTCTATTCTATTCTAACTGCAAACAAGGCATTCCATCTTAGTCCTCAGAGGAGACAACGGTTTTCTACATTTTGATTTTTGATCGAGGGTAAATGTAGATGTATATAGCCTACCCAACATCATATCGACTGTATGCTCGTACGTCGTGCTCCTTATTCCGTCAAAGAATTAAAGAGTATAATCTCGATTAATTAAAAATGCACTGCAATAGGGTTTATGTATTGATTGCATCCTTACGTCGGCAATGCGGTGCAGGCTGGTCCCATAGCCCAGTGGCAAGGCAGGCGCGAAGATGCGCCCCATGCAGCTGGTAGCCGCGTGCACACTCATACTCGGCCACGGCGCCGAAAACGGACGCATTGCCCTCTACTGATACGCGACCGTTTACGATCGGCAGCGGCTCTTCACACTGGATCACTGTACAATAAGATGTTTTACTTTAAAAAAATCTTATTAATTCATTAAATATAAATTTAGTTAAAGATTCCCTTATTTAAATCATTCAGTCAGAACTAATCTTTTATCAAACAATCAAATATGTTAATTTGTTAAAACATTGAAAGGATGTTGATCTGAGATGTAGTCTTTCAATGTTGGCTGTATGAGGAAGCGTACCGGCAAGCAAAGGAAGCGTAGGGCGGCTCTCGCTAGATGAAGTGTCGACCTGGTAAGAGATGCAAGAAGTCGATGGATACGGGTGGCTCGGGACCGTGATTTGTGGCATTCCTTGTGGTAGGCATATGTTTAGCAATGCAGCAGTCACACCACGCCACATAACTTTTATTCAACATCATCATTATTATTACTGTTGATGATGGCGTTGAATAAAAGTTACTTCTTTCCAATCCTCGAATTGCATTTTAAGGTTATTGAAATGAGAAGTAATGTACTCTAGGTTATAGAGCGAGTGCTCAAAATAAGAAATTTAATGATATTCGGACGGTCCAAATAATGCCAAAATTAAGGGGCCGTACGATAATTACTAATGAAAATATCGAATTGACCAAGCATCATGAAAATGTCCTGTGTTTAATATGTATGTTGAGATATAGTTCCGTTCTAGGGACACCTCCGATTTGGACCAAAATATTTTTTACATGTTTACCAACGTAAATGATGAAAAACCCCTAAGGGATTTTTGGCGCAAATGCCCCTGAAATCTTTTACCGCCCGCCGGTAGCAAGTCGTAGAGGCTGAGGCTGGTCGCCGCAGCGCCGAAGCCGTTGTAGAAGTAGCTTTGGGTCAATATTCCTGTGTAAAATGTGAAGTTTAGTCGATTTATCATGAAAAACTGCCTTAAAAGTCTAAAACTCTGGGTGAGGGTCTGACCCTCGCAAAATATTTCAGGGCCATTTGCGCCAAAAATCCCTTTGGGGGGGTTTTTCATCATTTATGTTGGTAAACATGTAAAAAAATTGGTTCAAATCTGAAGTGTCCCTAGAACGGAACTCTACACGTATGTTGCAACTAATTATTATTTTACTGGGATATTATTGTCAGCTTTGAAAGATAATTGATATAGCCATGTTGTAGATTGTTGAATAATATTATAAAAATTATTTCTATATTTTTATAATATTTAAATTTAAATATATATAAATTCGTTCTAACCATCGCATCTTGGGGGTGGTCCATTCCATCTTTCGTCAATGTCACAGACGAGTCTTGATCGCCCGGTCATTTCGTAACCAACGTCGCAGGAGTACTGGACATGTGACAAATACGACGCTGAACCGTTCACCAGCTCATAGCTTCCGTGCGCTATCCCAGCAGGGTAACCACAGTCTATACCTAAAAAATAAATAAATACGAGACTTAGAACTAGGTGCAAAGTTAATTTAAAAATGTACGATCACTTGACCATGTAGAAACCGTGTAGTGGCGCTATAAAAATACACTCAGAAAAATAAGTGAATAGACTTAAGCAACCTACAGTAGAGGTCCATGTATAGCAGGGTACGTTTAATAGAAGGTTATGTGTATTTAAATGTACGATGACAAAAGAAAAAGACGTAAACAAACGCGATTTTCACATAGCAGTTAATAAAAGTGTCCTCTGTATCCGAGTGAACAAAGTACAAGATCGACAGAAGAGATTTTATCGTAAAGTATTGGTCACGGTCGGTATCCACTAGAAAACTTCCGAAAGTTTTCTACATAAATATTTTACTGTGGCCGAAATCGCCGAAAAGGAAAATAATATTACGTTTTGCCTGATTGCTATGATGAAAACAGCTAAGAACAATATTAAATTTTAATAAGTAGTATTTGGAAGAAAAGTCTTACGTTTGCAAACAGGTGGGATTTCATCGTAGAAACCGGTATCTAAACATGTCCGAACAGTAGGACCTACAAGAAGGTGACCCTCATCACACGAATATTCCACTGTTGCCCCAACTTCAAAGCTCTCCGTGGTCATGGTGGAGTTGGGCGGCTGCTCTGGTCTACCGCAAGCTTTAGGTTCTGCGTAAGAAACACGTTTTGTTGATAAATTAGATTTATTGTAGATTTCGTGAAGGTTCATGTTATATAATATTACACAGGTTAGTTTCGAGTTGCATATAATTAATGATGCAATACATATTATTTAATTTTGACATAAGATCAAAATTAATTTGTTTGAAATACATTATCAAACTGCTTTGCTGGCGACTGTATATCGGTACTTAAACTATTTTCATATTAATAAGATAAAAAAAGAAAGTCACTTATATATATAGTATGACGACATTGTAAAGAAACTACAGATATACAATAATAAATGCAACCTTCGCACAAACATAAAAGTTATTATACATTATTTGTATCTAAAATAAATTCGCATTGCAAGAATAGGAATTTCGCTCTGCAATAATATAGAATGAACTTACGGTGCTGGCAGATATAATTTAATCTCGCTTGGCAGTCGGTGTCAGCCCAAAGCCACCCTTTATTGCCATCGAATCTGGCACAACCTTCACCACCTCCTGGTGCATTCCAAAAAGACACAGTGACGTCATTGCCGTTCACCCACTTCCAGTTGTTTGGGTCTTGAGGATCTCGAACAGCTCCCATCCAGTACTGACTGCTACTGTCACTTCTGTAGAATATCATTCCACATTAATTGACATAATAAAATCTCTTCCAATTACAGAGAAGTAAGTAGTCACCAAAATAATATGTCAAATTTCCAAAAATTATATGTTTTATATGCACTTGTGTAGACGGCGAAAGCCCACTAAGGGCTCTTGTCCGCTCAAATTCGCGAAGCGGGGGAAAAGTACAGGACAGATGGTATGGACTACATATACGACCGCGGCCCGATGCATACATGATCGTCAGAACCTTTTGTAGGTGCACCTTGTTATATACGAAAGAATCATTGTATTTTTGAGGGATTCCTTTGAAGTATTCATGTTATGTGCCTTATAGACTTGGGCTGACGACGGAGAAAAGTCTGTAAGGAAATTTTGCCTGTCAGAGTGCGAGAAGCATAGGATAAATACACAGCAGGTCTGACACGGACTTAATAATCTTCAAAATACTAGGGAGGAACAGTCCGTGCTTGTCGGTTAGCCTTGACGTTATATTATTTATTCTGAGACTTGACGAAACTTTTTTATAATTTCTGTGTTATATCAGCACCTGTTCACGTTTTTAGCAGAATTTTATGTACTACTAGACCTGCTATTCAGAACAAATACTGTGCTACAGCCGTTGATCTATAGGGGCAAGCCCGGGCGCAATTAATGTGACTAATGTAACTGAGTGTAATGAGTTTTATTTTCAATTACAAACTTCAAATCACATTGACAAAGTTCGCACATAAATAATGACAGCGTTTTCAAATTAATTGGCTGTGCTGATAATTAACCATAAGTTTTCGGCTGTGCTGTTTACTATTAAGTCAGCGCAGCCACAAATTAATGATCTCAATAGGCACATATATATTCATCAAAGTATTTAGTACATAGTATGTGGATATCGCATGATCGCATAGTGTTTTAGCAGTATTTCGACTGTGGCTGTGTATATTAATGCCATCCAGAATATTAATGCTAGGCACAGTCGCTCAATTAATTAACAAAAAAAAATGCAAAAAATTTTTGATTATGGCAACTAATTGGCAATAAATTATAGCATGATTTTCCATATTTTTTTAGTCGATTGTGGCATCATGGCTGTGTCAGATTTAAGGAGCTCGCTTGCAGTCGACTCTTGTGTCTTGGTGCGAAATATATTAAGGCCGCAGAGCCCATTTACTAGTATTGGACGTATTTGGTATCTTGTTTCCGAAGAGCTTATAGAATTTAGTGCGTTAATTTTATTGTATTGTATTTCCTTGAAAATAAAAGTACCCCAGATTTTCCGTTTTCAGTGCAGGTCGTGATAGGTAATAAAAACAAATAATTAATTGTAAATATTAATTTATTGTAATTGAATGTACCGTATTCGACTGTGAATCTTTAATTTTTTGATGTTATGCACCTATTCCTATGCAGGGAATAATGTTTATTTTAGTTTACTGAACATAACATGATAATATCCTATGTAGACAAAAAATATTTTTCTTATTTAATAAAACCTTTCGACGTGAAAAACTTAAATATTTACTTTTTTTAAATTACAATTATAAATAAAAGTTACCAGTTAGTTAATGATTACATCTTGGGAAGAAAATGTGTTATGCCGTGTACTTAAATTCGCACAAATACGCAAAGCCACAAGCTTAGGACGACAATCGGAAATAATTTTTTTTTTAACTTATTATAATCCAGTGTTTGAAGATAATACCACCTGGTGATAAATGTTAGTCGGAAGTCAGGCGAAATCGGGGCGGATCGCTAGTATGTTAAATCTCATCTTAGAAAATTACGATTTCATTTTTAATATTTTAAAGGAACTTTCACTATTACATTCTTAACAACGTTTAGAGCTGAATAATATACTTATAAAAAAAATTGAGGGTCACTTATCGGGATAAAAACTATCCTATCTCTCAAGTTGGACGAAACTGCACACAGTGTGCGAAATTTCATTGAAATCAGTTCAGTAGTTTAGGAGTTCATTGCGGACAAACAATGTGACACGTAATTTTTATATATATATATCTGTTTTAAAGTAAAACAAATCGAACCGTTATCCACACCTTTAAGCACAAAGGGCGCCGAAATTTTTATATCATCCCTTTTAAAATGGCTGTCTTTATGGGTCATATCCTAAACCTTTTTCCAGCCAGCCATTCCATTTGCACAACTTCACTAGTTTCTAATCACTAATACAGTTAACGGTTAAAAACTTACCTATATGAGTTGAAAAAGAACACCCAATGCCATTCAAATGTTTACTTTTTACTTATTTTTAAAATTTGAGATAATAAAACAAAGTACATTTGTTTCTTGCACAATTGGCCCCTTTTGTGAGTTTTAACATTAACATTAGCGGAAAGAAAATCAATTTTTAATCACATTTGAATAACATTGTCTTTCCCTATAATTTTATTTTGAAGAAACTGCATTTTTTTGTATCGAGTCAAGTTGAGTCAATAATAATTCGGCACCGTATTATCTGGCTTCGGCACCGTATTAATCTTTAATTTTCATTATTTAATAACTTTAAAAATCCTGCGTAGTTTCCATGTTGTTCAAAAACTGGCGGCTTTAACCACACTCTCTTTAATCTAACAATAACAACATTTTATTGTTCTGAAAAACGAGATAGAATCTTACGTAAGAAGAGGGGTTCTTGAAATCTTATGTTCAATATCAAAAACCCCCAACATGGGGTAGGTGGGGGGTCAAAAATTGCCAAAATCCTCCTTACGTAATTAATGAATGGTCCCTTACGCAAATATCTATTTATTTATTTTATTCGCAAATTGACCCCATATATTCTGCGTAGTTCTTTATATTTCTATACTCCTGATCATACTAAGTCACACGTGCAGCATTGCGTGCGTGTGTACTATTCGATGGGACCGCCACCATGTGATGGGAAGCAGGCTATATGATATTTTTATGACCGCTATCAAAGTACACGGACCGGTGTATCAACCGTCTAATCAGTATTCTTTCTCCTTTAGTAGTTTTATCCCGCTTTTATCATTGGGATCTCGTCCCATGTATAGGGTAAAGATAAAGTTTTCATGCTTCCCACTGCTGAGCACAGGTATCCTCTCATTTCTGTGAGGGTGGAGGAAGGAAAAGTCCGCCACGCTACCGCAATGCCTGTTGGCGGCCTTGTGAAATTTTGCATGTGGTAAATCAACACTTAATTACTTAATTAAGCACAAAATTGCAATTAAGCATTTCATTGTCGCCGACGGGGATCGAAGCTGAGTTGCTCGAGTACTGTGATATGAACAGCGAGCGCATTGGCCCCTGAGCTGTTACGGCTCGAAGAACCGTCGACGTGGAAATGCGTTTGTCCTAGTTGAAATTAAATGTTGCTATTATATATAATATTGTATGTCATAATACCGTTCTGTGACTACGTCTAATCTTGCTAACGGAATGAATAGTACGCAACGGCGCGGCGTTGGGATGAGCGGTACTCAATAAAATTGACTGAAATAACAACCAGTAACAATGTTCTGCTACGCGTAGCGGATCTATAATGGAGCAATCGGGTAAAGAAGGACGTACATGTGGCATTTTTATTGGGTAACTGTTTTGCATTACTGCAACTGATCCAGTTCCTTCCTTCCTTGCTTATTTGACACTGAATGTACACGTTTATAAATATAATTATCTAAATAATATAGCTACTTATAGCCTTAAATACCAATAACTATGTGATTGCATTTATAAAAATTATATAGAAATCAATATGATGTATTAATTTTTGGAAGATAATGACTGTGATGATTTTTTGCACAAAAGGTAAGTCCTTCTATGTATGATAAGTGTTTAGAATTAAAACGCTTGTTTTTCGTACAGATAAGCGCCATCAATCGTTACACAAGGTCTCGATACAATTCGCTACGATTCTTCATTTAAAAATCAATTTCGCATTAGCTACTAATATATATTATAATAATAAATAATAAACTACGCACATTATATGTTCGCTAGCAAGTTAGAAGTCGTGTTACATTATTTAAATAGACAATTATTTAAAATTATGTAAGATCAATAAAATTTTGTGTTAATATTTTGTATGTTCAATATTTTATTTATACTTGAAAGATATAAAGTAAGTACACTTACCGATGTCTGCGCCAAAGCTCCCAGCTGATAAATCCTTGCAGCGCGGGATTACTCTCATCCACTAGCGTTCCCCCTCTCGACCGACAGAACGCGAGGGAGTCCCTGAAGTTTGACGGCTGGTGATCGTAAAATATGTAGCATTTTCCATTATAAGTCGCAGTACTGCCCGGGGGCTGATCACGGAACTGCGGACACCTCTCTATCGGTAGAGCTTGATCTGTATACACGAACGCTTCACAGATAGATAACTGACTTGGACTTGCAGCTTCTAAGTGGACACTGACAAATGCTCCAGGCATTGGAGGATTGCAAGGTAGGAATAGAGGCTGACCCTCTTCCAAAAATCCCGTAAATCTGTTGCAGATTGGATTTGTTCCGAGATCTGGACGATTGTTACCGACTCGAACAACCACTACAGCTGGTTTATTGGCACCTGAAATTTAGTTAAAATCATTTGTTAACTATATTTTTACAATAGTTTATATTATAATTATAATGTCGGCACACCATCTGGATGATTGGAGGTCCACCACTGTGCAATTTAGAATAAGTTTTCTTTCTCGCACAACTTCCTTGTGGAATCCACTACCACCAGAGATTTTTCGGGACCGATACGACTTAGGGAACTTCATTAAAGAGCATACTCTTTTTTAAAAAGCCAGCAACGCATCTGCAATTCCCTTGGTGTTGCAGTTGTTTATGGGCGGAGGGAGTCACTTCCATCAGGTGAGCCGCATGCTTGTTTGCTATAAAAAATATTATAATGCAAGCTAGCCACAAAGCTCCCTTTCTAGATATTGAAAGATTATTATTGGAGACACAAAGCTATTGTTTCAAAATTTGGTCAACCTAATATATAGTTATTCGCAAGCAGGATGAATAGCAAGTGCAAAAATTACGTCTCTTGGCACAGAGACCCAAATACTATGCCTATCAACGCGTTTACCATACTATGGTCTAGTTATTACTTTTACTCATTCCATTTCTCTTCAATGCTTTTAAAAACGTGGAGGAAAATTATCTCTGACAAGGCTTATCCTGGGGGGACTCGTATATCCCACGCAACCGTGGCCTTTTAAGAGCCTTTCAGAGCCTTTTTAAACTAAATAATCGTCCAAATTTGTAATATTCTTCCGACAAACGCCACATCCACACCAACAAAGTATTATGAAGGAACCCAATTCGGTACCCGTAATACGTGTATATGGGTTTTTAGTCTGTTACTAGGGTGACACGTATGGCAAGAAGATCGGATAAAATACTTTTTCAAGTGCGTATTTTGTTTGCGACCTCCTCTGCCTAAGGCAATGAAAATATACACTTAAGGTATAGTATGACGTTTCAAATGAACAATTGAATCTTGATCAGATTTCTATAAAATTAGTCACTCAAAAGCTTCATAGAGCGGTAGGGTCGCAAACCTTGAGCCGCTGAATCGGGTCCACTTTGCACAAGAGCGGAAGCGATGTGTGTTGCGCAATGAATTTTCATCCAGTGGGCACAGCACCAGGCACGCAGTCTTACCCGCCGTGCACATGCTTCGTGTCAATTTAGACTTGATCGGGCGCACTACGGGCTAGATTACGATTATATTAAGAAGCCCGAAGAGATTAGCATACCGCCCCCCCCCCCCCCCCCTAGTCCTTCCGATCATCCCAAAAGTAAGTTGTGAAATTTTATAAATATATGAAACATCTCTAAACTAAATGAAGATGACTGGGATTTGTAGGTACCAAGTTACAAAAAAATGCGCAAATTAAGTGCGAAATCGGTGTGTAAATACACGATACTCCTTATGTGGATTTTGTTCTTACAATAATAATATTATAATGGTTATATAAAACGATATGACTGACAGTCCGATACTAGAGTATGGTGATTTAATATTATATGGTTAATATAGCTATGGTATCTCAGAGGCTGAGCGCTAGCCGTACATTTTTACAGTACACATGCATCTCTGGTTCGATCCCAGTCGGGATCAATGAAACTATTAATTTAAGCGCTGATTTACGGTGCCGTGAAGCAAATTATCGTCAAGAAATTTTCATGTCTCAGGAATAAAATATTTCTAATACAACCGCGGCTCTCTAATAAAACAAACGTCTGTTTAATAAAAAATAATCATCAATATCGGTTCACAATTAATGAAAATATCGAGTAACGCACATACAATACTAAGAACTTACGGTCAAGTTGAGAACGTTCTCCGTTTTTTAAAGTGTGCTAAATATCAGTAATAATTTTAGTACACCGATATCAGTTAAAAGTTTAACATTAACCTTAGCACCGACTTCCTAACCTAACGTGGAAGTTATTTGTTTTAAGTTCTTTGAAGTCGATGCATTAATGTTATTATCGGAATTTGAATAAAATTTAGAGCTTGTGAGACTTACCACAACACGGTTTTCCGAAGTCGAGTCTAACGAGCTGCACCATGTAAGGTTCCAGTAAGTTGACGTACCACCAAGGTACACGCTCCGACTTTGTAAGTGTGCAGGTTTCAGAGTTAAATGCTGCAGAGGTGCTGCCGTCAAGCGCTCGTTGTGGAGCCCCGCCGTCCTCTGTAGAGATCTGCATAGGCGCTTTTCCGGCGGCTACGTTCAATACTGCGGGGAAAGATACGGTTTAATAGCTTTATATGAGAAACTTGTTCATGAGACGCTTCTTAATGCCATAATCTGATTTTCGTTATTCGGCATTATTCCGGTTGACAATTTTTACAGCGGCCTTGTATGAACTAATATTATGCATAAGTATTATACTATGGTTATACATAATGTTAGTTTATACGTTACAACACCACTTACCATATGATGGGAAAGTACAAAGTGCCAGGTTATGGCATTGGAAAAAGATATTCATCTATTCATCCATATATACATAGCCCTCCACCATAATGCCGAATAGGTGGTATTTTATCATAGTCACCACGTTAGGTAGGCGTGTTAGCAACCACAGCTTTTTATTATATTGAGTTAATAATAGAACAATGCTGCTGCCTAAAAAAGGTGTTACCCAATGATATTGCTCACCTTACAGTCATTATTAGATGTATAGTTATATGGACTTTTAGTTACTGACGTAGGACGAATATATTGTGCACGAAATAATAAAATATCTATATCTATATATATATATATATGTGCCAGCTCCTTCCACTTGACCGCATCCAGCGCAGAGCGGTTCGAATCGTCGACGACCGAGTTCTTTCTGATCGGCTCGATACACTGGCACTGCGTAGAGATGTTGCATCTCTTTGCGTATTTTATCGCATCTATCACGGGGAGTGCTCTGAGGAATTGTTCGGACTAATTCCAGTCGCTCAATTTCACCATCGCACATCGCGACAAAACTCGCGTTACCATCTATACTATCTAGATGATTGGCGGTCCACCATTGTGGAATCAATTACCACCAGCGAATTTTCCGGACCGATACGACTTAGGAACCTTCAAGTAAAGAGCTTACACCTTTCTAAAGGGCCAGCAACGCATCTGTAATTCCCTGGTGGTTGTTCATGGGCGGCGGTAGTCACTTACCATCAGGTGAGCCGCATGCTCATTTGCTATAAAAAATGTAGATGATTTTTAAAAATTGAAAATCTATTATAATTTATAAATATCATTTATTTACATAACATTCAAATATTTACGAGCACAATATTAAAAAAGCAATAAAAAATTAAAACAAAAACTTAAATTATTATATAGCGTTTCCTCGACAATACTTTTGATCGAGAAAAGAATCAGCCCTCTTATCACCAGCACCGACTACCAGTCTCTGATACAGTCCCTTTAGGAAATCCACCGCACGTGACCGTTAAAGACCGATATTCTCTACAGCAAATTTAATTTAGAAAAAATGTGATATTTTTATTAATAAAACTAGCGATCCGCCCCGGCTTCGCACGGGCGATTTTTGAATCTCAACGATAGCTACCACATACCGTGTCCAATAATTGTGGATCTAAACCATCCAACTCAAACACACGAAAATTTTCATCGGAATCGGTTGAGCTTTGACTTTTGCCTCCCAGAGAGGATATCAAAGTAAATATTTGAAAAATGATTATAGCTGAAATTATAAAAACGGTGTGTTGACGTACTTGAGTCTGCGGTCCCACATTGGCTTGATAAGTGAGAAGATATTGGCAAAAAAATATATTGTTAAGCTACTACAAATATGAGGGATCTTGTTAGTGGCTTCAGCCCAGCAATATCCGATAATACTAATTACATTAGTTCAATTGATATATACCGATAGGATTTTATTTTTAATAGTTGTTATCACTATAAATTAGCTATAATAGAGCGTTATATCTTTATAAGAATGCGCCAGCAGGTAAGCATCTATTGGAAAATACACAAATATTCACAATGAAGGCGTTAGTGTAATGCTGCTCGCCATTGTCATACTGTAATATGATATGAAATTGAAATAGAGCAATGAATGCCAGAAACATACAGAAATTAAATCAGTTTCTTCATAACGGGCTTATCCGCGTTGCACGAAGATTAAGTAACGCTAACTTAACCTTCGACCATCCGTATTCTATTTTGTTACCTAGGAAGGATCATGTAGTGACCCTCATTGTAGATCATTATCAGCGCATGTAATGCCATACTGGTTCCAATTTATTAGATAGTTTATTAAGATATAGGTATTGGATTACTACCGCCAGGCGAACTATCCGTTCGATAATAGATAAATGCAATCATTGTTTTCGCACATCGCTCAAATTGGTTTGTCCGCTTCTACGAACTCAACCGTACCGCCCGCTCTTCATTACTCTAAGACGTGGTCATAAGTAGAAATAAGGCATATATATGCCTATTTATGTTTGACAACTAGCGCGATACACATTGAACTCAACTTATCACCGACTTGAGTACTCCTGCTTTCATATCTGCCTTCAAACGATTTATATAGCACCGAGAACCTGTGTCGGTGATGCATTCAGATAGCACCAGTATTTCCGGGGTGCATAATCGTACCTTTACGAGCTTTTTAAATTCATATCGTCAACACAATGTCGCTTTGCTTTAGTGCATCAGCTTAATGAGTATAAAATACAATGGAAAGACACACCACTAATGCACCTTACTTTGCATTATGGGAACCATTAATTAAATTAGAGATATATTGGCTGGCAGATATTAACTTACGAAAAACTGAACACAGTTTTATGTCAATTTGAAAATGTAGTCAACTCGCGTCCGCTTTGTACAACGTTGAGCCAAGATCCAAGCAGGCCGCTAGCTTAGCTAGCTAATTCACTCTAACTTTTTGACCTTAACACCACTTAAGTATTTACCCGCCGCCCCGGTGGAAGACCGAGCGATACATTTGTTAGAACACTATCAGCTGTTAGACAAACTAGTACAGTTGTTCTGGGACCGATGGTCGATAGAATATCTAAGCACACAACAGGCGCGCGCCCAATGGAACGTTCCATCTGCAAATATCAAACCTGGTACAGTCGTGCTAGTAATACAGGATACCAAGGTTCCACCATTACAGTGGGAGACGGAAGTTATAATTGACGTTCATCCAGGTCCAGATGGGATTGAACGAGTAGCTACTATCAAAACTAGCCGCGGTATCTATAAGAGACCTGCAGTACGCTTGTGTCCACTGCCTACACAATAGTGGTTATTAAAAATAGATATTACTATATTATATATATATATATATATTGCTAGTCAATCTCGCAACTTCATAATAGTTACTATTTATATTTTGTTTGCAAATTTTTATTAGTTATCACACACTGTCTGTAGTTTTTCATCATTTCTCCCTATTTCAGATATTTTATAAATACATTTTTTTCACTTATGTAATTAATAATAGAGAGTGATTATTCTTAAAATATTTTGAAAGGTACCTATGTTTTATTGAGCTAAAACATACCTTATAATTATCGCTTATATAATATTTACAAATACTTACATAATCAAATTAATAACTTAAGTACCTACAAATAACGCATAGGCGTCAATCTTGGCGCATCACTATTCAACCACTCTCAACTATGTATCAGTATCTATAGAACATCTGGCATAGTGGGCATTGAACGATATTCGCGTTCTTCCTTGTTTATTTGTACTCTAATTTTTTAACACTTATCTATTGATCTAAGGGGTCCCTTCTAAATATTACTATACTCTTTGGCGGGGTCTAAAACTTTGACAAGGAGATTGCTAAGTGGGTATGCCGACGCGTCACAGATTAATAAAAATAATAGTGTAATACTCTAAAAATTATAAAATATCTAGGGGCTTATTTCTTGCGTGCCGAATTGTGCCGACATGTCATTCAAAAACGGTTACAGTCTTAAGATTTGCTATCCTTTTCTATCTTGCTATATTGCCATAAGGAATTGTCTTCTCACTTGCACGCTTGTCCGTCTATTACTATCCTAAGTCTATGGTATCATATGAGTAAAGAAACGGAACAGAGACAAAGCTTAAAACAACTGCGCTAGGTATGATAGGTATACTTTTATAATTTATTATATAATTCATTATAATTTATTATTTTTAATGAGGTAGATAGATATTTCATACGCATTTGTTTCAACAAATGCGTATGTAAATATTTTGATTTCAAAATAAACATTGTTCAAATAAACATTGTTAATAACGATATAATATTAAAAAGTGTACAAGATTGCATATGTAACGTGAGTGATTTCTATTAGATTATAAAAAAAAAATATTTAGAGTAAGTAGTTTGTAAAAGAATAAGAAGCAAGGACAAATACTCCCGGCAGAGTCATCCTTGGTTTTAAGATGTTAACTGTTAAGATCAGGGGAGTCTCTGACGCGGCATTGGAGTCTGAACCATCCCAACTCCAATCCTGCCAGCCCCAGGGGTGAGACTGGACTGGGTGAGACTGGTCATTAGGGAGAGTGACTGGGACCCAAGTCGCTGATCTCGCCTCGGTCCGAGGGCCTCCGCTGGTGTCGGCCACGGGTAAGGGAAAGGGAGGTAGAAGCGGTAAACAATAAGGTACGGCGGGTGTTAAGAGCGACAGTAAAGAACGTTTTCGTACTAAGCAGGCGAAAAAGACCCCTTCCCCCACGCCTATAAATGGCTAACCCCAAGGGTAAAAAGAGGGTCCTCCAGGAAAATTTTTAGCATGCAGCAGCTGCTTCTACCGTAGTGGAGGTTTGCTTCGCAGAGGACAACATCGAACTCGCCCTCATACATGAGCCTTGGGTAGCCAACAGTCAAGTTCTGAGTTTGTCGCTTGCTTGCTTAAGATCTTAGTCAATACTAAAGGCAGTAGACCCAGAGCTTGTATAATCTATTATAAAAATATTGAACTTTTAGCAGTTCCAGAGTATTGCAGTGACAACCTGATTACAGCTTTTATAAATCTCAAGAGATGCACAGGGGCCAGAGTAATCATTTGCTCAGCCTATCTTCCAGGAGAGAACCCAGATCCTGCCATTGAGTTTGAGCGAGTGACGGAGTTCGCCCGTAAGCACAAAGCCGCACTTGTGGTGGGATGAGATGAAATGAATGAATAAATGAATGAAATGAATGAATGAATGAAAATATACTTTATTGTACACCAAAAGAATACATATGAGAAAAAAAC